CCGCAGCTTGTTCCGAACCGGTGGAGTTCTGTATCCAGTGCATCCTTCATTCTCCCTAGGATGATAAGAATTAGTGTTTCACTTGGGGTGGACAAGAGCATTGTTCCACACCAGTTCTTGTTGCAGAGGCGTAGATCGTCCTTCTTTGGTAGCTTGATGAGGTAGCCTTTCTTCTACTCGGTAGGTACATTTCCTTCTTTCCAAACCTTTTGCAATAATGGCATGAGCACATCTTCAGCAGTCTCTGGGTTCGTTTTCAATGATTCGGGGTGTGTGTGTGTGGGGGGAGAATTCTATCCGCGCCTGCTGCCTTTCCGGACTTCACTGGTTTGACTCCATTAAGTATTTCAGCTTTCGTTGGAGGCCTGGTATCCACTGGCAGTTCAGTGGTTGTTGTTGTTGTTGGCGGTAGTGATATTTCTGGGCTATTTGGAGGCGATGGTGGATTCAGTAGTCTTTTAAAGTAATCAGCCCACTGTTTGATTTGTCTATCCTTCTTGGTAATTAAGTTAATCAATGGCCCACTGCAGTCTAGTTCAACTGTTCGTTATTCCCAGACATTACTTAATATCTTAGTTAATCCAGAGAACGGTTTATCACTGTCCTTAAATACCTTTGCCGACGGAGTAGATAGGAGAGCATAAGATAATTACTGAAACCATTCAACAGGCTAATAAATACTAATCCTAGTAGACTGGCTGGTGAGGTTTACATGAGCATTTAAGTCGAATTATGAGTTCAGTCCACTTTGTTCTGTGTAACAACCAACCACTCAGTCTTCTAACTCCCTGGGCAGTTGATGGGATGTTATACACTTTATTTCTTACTGAGTACCTGATATACGCACCTAATTTTCTACATGTCGTTTTTATATTTGTTTGTATTCCTCTCACCCGACTTATTGATTTGTGACCTAAAAGTAAAAGCTTACCAATGTCCAGTCTTTTTGATATAAGAATAGAACTTGTGCACTGTGGTAGAGTATAATTCCATTATGGGTAAAATTTATTTCGATAAAGTCTCACAGTATTATACAGTAATATTTACTGATTACCCGTTTCGAGCACAATTTATTGCTTGTAATCATATAAAGGCATAGTCTACTAGGTCATAGCTCCGTCATAATAAAACCATTATACTCCACAGTAGTAAGCTCTTTGAGAACTTCTTTTAATAAGTAAACAATACAACTGAAAGGCATATTTCTGTTTTTCAAAATTCATAATTGAAGCTAACATGATCCAGATAGGCAAAATGTGAATTAAATAAACATATTAAGAATCAACCAGTCATAGGCTTAGATTCTGTGAATACTATATTCTATTGAAGAATATTATCAAATGCGCTGTAGTATATCATGTCGCTTAATAGATTACATCGAAAACCAGGTAGATAGACTTTAACACTAAGATCTTGGCAACTGAAACTCTTACTGTCGGACAACTAGCTAATGCGTCACGTGCACCATGTCAGAGAGCGGGCTTAAATCACTGCTCTACCAGAACCTTCACTCATCAAAATCCTCAAACTCTTCTGAATTCCTTGTTGTTTTATTCGTGCGATTATATCAAATGACCACAGCAAGAACTCGTGTGCACATTTAATTATCTTTCAACTAAAAGCCGTGCAATTTTTGAAAGAAATGTATTTTTTTTTGATTTACAGCTTGATTCCACACTGTATTTTTGGTACAAGTATGGAATTTTCAGCATGGATATCGGCAGCCCAAATTTTGCAGGCCGACCATAGATATCAGATGTGCGTCGGTGCGGGCTCGAACCCCGGACCATGTGCATGGTCGGCGAGAGTCCTAACCACTGTGCCACCGACGCACAAAACTGGTTCTTTGTTCATCTGCAGCAACACACCAAGTCATATGAGGTATATTTCAGATTATTACTGAACACATAGATAGTGTATGAAGAGAAAAAAATTGGAACTAAATACGCCGAAAATTGCTTTACTAGGTGTTCATATATTATCAGAAATAAAGCTTTATTGCTATTAAAACACTTAACAAATTTTAGTTATTTTCCGGCCACATATCTAGGCTGCTATGAACAAAAAAAATTATAATGACACTTATTGACACTGCAAAATAATTCATTAGAAAAGCAATCATGATTTGACCGAATGGTGTGAAAATAATTGTGCGCGAGCGAGAAGTAGACATATGTAAATATTCTTCTGACATTTTACAGATATAATTTCTACATATGTACACCTATCAATAGCAGATAGGTAGATGATTATAATAAGCTTAGACTGAATGCATGGCCTGGCTAGTTGGAGCTATTACTGATTGGTGTATAACCAGTCATTTTGCACTACATTTTTACTAATACACGAGTTTCTCTCAAAATAAAATAAGAATTTACGCAGTTAAGAAGTTTCTAATGGTTAGCTTTAAATATACACTTTGAATGTGGAAATGAAAAATCAGTGTCTAGAAACTATCGTAGAATACTACGCCTGTAGAGTAGTATGTTAAGTTCTTTGAGAAATTACTTCAGAAATGCATCAGACATCAAAACCATTGAGAAGTAACTCATTTTAATCGACTTCAAGAACACTTAGCTGACTCCATTTATTATCCACACTATGGTAAAAAAAAATTTCATATACTCATCCTATTAGAAGAATCCCTTTAGAAGAGCAGATGTCACCTATCGAAAAAATATTGGTCGGACATCGAGATTCGGCATGGATTATGAAGAACATCAAACTGGAGCCGAAAAAAAAGGAAAACACAGTTCAGTCAACCCCCTTCCCTCCCCAAAATACTAAACATGGACCTGAACTTTAGGGAAGACTCAATCACAGATATCCGAAAGAGCAGAATCGATGGCTCCCTAACGAAGACCTTATCTGCAGCAACGCTAAGAGTGAAATGCTGTAGCTAACCACTGTTTCTAGTCAGTTTGAGGGACAAATTTCAGCATATATATATATATATATATAGAACTAGTAAGGCTATGTCAGTGTCAACAGTATCAACAACGAGAGGTTAAAATAGAGTTATGGAATGACTTTTCGCACCTTTGTGATATGACGTCATGAAATCTGGTGATGAATTTACTAATCGTATTCCTGAAGTAACTGCTTCCAAAGGAGCAGTCTAAGCGAATCTATTAATGTGTGTTCAGAAGAAATCCGTACAACCGCTCTCTTTACCTTGGCTATCTTCACACGAATGTGAATAGCTGATCACTTCTCATTATTCTAATGCTATTTACGAGTTATTATTATTCCTATTGTTTTTGGTCAACAGTGACTTCCGATAGAATCTGGGATGTGCACTGTGATGCATGTACATCCAGGCGATGAGGATCTAACAGGACGAAATGTGCATCCTGGATTCAATTGTTAATTCCCGTCACAACTAAAACAATCTCATGTTGACCTTCAGACATTGTCGAAGCGATCTTACCAAGAGCTGTGTGACCGTGACCGACCATATAACCAATGTCAATGATCCTAAACAATCTAATTTATGCTGACTACTTCATTGATAATTGTTCTCATGAAATCAATCTTAAAAATTCGATAAAATATTTCTACCTTTTAGTTGTTGTTCTGACTATAATCCCTGTTTGGTGTGTTGACAAGTAACTAATCATTGTCGGCAAACTTACCGCTGCTAGATTGGTTAATAGCGTATTGTATTAAAAATGCTGTTTGTATACTAGAACCAAGACTATTATTGACGAGGATCTAACTTAAAAATACATACAGGAAAGAATTAAACAATAATTCAGTAAAGAAGATATTAAGCTGGAACGCGAACTGACGTCAGTTAGATAACTCCTGAAAACCAGTAAGATGTACTGGATAGCTGTTTCGTTCTAGTTGGGGACTCACCATCTGTACACCCACCTATTGCCTCACTGGGGATCGGGTCCAGAACCTTCAGGTCACGATGATCTTTGAGTGATGTCAGCTGGTGAGCTAACCTGAAACCAACCAAATCTTCGCAAGTCAACACTTGGAAATTCTGCTTTTTTTATCAACGAAATTATCTTCAAAGGTTGTGTGGGCAATCAGATTAATACTTGATAAAACGTATAGCAACCTAATATTGAGAAAGAGCGTGTGCGCATGTGACCTAATTATTACAGTTACTCAGGAGTGGTTCCTGACGGTAGGAAGAAATGACGCAATGCAACCAACGACACAAAATGCCGAGAAGGAACATATAAGAGCGACAATAATGAATTACTTACTAAAAATGCAAATACAAAAGTACTAAGGAGTTTAAGATTATTGTAAAAGTCTCGAAACCTACAACTCGTTCCTATGGAGTTTAGTAAATATATATAAACACGAGTGTACACCATGTTTGAAGGTGGTTTCATCACTAAAGAAAAAAGGTATCCTCGTATAAGTATCTTCTTTTCTTGTTGTCTTCTAAATATTTAGAAAGGGATTTGTCACTATTAATATGAAATGATCATTTACTATAACAAAAAGGCATCCAGAAGTAAGAGTTCAGTTAAGACGAGATAAAAACCTTCAAATGAAAGCATCTGCCTTAGTTTCTTACCTACTCTTTCTTAGTCTACTTGATTATACACGAAACTTGTTATCAGACATGAAACTGCACCCGCCACCCTTCCCCTTTTTTGATTCCTTGTGCACCGAAAGGGATATCAAGCTTCAAGCTTTTGATGATTCAGTAATAGTGTTGATTTTTCACGATGTGGGGTATTTCTAGCCTTAAGCTCAATATTCCTTCTATTCCGCAAATACTATTATTATTATTACTACGACTACTACCAGCTAGTAAGCTATGCGAGTTTTAGTGTGGTGTATCGACTGGGAATAGAACCTGGAATTCCTATGCAGATGGTGGGTACACTACTATTGAACCACTGACACGCCAATATCCCCTAAATATCCATATATATATATATATATATATATATATATATATATATATATATATATATATATATATATATATATATATATACATCGAAGAACAACCAGAATCAAAATGGTAACAATAGTCTTAACATCAACAACAAAAAGTTAAACCTCACACGCAACAAATAACCAGCAACAAAGCTTACACTGCACCCCAAAGGAAGATTTGTCATCAAGACAAACAAAAGAGAAAGAAAAATCGAGGAGGAGAAACACCCAATGAGAGAGGAAGAAAGAAAGGGGAAAGAAAGGCAAAACTCTCTCGTGTCGATTTTGGAGCACAAGAATACTATGTGCATACACAACAGCATCAGAAGATAGACAGTCATAATCGTGATAACAATAATAATAATGCCTTCGAAAAAAAAATTGAGGCACAGAGAAGGCAAAAGAACAACAATACATAGGGCCGGTGTAAACTAAGTCGCGTTAATCTGGAAAAGTTTTAATTACATATCTGAAAGAGAATAGGCTTTAATGTGTATATGAATAATAAACTTCTCATGATTAATAAACTATTCGTCGAAAGTTACTATTTAAAAAAGAAGAGTATAATTGCATCAACACTATTCACGTATTTTTCAAAGGCATCTTGAAGCAGGTAGAAAAAACACAGTCGTCCGACGACGACAACAACAACAACATTTGGCAGATACAAGCAACAATAGGCGCTCAACCGGGGGTTATTTTGTGATCCGTCAGAGTCACATGGATGCAATGGGAAAGTGACAAGAATAGGCAATGATAACAATAACAAAAACAACAAGAAAGAGGACGATAAAATCGTGAGAAAAAGGAGAAGAACAAATAGGCAAGGTAGAAATTGAACGAAAATCAGTCAGTCAATCAATCGGTCAAGTAATAGACAGACCAAATTTGATGACGAGGAGACAACAACAAGAATAAGAACAGCAATATCACGATAAGTGATAATGCAAAAGAGGTAGAATATGTGGGGGGTGGGGTGAAATAGAGAGAAAAATCTCTTGGATGCTTTCCATTCATCGTTTTAGCAAAAGAATTACACATATATTCGTCACAATTTAATTTATCATCTAGTGTGGAATTTGTTGATCACTTTGTGTTTAGATGGAGAAAAGCAAGATAGCCTTGTCAATAAGGAGGGAATGAACAAATCTATCTATACCAGTACACACATAGATATACACCTATACATACACAACTGGCACTTGCAGTGAATACTTCAAAAAAGAATCACTTTGAAGGGGAACAAAAACAACTAAAATCGTCTTTAAGACAAGATAAACAGGAAGATGATCACAAACAGAGGAAAAAGGAAGAAGAGAACAACAGCAGGAATCAAGTATATGATACATAATTTGACGAGAGCAGTTAATATACGTGTCATCAGAAAGTTGGCGTGAGTGAGCAAATGTAAAATAAAATATCTTCGATTTATGAAAGTTTTAACGAACAAATTACGTGTAATTTGACTTGTTCTTTGTCAGTCAAAAAGGGTAAGGCCAACGATGAGGTGATTATCTCATGACGAGACAATGTCATCGACACTGATGAAAGACAAAATCAACAAAAAACATGCAATAGTAGTAATAGTAGTAGTAGTAGCTCAGAAGAAGGAACGATAATAATAGCTGATAGAATGTGTAAGGAGTGAACACCTCTAACGGTTATCCGATCAACTCTAACCAAGTGAACATCAAACAGCACAGAAAAAGAAAACAACCATGTCGATAATAATAATTTGCGCTTACGAAATGTTAACACAATTCGATGATGAAAACAACACAAGTATATAGACAGGCAGATGAAAGAGAGAGAGAGAGTAGGAATGCATAATTGATTTTTGACTGTTTCGCACTCATTATTATTATTATTAATGTCACTCTGCAATGCCATCATCACCATCATGATCAGAATGAGCAGTGTTATCTTCCTCTTGAATAAATTCTACATACGACGATGATATTTGCTGTTGTCGTTGTTGCTGTTCAGATATTTGATTAGCATTACAATAATTACTTGTAATACTGCTGCTACTACTACTGCTATGAGAAGTAGTGGTAACGGTATTTGTAGTAGTAGTAATAGCAGTCACAAGAGGGTCAACAGTCCCCATACTGTTATTGCCGTCATTTCTGTTCACACACTGTTCTGCATCTAAATGTGTAGTACCAATAAGTGTACTAGTATCACTGCTAACAGTACTATCAGTACTACTATTAGCAGCAGTGGTAACATGAGCATTATTCAGGTTACTAGTATTATCATCATTAATGAGGTATTCACCAAAGTGCATATCGTGAACATCGTCGTCTAAAACTGATAATGATAATGACACAAGAGGATATAGAGATTTATTCAGAAAGGAATCATTTCCACCTTCGTCGTCAGCATCAGCACCATCCTCTTCATCTTCACGTTGGTCGTTGTCATCATCATCATCCTCTTCTTCTTCCTCATCGACTTCTTTTTCTTTTCCTCTTCCTTTTTCTTCACTCTCACAATCAGTATGACCACCAGATTTGTAAGTTACAAGGTCAACTATGCTACACTTTAAATTTGCTTCCGCTGAAGGGATCTGCAGTAAAGAGAAAGCAAGTAGAGAAAAACAAAAAAAAATAGAAAAATAAACGCGTAGCAACGCAAATCAGAAGTAATACATGATCTACCATTCTGCCAATTAGTTTCTAACTTCATAAATTATGTCAAGCATACCCTAGAAAACACAATTCAAGTCTGTGTAACACACTATACAACACCCTAAATATCTGATAAGATAGTTGGAGGCAAGCCACTAGGAGGCTCTAAACCGAGATTTCAAATTTACGAATATCCCAGTGACGGATGAAGATTCGAATTTCAAACGAGACATCAATTCTCTTAAGAGTACAGACAAGCATGAAACCGAGCTTTGGAGCTTCTTGTCAACTCCCTACAAACATCTGATGTCAATTCAAAGTGTATCGCGATGATGAATCACCTAGTTTCGTGACTAGATTGAAAATTGACTGGTGGAATTCCGTCACCAACAATAAATAAGGACTGGACAGATGACAGTCTGTCTGTCTGTTTTCGACATAGAACTTTGCACAAATGTGCGGAAGTTCAAGTCGCCACATTCCGTGTAGCACGCGAAGCAAGAGAAGAAAGTACAAGAAAAGCATAATAGAAACAGTGAGCAGAGGTGTGAGACAAAGGAGTAATAAAGAAATACAAAACAGTTTCATTGAAGATCATAAGTCACAGGGAGTGGATGCATCTGCGCCACTGAGAACGATTTTGAGCCATGTCACCAATTGTTTCCAACCATAGATTTTTACCGTCCCGAGGACCCCAGCCTGGAAGTCTACACCTTCCTACGTGGCTTAGACCAACTGTTGTGGATTTCATTGACTGATGCCAAGTTTTTGTTTGACCGCCGCTAGCTTTTTTCCAGCCTGACCCTATATCCGCTAACATTGCTCGTCGAGGGAGGCGATGGCTTGGCATACGTAACACATGTCCTAACCATCTCAGTCTTTGTAGCTTCACGACTTCGTCGATTGATTTCCCCTGTTTACCTAGAACTCTACGCCTAACCTCCATGTTGCTCACCTTATTATGCCACTTTACACGGGAAATAGAACGCAGGCACCTATGATCAAAGACAGCTAGTCTTTTCATGTCTTCCACTCTCAGTGGCCAGGTCTCACAACCATAAAGGAGGACGGAGCGGACTGATGAGCAGTACACCCGCCCTTTGGTCGATAGTCGAACATCTCGTCTACGCCAGAGTCGGCGTAAACTAACAAATGCGAAACGAGCCCCTTGTATTCGTGCTGAGATTTCGTCAGAGATCAGCCCGTTGGGGCTGATGGTACTTCCCAAATAAGTGAAGCGGTCAACGTGCTCTACCACTTCACTTCCTATTTTTAAACTAGGCGTCGATGTAGTCCAGTCCTGTAACATCATCTTGCATTTGGCGGGAGCGAATCGCATGCCAAACATTCGTAGATTGCGGCTCAAGGTGTTTAGAAGACTCTGCATTTCGTCAGCGTCTTCGCCTAGAAGGACTATATCGTCTGCATATTCCAAGTCAACGAGATTATTCCCCGGTAGCAAGTCAATCCCTGAGTCGCTGAAGTCACCTAGGGTTAAGTCCATTAACACATCTATGATGAAGTTGAATAGAAAAGGAGATAATGGGCATCCTTGACGGACACCACTGGTCGTCATCAGTTCAGATGACAGCTCGCCGTAAGCCCTCACCTGGCTGTATGAGTACGAGTAGAGTGCCTTAATCAGTGCAATATATTTTCTTGGAATTCCCTTTACAGCCAAGCATCTCCAGAGAACTTCCCGATCGACAGAGTCGAATGCTGCCTTTAGGTCAAGAAATATAATGACTGTTGGACGCCGGTAGGAATGCCTATGTTCTAGAATCTGTCGGAGGGTGAAGATATGATCAATACACCCTCTTCCTGGTCTAAAGCCTGCCTGGCTCTCTCGTGTTTGTGCTTCCCGAGCACCACTCAGTCTACGCATGATTATTGAGCCTAAGACTTTAGATACTATATTAGTCAAGCTAATCCCTCTGTGATTATCACAGGAAGACTTGTCTCCCTTCTTGTATATGGGGATAATCAGTGACTTACACCAACCCGATGGGACTTCTTCTGATTCCCAGACGCTGCCTAGTACCTCAGTTAATCCGGACAGTAAGCTGTCTCCACCGTACTTAAATACCTCTGGAGTCATTCCATCAGGTCCCGCTGCTTTGCCTAGTTTCAGATTGGTGACAGCTTTAGTAACCTCAGTTAGGGATGGAGGACCTGTGTTTATATCCCATTCAGGGAGGTGTTGGATGCTCGGAAGGTTGAGCGTGGCTGTGGGCAAATTAAACTGCTCCTCATAATGCTCTTTCCAACGATCCAGTCGTCTATCCTGGAGCTAATTATAGTGCCATTTTTTTCCGAGATTGTCTCACTAATGATTTGTCTTCTCCCACCCGTTTCCCTGATGAGTGCAAAGAGTTGCCTGGTGTTGCCTATCCTCGAAGCTTTCTCCATCTCTTTGGCTTTTGTCGCCCACCACTGTTCACGGTCCTTGCGGAGACTTTTCGTAAGTTTCCTCTTGTGCAGCTTTCGCTCCTCATTGAATTCGGAGCTCGCCGGAATAAGTCTTCTAGCATCTATCAGTTCGGATGAGGCGGTGGAGATCCAGTGGTTTTTACTCACCTTTGGGTTTACCTTATTCACAGCTTTTACAGCTGTATCTATGGCTGCCTGGATATTTTTCCAAGCTTCTTCAGGGTGAGCACAGCTGTCGAACACAGATATGTGTTTAGCTAGTTCTTCCTCAAATACGGATTTAGTTTCCTGATCGAGCTGGGGACGTGATGGTTTTACCGCCAGCTGTTTCCTACGTCCGTTCAGTCGTAAGCACACCCGAGCGCGGACCAGTGCATGGTCGGTATCTACGCACGTGTTCCAGAAGGAGCGACAATCTCCTACCGACCCACGCCAACGATAGCTTATTGCTATGTGGTCTATTTGTGTCCAGCGTTGGTTTGATGAAGGGGGTCTCCAAGTCAAACAGTGTCTCTCCTTGTGTTTGAAGTTAGTGCTTACAAGAAACAAATGATTATCAGAGCAGAACTGTAGGAGACGGTCACCGTTGTCGGTTCGCTGGCACGGAGCTCCATAGGTGCCACCGACATCCTTCTCAGATTGACACAATTTCCCTACTTGAGCGTTAAAGTCACCAGCTAGAACGACTATGTCTGAGCGTTTAGCCTTTCCACCAAACTAGACAGCTTTTGGTAGAACTCATCCTTCGTTTCATCTGAACTGCAGTCAGTGGGGGCGTAGGCGGAGATTACGAAAAGGCATCGGCGAGTAGTGCAGTCCTTCCTCCTTCTTACTGATCCGTTCAGGCGGACAGCACACATTCGGCTATCTACCGGGATCCAGTCAAGCAATGTCTTTTCTGCCCTAGTACTCAAAGCTATCCCTACGCCAGCTAATCCTCGTGAACTAGCTGTGGCATCTCCTGACACCCTCAAGGTGAATTTTGCAGATTCAACCTGTTGGCCAGGTGGGGTTAGGTGAATAACCACACTTGGGTCTTGTATGCGTGTTTCTGAAACACAGCATACATCAATGGCTCGTGATGCCAGGGTCTTGGCTAGTGATGCTTGTTGTCCTATTTGGCAAAGTGTCCTAACATTAAGAGCTCCTATATGAAATTGGTGGCGCGGCTTTAAGAGGCTGTCGGTGGTGGTTTTTTGGCTTCCATCGTTTTTAGTGGACGCAGAGTGGAGAGGAAGTGGAGAGCTATCAAGTCGAGGAGTTGCATCAGTGGAAGGAAGGCAAGATGATAGAGATGAAGATGAAGACAAAGATGAGTGAGTAATAGAGAGGTTTCGTGTGCATTTCGGATTGTGAGGGCGATTGTTACTTCCCGGCTGCCCACACCGTGGAAGTTGGTTGCGTGACCGCAGAGCCCAGGGGACAACTGCTTGAGGCCGGTCACACGCGGCCTGTTTTTGTTTGTTCTTTTTGTTTGGTGTGTCTCAGTAGCAGATTTATCACTCCTGCCCTGTGACACGGCAGCAGGAAGCGCGGTCGTTGTTAATCCGGGCCACGGCCGATCCGGCATGAAATTTTGTAATTTTGTATTGGACATGATGTTGGATTGGGTAGCTGCTTTTTGTTTAACCGCTATCCAAACAACCTGCCTGGCATGGTAGAACCTCAAGAGACATAAGTCTCAGCCAGTATAGCTTGATTAGGTCATTGCGGTGTTCAAGCCCGACCACCACGTCAAGGTAGCAGCTTTCGGTCGGTGATTACTCACCAATACCTAATTCATGTAGCTTCCGCGTTTACACAAAGTACAACTGCAGAGAAAGAACACAAAGGTTTTTGTCACAGAATATTTGTACTACAATCAATGATATATGCTGAAACTCCAGTATGAACACAATTTTCTTCTGACTCTTGTTTCCTTTTAGTTCGATACTTTGTAGATAGATTCAGTATCTTCCCTAATTTTCCTTCTTGACTAAAAACTTCACTTATCGATCCTCTGTTCAAGAGTTCAGAAGACAACAAATTAAATACATACTACTTAAAAACTTTCGTCAATAGCATCACGCAATTAATTCAAAAACTCTGGGGGGTGCGTATTATTAGTTTACCAGTTAAATAGCCTCATATGCTGGTCAATCATCACTTCCCATTTGGGTTCCACCCGACAGCCTTCAAGGAGTGAAGTCAACCCAAGTCAAACCCATCCATCTTTAATACCTTCTGTATATTTGTTGACTGGGCATTTGATTGTTTGGTTATTCACTGCCTGCCACAGCTCCTTGTTGCTTATCTTTTCTGGTTGGTCATCCGATCTCCACTATTCAGATAGTGAAGGAGGCAGCAGGTGACGATAAAAGTCTTCAATAGTTTGTTGGAAGTCCTCTAGATGTCGGACAACACAGCAAGTCGTTGAACCGTGTAGAAGCATTGACTGACTTGATAACAGTGTACAAAAATTCGGATCTGGTTCTTAGTGCTAGGCACTGTACTGCAGACCTCGCTTGTATATTTTCGAGTTTGTCCAATGTGACAACACACACACGTATGAATCATTCGCAAAATTCATATCTTCTCGAGTCATTTCATTAATCCTATACAGATAATCCTATGTACCTATCTTTCTCATCATTCTCCAAGGTGTGTTGCATAATTCAGTCATCACAACTTAGTAGTGTAGGATCATTCAGTAATATAATAGAATAGGAAAAGTCTTGTCTTATTCATACCTGTCGTCGCTTCTTCACACAACACACAAAAGAAGGAATTAAAGAAACAAAAACAAACAAACAACGACAACTTACTAAATTCAGTAGAATTTGTTCAGCTTGTTCAAATGCTTCAATTTTTTTCTGTCTATCATCATCAGGCCAGTTATGCGATGGGCCTATTCTTAAACTATGCAGTGCTGTTGCATTGAGCTATACAGAACAATGATAACAATTCCAATAACAGAATAAAATTATACGCATTATAAGACACAGACACAGATGATACAGTTAATTATTTATCTATTGATTAATGTTTCGAATAAAATTTATTCTTCCGTAATCATCATATCAAATTACCCATTTATGTAAATTCTAATTCTTGTTAATATAATTCCATTATTATCTTTCTATTCTTTGATTTCATTGGTAGTAATATTTTCGATATCTATTACCAGTGATGTGTGTTATTCCTACTGTATAAACGCGTTTGTTGTAAATTTGATAAAAAAACCCCCAGGATTTACTGGTCAATTTCGCCTCTCCACAAAGCTCTATATTACCTTTTGAAAGTGCAACTCCTGTGGTGTATAAGTGCCTTGTATTTAGAATGTCAGTCAAATTATAGGGTCTGCCATCATATACTAAGCTAAATTCTTGAACCAGATCTACTGGATTCCCCCCACCTATGTAGTTGATCTAACAGTAATTGCAAAGTGGTGTGTGTGTGCAAGTTGGGTCAATGAGGGTATTTTCGGGTTTGAACACGCCATCTCAATTCTTGCTTTATTATGAATCCTAAATTAAGGTTTCTGACGTCCTTTACTTATGGGATAACATCTCTGGGGTGGGGGAGGGGCAGTATGGTTTCAACTACAGATGGCCATTATAGTGAAAACAAGAAAGGTGTTAATTACTATGAAGTCTCTGTGCAGATTTACAGGACTCAGCCCAAGGAACAAAATCAGAATTTATAATGCTAATATCAAGTCAATGAGTGAAATTGATTAGACATTTGAATAAAATCAATATTAGATAAAGTACATTCAGAAATAATATTAGTGTTATCAATCAAATACAAATATAAGATGGCCTCCAAAGCCTCAGGATGGTAGGGGGTGGGTGTCTTGCGCTGCGGGTTGGCCACCCCTCCGTACACCTCTTGAAATGCTCCCATATGACCGGGCGTCTTACATAGCCTCTCCTGAGGAAGTCCTACTCACTACCTTCACGTGGCGGAGGTGTTTCTTACTCACCGAAGTGAGGGGGAAAAGCGGATGCCCGGCGCTCTTCACCGGGTTGACTGTCCATTGAATGACAGTCTAGGGGAGATGGCTAAACCCTGATTCCAAACCTCCAACGACTGGCGTATGAAGCTCACCGGCAGACGTATGGACAAAGGGCTTATTGGATGCCCTGGATGACTGACCTCGTTCAAAAAGGCGAATGAACCGGACTCCGGTCACCGGCTGCCAATGGATAGTGGACTCCCTACTCCACTCCTACTGCCTTGTAGGTCACACTTGGTTGTGTAAAGGCTAGAGCTGCACTCTCAAACAAAAGGCCGAGCGATGCTGGGGACATCACTCGTACCCAATTCGCATGAAACTCCATCAACTCTCTTACAAACATTCGAGATGTTCATGAAGCCGATTCATCCTCCCGTAGGAGATAGCCGAAGTAAAGAAAGAGAAGAGAAATATAAGATGGGATGTTTTTTATGGTAAATATAAGTAACTTGATAGAATGTGGATTGAGTAGATTTTAAAATTATATATTATCCAATGAATTGACTGATAATAAAATCTTTCAACAAAGACCTATACGGAAGCCTCTGGGATGACATTCGAAGCACATGTCCAAGCCACCGAAGCCGGAGTTTCCAGATGATGACACTCAGCAAATGCTGATCTCCACTGTGTTCAAACACACGCCGCCGAACCTCACAACTACTCACGCGATGATGCGAATGAATGCAAGTAATCCTACGGAGACAGCGATGATCGAACACGCAGAGTCGCAACACATCCTCAGCCTACTCGGAGAGACCAGGTTCCACAGGCGTAGAGCAAGACAGCCCGCATCGAAGCGTTGTATACCCGATCTGTGACAACCAGGCTAACGTCGCGATGGCGCCAGCGGTGGCTCAAGTTGATGTATGCCACCCTAGCCTTCATTATACCGTTGGAAATCTCATCCGTCACCCCTCCGCCAGCACTCACACAACTACCCAAATACACAAACTCATCAACAACTTCAAGCGGTTCACCTGCAACAGTGAGTGCAGGTACAGGCTCCTGCCAATCTAGTGTAGTATGTACTTTGCACTCAGACGGCTCAAAATACATACCATACTTACAGACACTGATCGCCAACTGAGTAAGTCCGATTTGGTCAGCCTGCATGTTGTCGCACAGTAAGACGATATCGTCTGAATACTCGAGGTCGAAAAGTCTATCTCCAGATAGCAGATCTACACCACCTTCACACACATCCTTCAGAGCTGACTCCAGAATGTCATCGATGGTAAAGTTAAAGAGAAATGGAGAGATGGGGAAACCCTGTCTAACCCCACTGTTGGTTGGGAACAGTGATGATAGTTGGTTGTATGCCCTCACTCTACCCGAGGTGTTTCTGTATAGGGCTTTCAAGGTGTTAACAAACTTCTCAGTTGCAGAGCACAGTTCCATCCAACGAATTGAAGGCAGCCCTAATATCAAGAAACACAACGAGTAGTGGCCTGCGATACGTGTGGCGGTGTTCCAACAATTGACGCAGGGTGAACATATGATCAATGTATCCACGAACTGAACTAAAACCAGCCTGCTCTTCGAGAATCAATCTCTCACGTATTTTGCACAGCCTGCGAAGCAAGACAACAGCCAATATTTTAGACGCGACTGGTAGCAGACTGATACCCCTATGAATTACGTCGATCCTTCTTAAAGTTGAGGACGATAATGACTTCGTTCCACATTGATGGTACACTTTAAGTGTCCCACATCTTCCTGAATAAACCAGTTATAGCTATTGTGAGAGTCTCGACACCATTTCAAAAAGGAACCGGGGACAGATTGTCTGGGTCGGGTGTCTTATGGTATTTTAACACTTGGAGTTCCTTACGGACCTCTGATTCGGTTGGCGGGTCGATACTAACCGACCAAGGAGCACTGGAGCTAGTGACAGCAGATAATGAAGCTGGTGGCCAGCTAGGCTGTTTTTTGAAGTGCTCTGACCAGATTTCCAGGCGTCTTTTCTGGCTGGTAATTGGCGTGCCATCTGCCTCACAGACGGTCTCGTTGACACCTTGCTTTTGCTTCCGGTGGCTCGGATGAGTTGGAACAGCTTCCGACTGTTGACAGGTGCAGCGGCTGAATCCATCTCATACGCACGCTCTGACCATCAGGCTTCGCGGTCCTTACGTAAACACTCTCGAATCTTGCGCGTAAGCGCCTTCCGCTTATTGTTGTATTCGCTGCCAGCTGCTTTATTTGCGTTGAGTTTGCAATTACTTCAAAGTCAGTGAGTGCTTTTACGTTGTTCACATACTTGACATGTGAGTCACCAAAAGCATTTTCAAGAGGCTACTGAGGACTTTCACCGACACATGCTTCCCAAGTTACCACGATACTGGATATCAGATGGCTGGGCCGGAAGAATAAGCGAAGAGAAACTCTCAGAGTGGAGCGAATTAGTCAACAGCCAACAAATATGCAGACGGAGATGAAGATAGATGGACTGAACATACGCTGAGTTGACCTTCAAGTGACCTCACAAGCGATGTAGGTCGGACAATGGAACCTAAATCAGAAGTGACCAGTTGAGCATGTGCTACAGTTGGCATGAATTAGAGATCAGGTGAAGAGAATATAAAAAACTTGCGATTAGCCGTAGAACCAGGTGAGAATGACGGCAGAGAAGACAGTAAAATGGAGATAATCCACACAGGATGCAAAAAGAAACGAATAAGGGCATACGTGTTTAATGTCAGCCTCTAAAGTATATAAGTGAACAACACAACAGTAATCGCTCTTAATTTATTATCTCAGACTGAAACACTCGGTTTCTATTGACAGATCAACTCCTAGTACGGCGCGACACATTGATGATACCTTGAGATTAACTTGAAGTTAATGAAGCCAATTTCACTAATACAACAAATAATGCCTCATTCAAAAGAATGACTCTCGTGGCTGAATAACCTATTGAACAGTAATTCAGCAGTTGAAACAATGGATGCTGTAGATGTAGAATACCACACCAAGTGACAAGTCCCAAACAGGACAGAATGTGCATCCTATGTGTCACTGCTAATCCGCCCTCATCAAGCTAATAAGAAGAACGGTAAAAACACCATTATTATTACTATTACCTTTATTAGCGCTTACCTCACTGAGTACTTGAAGCAAATAAAGCTCATTCGATAAATAGGTGATAACATCAGGGTGTGTAAATAACAGATTGAGGTATAAATAAAAGACTTGATAGGCTGTAGTAGTCTTCTTTTCACAACTGAATTTTGAACTCAATTCGTGAAATAATTTTGAATTATTCGAATCTTGTTATTTTTGTTTTGGAGGAAAAGAAAAAAAGGTATAGGAAACAGATGAGTTACTTCCAGTACCATTCAAGATTCAGTATTGACTAACCATCACACTGAGGGGATAATCTCACTTGGTCAAACACCAAGTGTGTTCTATGATATTCAGTTGTACGTAGAAAACTTTAGTTAGTTAGGCATGTAGCATTGCTAATGTTGTGTTGTTTTGTTTTAGCTTTGGTCCACGTTGAACGAGTCACATTTTGGGTTCATCTTGTTGTATTTCTTCTGGATAACAATATGCTTCACTTCATAAAAACTCCAGGACAAAATTAGTTAGTATAGTTAAGTGATTATTAATATTGCATTTCTAAATTCAGATTTATTGCATATTGTTTACAGTATGCAGATGTTGTTTTTACGGGGTGGGGTTGTTTAGGCATTTACGTCAAAAACTTTACCTCTTCTCTGGGCTTACTATTAGATAAGTACATAAAACCAGGCGTGGTATGGGAGTGTGCATTGGATGAGAATCGAAACCAGACCTCGATTCCCAGTGAACTAGAAGAAATTAGATTATACATGAGAAACATCTATTAAGTCAGTGTAGGATTGTTGGAACTTTTTGAAATAAATATTGCCAATAAACTAATGAAGTCGCTTTGATTTGTGCAATATCCAACAAAAGAGGAAGAGGAACTGCAACAATTGTGAAAAAAATATTATACTACTGGCCAGAATGGAATATAAATTAGCTATCAAAAGACAAGGTATTCATTCCCTCATATCAATACACGCTGACAACTACGGGTACCGATTCAGTTTGCAAAGTATATATATATATATATATTTCAAAAAGGAAACATTAGGAAATACCAAGAGAATTCTTCCTAGAAGCCTCGTATACAAACGAATCTACAACCAACAGGACACATTAACACATGCACAGTTTTTATCAACATGTTGGATATCCGATAATGACAAGATCATTGTGTGAAGAGGAGATAAAAGTTTGTTGGCAGTCATACGGCGAGGTGAAAATGATGGTATACTGTTGAAGCGCTGTATTCTGCTCGAAACTCAAAGAATAAATTAACCTGGTAGTAATGAACAAACCCGGCCGATAACTGCTACCTTGTGGTGGTGGTCAGGCTTGAATACCGTAATGACCCAACATGCTAAACTGACTGGGAATCTGTCCCTGCAGGTCCTACCATGTCACGAAGGTTGTTGGATAGCGGTTAAACTAAAAGCAGTTACCATGGGGTACATGGACTCTAGTATCAAATCGGATCAAATGGCGTGTGAACCCATATGGGTCACCGGCAACCATGGGGACGTAGCTCCTGACGCTGCTCCGCTGTCTTGCGGATTAGACTACAAGTCAAAGGCTCGGGCGGTGGCCCCTTAATAAAACCATCTGCTTCGGTATATATATAACAACACAAACCAAAAGAAAAAAGTTTTTCTTTTGATTTGTGTTGTTTTATTATTATTGTGTGGCGCATCCTTCTTGGTGCCATACTGTACCAAGTTTATATGCGTTTAAATAAATAAATAATGAACAAACTATAAACATTGTTATTACCAAACAAAACATGACAGTAATAATAATAATAACTTACAACTGAAAAAAAGACGAATTCTTCTTGTTTTCAATGAATCCGGTATGCTTAATAAGCATTCAATCAACTTAATAACACTCCCAAAATCAGACGATTGCAAAAGACAATAGACTGATTCCCTGAGAGCAGCACGTGAAAAGTTAAAATTTCCATAGGAGAAAAACTGTAATAGAGAAAAGGTGAAACGGAAGAAAAATGATTGAAAGGTGAATGAACCAATCAGCGATGCATATATATATATATCATAGAGGACACTTAGTGACATAAGCACTCGATCTACAGAGTTCGAGTCCCGCTCCACCTATTCCAGTTTAATCAACTGGATAGTAGCATAATTAGCTTCAACACACACACACACACACACAAATAAGCATGTGGCTAGCAGCCTGTGACGTCCAGTTCCAAGTAAACTGAGTTCAAAGAAAACCAGATAGCAAGGAAGTTAACAATCATATGTATCACAGTAAATCCAAATTCTATACTCTGAAGTGTGAGCTCATAAAACTGATGATATTGAATTAGATTACAAATAATCCTGAAATAATTGACCAGTATTCCAAAGTTTACAACAATTCGAAATGTAATTAACTCTAATATTATGTGATGTGATGTGGATAAGGTCTAAACTATTTTAAGAGAAATAATTAAAATAAATTCCTAGGGAAAAAAAGAAGACAGTTGTGTAGAGAAGAATCACAAAAAACATGTATGCACCAACTCAGAACACTCAGGTAACACATTTCAGAAATACTTCAAAATGTCTTCCCTTATAATAAAGGATCTGATCAAATCGCTCAAAAGGAGAAAGAGATCAAGACATCTGGACATAGGCTGAAGCATTGTCGTTCCGAAAATTTAATTCGACCATCATAACCAGTTTATTACCTCAAAAAAATGTTTATCATTATTGTGTTGTGTTTATTATCCGAACTTCCCTGTCTCCCTAGAAACATTAAAAGGGAGAACTTTCAGCTGATTTATCAGCTTATCAGTCGGATAAGTTAATTAATTAATTATCTAATCGGTTGGTAATCATAGCTTTATTCTGAAGTGTTTATATAATGTACATAATTTTCAGTGAAGTTATTTGAATATTTTCTCTTCTTTCAGGATTTGAAGCGCAAATCAATCCATCATTATAATATCGCTTGGTTTTCTCCTTCAAGAAATTCACGACGACATTCCGTTGAATGTCAATTGTGAAACGTTCAGCAGTAAATTTTGTGAACCAAGGACACCATACCACTCAGGAACAGTCATCTCATGTATCAGGATAAACTGCCACCCATTAATGATGATGCTTTTACTCTCATGTTTATAGTAGAAACTTGTAAATCACTACAACAGGTTGTGAACATTTTATAAATACTCACAACAGTAAACAATATACTATCAGAGGTCGACTTTTCAGTAGATTTAAACAAACTGAATATAAGAAAAATTATTAATACGCCAGATATTGTGTTGGAGATTTTCGGAAACCCAAGTTTTTAAGCAGACTGCCGCCTAGTTTGTCAATCATAAACGGGATAATACAAAGGTAAGTCTGTTTTAAAAATCCATTCATTTGCCTACTTTTATATCCAGAAGAAAAGGAAATGAACCCAGGATCTTCAGGTTGTAAGACTAGTAGCACAGTAGTGTGGCTAAATGGTCAATGGACTGAGAGACTAGGTAGCCTGACGCTAATAAAATCACTTTTTTCCAGTCTTACTAACAGTCAGTAATCTAGGCGAGGGGCTAAGAGGTTCATCGGTCAGAAATCGAACCTAGATCATCCTCTCCCTCCACGTGTCTGTCTGGCAAACATTATATAACAAGATGAACAGGTGAACTAACCAACAGAATATCTGAGATAGGCTGTAGTGTAATCGAATTCAACAATGAACCGGTTAACTGTTTCAGTACACTTTCTTTATGATTTGATAAAAATAATTGTATCATTGTATTTGACAGAACAGCCACAGGTGTGGACATTGTACAATAAGGATTATGCTGATTGTCTGTATGATGTGGTGTATGCATTTGATTGTCTTCTTTCATAGACGAAGGCGATACAGATGAAGAATAAACACAAGAAGCAGTAGGGGATATATACAAAGAAGTCAAATGCGAAGAAATAGGTGTTTTAGATACTACTGATCCATCTGTTTTCGTTGGAATATTGAGGTATTGCAAAGGAATTTCACAAGATCTGATTAAATAAGAAATAAGGTCGAATAAAATTCTTAAACCAGAGTATATAACTGTACTGCAGTTTGAACGATTACCATTATTATTACTATTATGAGCATGATAACTATTCAAACTCTCGTTATAATCATATTTAGATTGATTAAAAGAGTTGACATGTGAGTTGGATATATTTACAATTGAAGAAGATGATGGTAATGATGAAGAAAAAATTCCATAGATAAGAGCATTTACGCTATGTGAAAGACATAGTTTTGGACAGTCACATGATTGCATCTCGCTCAACAGTTCATTGAATACACTTTTAATAGATTCTTGTATATGATTAAATCTAAGGAGTACTGATGCTGATGGTTCTTGATTCCAAATGGAGAATGCGGAAGAAGTAGAAACAGAAGTACGCACATTATACATTGAGGTAGTACCAAGATTGGTTAGCACAGCTTCATGGGTTAACACATAACTAAAATGTAGGAGGAGGAAAACGAGAGTTAAAGGAACAACAAATATAATTTAGAAGTTTTTAGATTTAGAGATTACACAATTAAAAAAAAACACAAAACAAACTGAGAGTATTATGAACAGGCTGCTGCAGACTTTCATGAACACCTTCCCCACTTTGCTGACTAAATACTGAAGGCTAGATGGCTTGAGTGGAGCACAGGACGATCGTTTCTTCCTAGTATAGAACTATCCGTGACTGCACCAGTGGCCGAATCCAAGATCGTCAAGGTTACTTAGTCAGTCCAACCAGACCACTGGAATTCAACTGTCACTGAATTCTAATTTCCATTAAGACTAATGCCATCCATTTCTCATTAGAACTTCACGACATCCATCCATCCATCCAACAGACACTAATGGGCTGAAGGTCGATATTCATACTACGAATTTTGTGGGGATTTGGATCGATTTCAATGTATATTGAAAATCATAGAGAACTTCACAGCTGTTTCTTCCTATTTTTGAGACACTTCAGCATTGTGCGCCCAAGATCTGAATATTTTTGAACTATTTTTACAATAAAAGACAATTCAGAGCACAAAAATTTTTTCTTTATCAACGGAGTCATCTGCAAGGGCTGTAACATTTTATACATGGCCAACGTTTAGCCATCTATTATTGAGTAGTAGGTATGTGTATGACTTAACTCATATAGTCACCCATATGGAAAAAAAAATTGTTTAACAATAAACAAAACAATGGAGGTAACGTTTTGAAATTTGACAAGGGGAACATTTTTAATAGATGAGAGGCGAGGTAGGTAATTCAGTGTATGCTTGACACGTGTGAAGAAGAAGAAGTAGAAAACAAAACACTAACTACTAGTAAAATACACAAGACGAACACGTAAGGGTGATAATAGTGAAATAAGTAGAAAGAGGTTTAAGAGCATGTTAGGATAGCAGATTAAACAAACCTTCCCCGGAACACAGATCTTTGTGTCATATCGGCGGATTGCTAGCACGCTCAACGAACACAGATGTCGAAGCCTTACACCTCTTATACCACTGACTAACTTCCAGCATAGAGATTAGCACAGAAGTGTAGTAGTCCACATTCCATGTTGCACACAAAAGTAGAAGGGAAGGATTCAAAAGTACCATAAGCAAAAGATATATGAGGGATAAAAAAAAATAGAAAAATTGAAAAACATTACGGCTTAGAAGATATGAGGTATTACAAAGAATGAATCTCAGTTATTGAGAATTATTTTCATTCATCTCGCCAATAATTTCCAGGCTTTGATTCTTAGTATTCCGAGGACTCCGACCAGACACAGCCTACATACATCTCGCCTACAAAGCTCAAACCACCTGTCAAAGACTTCATTGACTGATGCTATCCCTATTATTAAATCATATATGCGTGTTACTGAAGAGTCCCAAAATAAGGAAGAAACAACCGTCGCCCAACTGATGTCAATCAGTTAGTTCATTCAATCAGTTTGTGAACTGACTCCAAATCAATCACCCCACCAAAAAAACTGACACTGAGAATTAATAATAATAATAACGCCAAGGAAAACATTAATTAGCGCAGTGCAACACAGTTGCCTACTTACTTCACTAAAATTTCAGGCAGATGAAGTTTCAACAAATAATGACATTCTTGCATACCATAACTAGCATAATCCAATAAAATAGCAAAATACTGCGCCCAAACTACTGATGACGTAGATGACACCGATGATGATAGTAACGATGAGGATGTTGACGGTACCGGCGTTGATGTTGCTGTTGCCCATAATGATGGATAACGATGATGAAAAGAACCGAATGCAGAAGAATTTGGATCAATTTTTTGCTGATGTTGTTCACTGAAAGATCTCAGTGGTAATGTCGTTGTAATCATCATAGGACATTCTGATGATACTGTTCCTGACGATGACATAGATGATGAAGCATTGCTATTATCTACTACTGAATGTGTTGTACAACAGGAATGATAATATTGTTGAAATGATTTATTCAATGGTAATAAAGCATTTGGCGAGAAATACAACTGATGAATCACCAATTGTATTAAACATTGACCTGGATTGATCATTAACAATTGACTATCACTACTACTTTCAGAGTTATCATCATTATCACCGTTATTGTTATTATTATTGTAATTAAGTGCAGAAGATTGATGAAGAGGATGAGGAGTGGGAGTGGGAGCGGGAGATGTAGCAGCACCAGCAGCAGCTAGAAAACGATTTATGAAACAAGTAGCTGAGAATATACGTGCAACACAATCTATGCTAGAATTTTCTCCAACTGACAATGATGATGATGATGATGATATTGTTTTCCCATTAATTATAGGCCTTGGTATATGAGACAGACCAGTCGTTGAAGTATTCAGCGTATTTCTTAGTTTATCTAATCTAACAATATCAGGATGATGGTTCTTATTATCAGTATTGATCGTAAGGTGGCTATCAGTCAGTGAAATAAAAGCTTTTAGAATATCAGTGTATTGTACAGATGGATCATTCATGCATAAATGGCATATATAAACGATGAGGCTGGCACCAATAAATCGTATCTACAGTATAAAATAATATTAACAACATTAAGAGAAAATTATAAAACAAAAGCAGTTACAAATTAAAGTTCACAAACCCGAAAAAAAATTTAGCGATCAGTTATTTGATTAGATAAAGCAATAAGAAGGTGTAATTTATCTGAATCGTGTAATCTGCATACACTTGCACAACACATTTCGAACAATCTGATCACACACGGACTTGTTATAGAAATATGCTTGAAATTAATAAAGGGGTAAGAGGTGTGTCTATGGAGTTGAAGATTGAACGATCAATTCTTGGTTGTTTGCTCAAAATCAACTTCCCCAATTTTCGCGGAGGCATCAATACGACAGTCATCGTCTCATCGGTCGCTGTTCAGAAAGAAGTCAGCAGTAAACCATCAGCAGTAATATTGTGATTTATTATTGTAATATTTGTTCACAGACCTTAGTCATACCTGATTTATATGTTGGTGTAACAATACAGAATACTCAAGTCAACAATTGGTGTTTTGGTTTTTTCGTCCGTCATTACTAAGCGTTTCTGAGAAACTTCAAGCGACAGCGTGAGCCCGAGCGTAGCAAGAGCTGGGCATTAACGGTTTACGAGACGTGACTGACAAGGTGAGCAAATAGACTTAGGTCAGTAAAAAGTCTGAGCATTGTGGATTAGATCAAATAAAGTATAATTATACTTCAATAGTTTACACACAATGATAAGTTTTGATATTGGTAACAATTCCAACAGTGGTGTGAACACGGGCAGTAATTTTGCTCGAAATATTACCAATAACAAAACTTATCATTGTGTGTAAATTATTGAAATATAATTATTATACTTTATGAGAACATAGACTTAGATCAAGTTAAAAGGACATATTCAAGGTCAAAATAGCAATGAAGATGTACTGCTATTTGGTTTAGTGGTCTTCATTGTTGTTTGGACCTTGAATATGTCCTTTAACTTGACCTAAGTCTACTTTCTCACCTCTTTATTAATTTCATGTATATTATTGTTGTCACAACAGAAGACAAGGGTCAGACAACAGATCCTTTACTAAAGAAATCAACACATATTTCATGTACACTAATATAGATTATTATTAGCGGAAAAACAGTCTTCTGATTGGTTGTTTCTCACTGGAAGTGAATCTTTCATCTCATCATTGTGGCTGTTTACTCAATGTCAGATCATCTATATGCGCTAACTGTATCCGCCTACGCAAAGACTGCTATGGTTGGTTGTTGAATCAGTCTTTGTTCATATTTTTCTCACGACCAATATTTGGGACATCAAACAATGACGTAAATTAATGCCTAAAAATTTGGCTAGCAGCCAGCTCTCACCAAACTATGACAAATCCGTATGTGTGATCAGATTGTTCGACATGTGTTGCACAAATTACATTGCACGATTCAGACAAATTACGTCTTCTTATTGCTTTATCTAAATTCATAAAGGGAACTAATTGTTTTAAAGTTATTTGTTTGTTTGATGGTGCTGGCTTCAGGACAAGCGTTTCGTCATCCTACTTACGACTCGTCAGTTGGACAGACATGGTATGTCATGGTATTCCCATTGTGACTCAAACCATTTCAAACACCAAGAGGCTGGGCTGATTTCATTCACGTTCGTGATATCGTGTTGGTATATCTGACCGAGATTAATCAGCTTCATTCTGATAAATTTAGCTTTCTTGAATGGATGAATCGATATATTTATGATTAAAAATCCGATGTTACTTCTTTTTGTTGGTGGTAGAACTCAGGACACGTGTTTTCCTCTATTTTCAACTCGTCAGCTGAACGTACTTCCAACCCCATCGAGACTCAGATCCAGTACCTATCGATTAAAACACTAAAGCATTATACAACCTTACGAGCGTATAAGTCACATTAGCACTGTTTGAAATAAACCTAAACTGAGATATTCCACGGATACTCGTCTACTTGAAACAAAAGATATTGTGAACAATTTAAATATTCGTCTTGACAATATTAGTGCTGGCATGTTGACATAGGTTTTGAACAACAGACGGTATCACACAGTGTGCGTGTGTGCCCCACATAGTTATGATCACCTTCATCTTCCAAAAACTCCAAAGTTTTCTAATGTACTTCAGACAGCCAGTATAGACTAATACACTACGCTTTGAATTAAATTTAAGACTTGAGTATTTTTAAGCCATAATAAGATGTTTCAGGAAACAAAGATTCATTATTTAGAAGTTCCAAAAAGGATAAGTTTTACCTACATGAGGGTTGCTACCTCGTGTGGATCTAGGTTTGATTCTCAGTTCGACACACTCCTAAACCTCGCTTAGTTTACTAGCCCGGTGGAGAGAAGGTCGAGAGTGAGGCTAGCAATGCAGCCTCGTAAAAACGACACCACATAAAACCTGTGTTCCAGTCAGAATCCAAAAGAGTGAAAGAACACGGTTATTTGGACCGGAGAAAACACTACGTGTCAGTGTTACCCGAAAACTAGACATTCGACTCTAACCCAGTTTAAAGATCACGTAGTTGTAGTTTTATTATGGAATGTGTATTATGAGGAATTTGCAGTAGACATGACAAAAACGTTCCAATTCTCGGTCAATAAAACGATCGACGCCAATACAAAGCGACAATAAATTACAGCCAAGACTATCAGGAAAGACAGTTAAATCATCCACGAGGAATTCCAAGAAAAAAACACAACTCACTTCAAAATGGAGCAGGTGATGAAGCGATGTTATCAATGTCAACTCCGCAATTAAGTCACCTAGCTCATAGAGCATAACTAAATCACAAATATCCACACCTGAGTTATAAACTACTCCATTATTCCAACATTTTAGTGTATAAGTTTTTAAGACCAACTGGGAACCGGTTTAAACTCATCTACAGCACTTAGAATAAGTACCTGTACCTTAATCTTCGGCACTGACGTCAAGTTAGCGGGGGCTTCAATATGGCTCAAACATTTCCAACGGACTATCGCGTAATTTCGTTAAAACCTGCTTGTTCTATTATCTTCATACTAAAGATTAGATAGCCGGCTAGGAAGGATAAGTAAACAACAAGAGGACTCTGGAAACGGAGCAAAACAGCTACCAAACCATAGCCAGAATAGAAAATATGCGCAAAGAAATGGAGATGTATTGAATATACGCCGGAAAGCTTGCGAGTGATATCACACACCAGATAGGCCATCGAGTGGAACCCGAACGAGAAGTGCATAAGTTGGATGCGTATCCAATGGTGATACGGAGGAGATAATATGAAGAGGAAGTGGAAGCTAGTCGGCAGTCGTGGAGCTAGTTCAAAAAGACGGAGAACAGAATACAATCAAGGTGTGCTTCTAAAGCTCATGTTCTTCCCGAAATGCAAGAAATGAATAATAATAATAATAAATCACTATTACTCACCTCCGGATGTGGACAATCGAAAAGTAAAAATTTAATTTGATCTGGTGACTTTAAAAAGGTGGATTTAATTAATTCACATCTCGTCGATGCAGTACTGACAGCAACCAACTTTAGTAATATGAATAACCAACGCTTCCTTTGAATGAACAGGAAAGGGAGCACGAAGTAAACAGGCAAGTATGCTTTAGACATACATGTATATATACACACACAAAAATGTAAACTTTTTATCAAAATGACAGGAATAATGTATTTCTCACGGAAGCTGACACTATTCAAATAACTACTAGTATATGTTATGAAATTTTTAGGTGATGCTTTGCAGGGATTTGATTGATTTCAAGTCAGATCACGGACTGACATCTCAGCTAGAGAGCTAATAAAAACGGGGGGTGGGGGGGGGGTGGAGGGAGCTGAAGAGCTGTTTCGTCCTAGTCTGGGGCTCTTCAAAACTACACACCTATCATCTCATTATTGGTGAGTAAAATTCAGGACCTTAAGGTTACGAAGCAGAGCATGCCAGCATATCTAGCCACTGGGTCGCAGTCCAGTGTGGTTTGTGAATCCTAATTCCTGCCCATTTAAGATGCATAGCGTAATTACCAGTCAAATATCATCGGTAAGTATCTGTCCTGATATCTAACTTAGTGGAATCCACTGGAATCCACGACTTCTGACTAGAACCCTAGGCAACTTCACATTCAGTAATTTTTAGTCAATAGTCAGATTAAATGACAGTGATTGGAGTAACTTAAATACTCACTAGTGGTCAACTACGATAGTGAGTACTAGAGTAAGGAGTAGTGGAAAGTGAAGTCCATCATGTTGGGTGTGAGGACAAAGACTCGTCAATAATATCAACTGGAGCTGACACTATATACTGCGAATCAGTAGAAGTTAGAATTCAAGGATCATAGGATTTTATAATCCTAGGGGTTGGATAGTTAATAGTAACTGGTTCGATCTACAATGAAGTCATGTGTATGTGTAGTAGTGAACAGTGTAAAAATGAGAAAACACAGGTGTCTTGTACTCTCCAGTTTTCAGTGATTCTCTGACTGATGTGTTAGTACAAGCTCTAACTTGAAATTAGTCCCATTCTCGTGAAAATAAATTTCAGAAATGAATTTATTCCACTCAACCAGTCATCGAACTACCGACTGGCTGACTGGTTTCAACATAGAACGTTGCACAAATGTGCGGCAGTTCAACTTGTCACACTCCATGTAGCACACGAAAAATAGAGATGAAAGTAGAAATGAAAAATAGAGACAATAAACGGAGAGATATGAGGCAAAAAGAATAGTAATGGCGAAGAACAATACAGTTTTGTTAGGTATTATGAGTCACAAGGAGTGGATGCATCTGCAACAGCTATTGAGAACAATTTGGAGCCATATCACCAATTGGTTTTTACCGTCCCGAGGACCCCAACCAGGAAGTCTACACCTTCCTATGTGACTGGATTAAACTAACTGTTGTAGATTTCATTGACTGGTGCCATGTTTTGGTTTGACCGCCATTAGCTCTTTTCCAACATGGCTCTATGTCAGCTAACTAAGATTTGCCATCGCCTTCCTCGATGGCTATGCATAAATGCTTAGCATGTCCTAACCATCCAAGTCGATGTAGCTTCACAGCCTCTTCGATTGATTTCCCCTCCTTACCTAGCACACTCGACCGAGGTCTAACCTAAATATTGCTCGCCCTATTATACCACTTCATATGGGAGATAGAACGCAGTCAACTATGATCGAAGGCAGCTAGCCTTCTACGTCTTCCAGTTTCAGTGATCAGGTCTCACAACCAAAAAGGACAACAAAACGAACTGCTGATCAGTACACACGCCCTTCGGTCGACAGTAGGATAACGCCTCTCTACACGTCCAACCATTAAATATGAAGACGGTTATTGATACTATGTACTATCTGCCTACGCAAAACTTAATTCATGATAAGTGCAGTGAGATTCAAAAACACAAACCAGTGACTCAGTTGGTTAGATGTCAATCATCTAGACTAGTAAACTACAACTCCACCGGAACTCAATAAATACAAACTTGCATACGAAGAACACTTGAATAGTTAACTGAGTTGATATCTCATTTGAGCAACACATTGTATTGACAAATTTCAAGGCAAGGCATTCCAGTTGACTGACAGTAGGTGTATATAGCTCAGAGTATAAAAAATATCTCTATATATACCTTACAGTCAGCACATCTGAATTAAAATAAGTTTAAGTGATAATACATCACACACAGAAAAAGAACACATAAAGTATAAACAAATAGTATTTTACACATACCAATTCGATAAAACTGTTTGATAGTGCAAATAAATAAAGTGAAGCAATAATCTAAATGTAATCGGTGTTAAATTCCCTTGCGTAGTAGAGTCTTCCTGTAAAATGAAAGACAAAAAATGGGTAAACATACAACCGAAATCAAAAAGAACTAAAGAATCTGTGACGGACAAATTGTTTAGAAAATCCCTTCCTCGTGGCCGATCTACACTTATAACGTTTATACTTATTTAGATACTTCAACTAACCCTGTAATTACTATACGTTCTCCCCCCTTAGACTGATTGTGTATCACTCATTTGACATTTGCATATCACATGTTGACTTTTGACCTTTATTATTTGCCTTTGTACTTGTTCAATCTTTAATTGTAATACTTCTCTTTTTGACTGTATGTGTACATTGACAATGTGTTGTTTAACAATATAGATTTGTTTGAGTGAATGAAGTTGTCGTTGAACAGAACCACTAAAATATTGGAGAACAATCGTCTTTTCTATGCATTCAGAACGTTTTGTGATAGTTCGTGTCTCGAAGAAGTTTTGCCGGCTATGTGGAGGTTGATTTTTTTGTCTTCAGACCATGATCGAATAAATTAGGTGGTTACAGTATGCACCAATGAACCCAGTAGTGATGAGCAGATTCAGGACGTTTGGGTTACAAGGCAATCTCGTTGACCAATATTCAGCAACCTATTATTATTATTATATCCTTTAATTCCTAGAGGAACATAGGGCTTCAACCGCGCGTCTCCGTTGCGTTCAGCTTTCTGCCAACTTTCCCACCCCACTCCAAGTCTGTCCACACGCTTTCATCCCTTCTTCACATGACCTCCTCCAAGTCACCCCTCCAATGACGACCAACTGGCCGCTTTCTTTTCGGGTTCCACTTGAGCAATGGCTTGTCTAGTGATGTCACTTGATGGTTTCCTCAGAGTATGGCCAATCCATCTCCATTTCAACCTGAACGGGTAAAATTTTTATTACATATGTTCAATGTTGACTGACCACCTCACTCTTCAACTAACACCTTACTTTGTGGAACCTACTGACATAAGGAACGGGAATGTTACTATTATATCTATTAGTGAGAATTCATTTGTTGCCTGTCCACTTGCTTTGTCACCTCAAAACCAACCTTCAGTTAAATGTGTTCTTGCTTCGTTCAATTTTATGAAAGGAAATATATAACTGTATAAATATTTCATGTTCAAATTATCTGTGTCATATCTCTGTATGTATAAATGACAGTAATTTTATACAGTAGGCATAATTTTCAGCGTAGTCTATAGCACAATATTTTCTTTTCATCCAGGAGTTTCAAGTATAAACAGCCAACTCCAGTATATCTTGTGATGCAGTGATGTTAGATCTGAAAACTGAAAGCAATCCTTTATGGTGCTGTTCTCTGGTCCCCCAGAATTGAGCAATGCACTTGGTAAATTCAGGTAGCCCGTTGATTCAAGCAAACTGCCAAAATTTCTATACCTGGGGCATCTACTGGCGGAAAACAAAACCTGATTCAACCACTTGCCACTTGCATTTGGTACATATGCAATCCTGATGACATGCAGGGAGAGTTGAGTCTTCTAAGAAAACTCTTCCAATAGAAAATGGATATCTACCATTTTTAATAGACAAGACTTTACAGCCAAAACCTATGTAATGTTATGACTTGATGTCTGTATCTAAGAAAATTCAAAGGCGACCTAGGTGTCGGCATCCTTCGTGAAGGACATTTGGGACATCATTGCTGAGAGTAATGTTTCCCAATCAGTTATAACTGGTTGAATAACCTAAAAAGACAAGAATCCACTGTATTTATGAAGAGTTAGGTGATTCCCCGTTGATGTATCTGGTCGAATTGAACGGCCCTGATGTTGGTACAAGGGTTCCTAGAATGGATGCTCCGATAATACCAGGATTACTCACTCACTAATAGAATCCAAGGTGCGCGTTTAGGATTATTAACAATTCGGCTAAATGTACTTGCCTCCTCAATGTGTGATGTTGTTTCCATCGATACTCCACTCCAGTCTGTCTGTCTCTGTCTGGGTTCAACATAGAACTTGGCACCGGAGTGCAACACTTCGAGTTGCCACGTTCCAAATACCACACAAAGGTAGACAAGAAGATGAGTGAAGAGAATCAATAGAGTTTGACAAGTATAAGAGTGAAACAGTATGGGTAATGGTAGAAAGAAATATGAAAGATTACAGAGACTGAATACATCTGCGCTGGCCATTGACAACGATCACTTTGAGCCATGTCACCTATTGTCTCCAGCCATTGATTCCTAGAGTCCCGAGGACCCCAACCGGGAAGTCTGCATCTCCCTACCTGACTCAGTTTAACTGTCAAGGATTTCATGGATTGAGGCCATGTTTTTGTTTGGCCACCACTTACTCTTTTGTGACCTGCACCTATATCAGCTAATAATGCCCGTCGGGGAGGGGGAGGCGATGGTTAGGAATGCGCAGCACGTGACCTAGCCATCTCAATCTATGTAACTTTATAGCTTCGTCGATTGATTTTCCCTCTTTGCCCAACACTCTACGCCTAACGTCAACATTACTTATCTTGTGAAACCACCTAACGTGAGACAGAGATCGCAGACATCTATGATCGAAAGCAGTCAACCTTTTCATGTCTTCAACGCGTATTGGCCATGTTTCAGAGTCATAGAGAAGGACAGATCGAACTGCTGAGCAGTACACACGTCCCTTAGTTGATAACCGGATGTCACGCCTACGCCAGAGATGGTGTAAGTCAGCGAAAGCAGCTCGAGCTTTTCGGATCCGTGCTGAGATTTCATCGCCAATCAGTCCGTTGGTGCTAATACAACTTCCCAAATAGGTGAAGTGGTCAACATGTTCTATCACTTCACTCCCTATCACTAAGTTAGGAGTTGACGTGGCCCAGTCCTGTAGCAGCATCTTACATTTTGCAGGGGTGAATCGCATGCCAAACATACGAAGATTGCTGCTCAGCTCAAGGTGTTCAGAAGACTCTGCATTTTGTCAGCATCCTCCCCTAACAGGACTCCACTCCAGTACGTGTCACTTCAAAAACCCAAAATGTTATCCACTAGTCTACTAGAAAACTGTTTTCTAACTGATTTTTCTACCGATTATTTGTTGAATGATAACTTGTAACAGGTCGTTTAAGCTGTCTTACGCGAAACAAATCATTCGTGTACTCGAATATAATCTACACCTATTGTGAACAAGTGTGTGTGTGTGTGTTCGTGTGCCGTTAATACTATCCAGTTGACCTAAGATGGGATTCAAACCACTAGAACAAAATTGACTGAAATCTCAATGTTCATGAACGATTAACTATTATCATGTCTAACAGATAATAATAATAATAATATATCTATGGGTATTATTCAACTATTTATTACCGTGAAGAGCTGAATATTATTACTGACGAAGTGGTAAATAAAATCTGGAATCAATGGATGAAATTGCATACGATAATGCAAATGCTGAATATTTTGTGAAATAATAATATCTTTTACACGTTCAGCAAACAGTTTTGATTGATGACTATCAGAGCCTTGAAATAGAAAAGAACAAACGAAAAAAAAAGCATTGAAAGATACCGATAAAAAATTAAAGAAGAGTGGTCACAAATGTCTGTAAAATGAACTGTTATTATATGTTATAAATTCAATCAAAATAAGTATCTTGGAGCATGAAAACAGCTCCTACAAGAGGTTGCTGATGAGCGTAAAAATAGGTACAAAATCTAGGTGTTAGACTTCCTGCTGGCTGCCATAAACCATGCAATGCTAAATATGTACATGGGTAGTTATCACTGGCATACGACGCACATGGTCCAACTCCAATTGTTGGCGACACACTACTCCCCAACTTAGCTTAGTTTAATTGCCGGTAGTAAACTAGATGGTTGAGTGTGAGACTGTCAACAACTTCTTCCCCATTCGACCGCTAGAAAAACAATACTACCACTGCTGAAACTCCAAGAGCTTAAAATCCTATGTTTCAAGGTGAACGCAATGAACGAAAAGAAAAAATTAAATACCTCCATCCTGAATACTGAGATGATGAATCTCTTTATACAGGTAAAAAAAAACCTAATCAAAACTTCAAAGAAGATGGTGTGCTGCAGTATAATATAATGCAGATTGGGACACAAATTACGTTAACAGTGTTTTCGTTAATTTCTAAATGCAATCCGGTTATAATTTAAGTATACAGTTCTGAAAGGCTTTGAGGAGGACTTTCAAAATAAAAATGACAATACTGGCAGTTACAGTGATGGTTGTTCACCAGAGAATAGCCAGTGATTGCATCCATTATAGTCCTACAGGAGGTCAACCGTTGTAACAACAGAAGACAAGGGCCAGGCAACAGATCCTTTTATTATGAAAATCAACACGTATTTATACATCTTTCAACTACATTATTATAGACAAGCGCAGTCATCTGATTGGTTGTTTAGGTAGACAAACGCAGGCTTCTGATTGGTTGTTTCGGGATTCCTTGACAAATAGAGTTCTCTATCTGCGAATCATATTTTGCCACGTTAACTTTGCTGTGATTGGTTGTTGACTCAGGCTTGTTCATATTTTCTCACGGCCCATATTAGTGACCTAGACCTTAACGTAGATTAGTGCCAACCAATCGGCTAGCAGCCTGCTCTCACCACACTCGTCCCCCCGTCAAATAGCTTCGTGCGCAGACGTTCCGACCTTCTGGGTGCTACATCCTCTAGTTGAGGATTGTTACTGACCGGCTTGTCCCACTGTACCCATCTTTGGAGCTGACTGGCGTTAACTCGTTTCTGTTTATCACCTCTTCGGATGGTATATACTTGACCCCGTCTTTTTGTGATTGTGTATGGTCCTTCCCACTTTGGAAGGAGTTTCCGTGAACCTAGCCCGCCTCCAACTGTATATCTCCTGTCTCTACACTTCACTTGGTCCCCGACTGCAAAGGTAATGCACTGCGTCCTTTCTTTCATCTGAGACTTCATGACATCACTGCGCTGCTTCCGTATTACATTCTTGACTGCCTCTTTCCTCTCTGCTTTTAATTTCGTCGTACTCCACTTTTGGTGCATGGGCCAGGTCTCATTGTGTACCGGTAATCGTGGTTTTCTACCATACATCAGTTGGAAGGGTGACTTCTTCGTTGTTTCCTGAGTGGTAGCCCGATGTGTTAGTAAAATCAGTGGAAGCTCCGTTTCCCAGTTCCCGCCCTTCGAGGCCAGCCACTCCTTCAGTGTACGGTTGTTTCTCTCCGTTAGGCCATTCGTTTGTGGATGGTATGGGGTCGTTCTGATCCTCTTGATGCCCAGCTGTTGCAAACGGGAAGTAAACTCTTCACTCTCGAAACAGGGACCTTGGTCTGTCAGTATTGTCTTCGGTACGCCGTGGTCTGCAACAATGTGTCTAACTACTGCATCTGTCACGGTTCTTGCACGTTGGTCTGGGATTGCTACGGCGTCTACCCATCGTGTCGCGTGTTCCGTCATCACCAAGAGGTACTGATTACCATTGGATGTCTGAGGAAATGGACCCATGACATCTACGGACCACAAGTCACCTATCGCGGTAACTGGAATCGACTGAAGTGGTGGTCGTATACACCGGTCACCTTTCATCAGCTGGCACCGTGGACATCCAAGTACGTATCTTGCTACGTCTTCTCTCATACCTGGCCAGTACATACTTTGTCTTAGGAGATCGGTCGTTCTGGCCACGCCTGTATGCGCTAGCTGGTGACATTCTTCTATCATGTCGTGGCGCGACGATTGAGGTATGACAGCCAGCCAGCTTCCGTCGTTCTCTCGCCAGGTCAGAGTCCCGTAGGCATTCACTCTGAGTCGATCCCTCTGTCTGAGTAGTGTGGTTAGCTCCTTACTCGCCGTAGTTTGATCCACTTCTATTCCGTTGGTGATCACCTGTATTACTGTATTCAGCGTATCGTCCAACCTCTGCCTACGTGCAAGTCTTAGTGGGTCTTGTTCTACTGCATGCACTCCGTAAGCGACCTCGGGCAACTCAGACTCATCTTCTGGTCTCGATAACAAATCTGCCAAGACATTTTCACTTCCAGGAACGTGTGAGATCGTAAAATCGTACTCCTGAAGACGCAACATCCACCGTGACAACTTCCCCCGTGGGTCTCTCGCTGTCTTCAAAAATTGTAGCGGCTTATGATCAGTTTCGATGTGGAACCGCCGGCCGAGTAAATAAGGTCTCCATTTGTCGACTGCCCATACCATTGCTAAACATTCTTTCTCTATCGTTGAATACTTTCTCTCTGCGAGTGTCAAAACCCTACTGGCATACTCAACGATTCCCTCGTCCTGTCTTAGGACCGCACCTATAGCGTAGTCACTGGCATCTGTGCACACTGTGAACTGTCTTCCTGGCACAGGTAGTTTTAGCGTCATTTGTTGGTGGTCGAGCAGCTGTTTAATTCTGTCGAATGTCCTCTGCGATTCTTCCGACCAAACAAACTTTGGCTCACCTAGTAGCCTGTATAGAGGGGCTGCTATCTCATTGAAGTTCTTCACGAAGCGGCTATAAAACGCTGCTCTACCCAAGAATTGTCTCAGTTTTCTCTTTGAATTCGGGGCTGGAATCGTTTTAATCGTCAAAATTTTCTCCGGCAGTGGTTTAATCTCACCATTTCCCACTTTATGTCCCAACAGAGTAACATTCTTTTTGGCTATCTGGGACTTGGTTTTGTTGACGCGTAGTCCAAACTCTTCGATGCGTCGCAGCACGGCTTCTACATGGTTGACGTGATCGTTTTCGTTTTGACTGTATATGACGAGATCATCACCATAAACCTCCACGTTTTTCAAGTTCCTAAGTAATAGCTTCATCAGTCGTCTGAACGTAAACGGTGCACCTGCTAGTCCAAACGGCATGCGTTTAAATCGATATTGTGTCTGACCCACGATGAAAGCCGTCTTATCTCTATCACCTTGTTTTATCGGTATCTGCCAGTATCCTGAGCGAAGATCGAGAACCGAAAACACATTCGCACCTTGTAGGCGATCTAAAGTTTCTACCACTGTTGGCATGGCACACGGTCTTAACTCTGTCATACTGTTTAACTGTCGAAAATCAACACAGAATCTATACTTCCCATTCGCTTTTTTTACTAACAGCACTGGAGAGTTGTACGGGCTATCAGCTTCCTCAATAATGTCATCTTTTAACATCTCTTGCACTTGTCGCTCCACTTCGCCTTCCAGATGACATGGAACTCTTCGCGTTGTAAATGACCTTACTTTCGGATCACTTAACGGAATTTCATGATTCACCTTATCGCAATAACCGTATGGGTCGCCATCTCCAGTGAACAGATGATCGTATTTACTAATTAACTCTGTCACATTGTGTACCGTCGGCAGCTTAATCGCTGCTATCTCGCTGGTCTCATACATGTTGATATGCCCGTATTTCGTGACCACCACGTTCGCTTGCGTGTCGATTATGGCACCAATCTCACGCAGAAAATCCGCTCCTAATATCGTTCGCTGTAGTTCGGGTACAACAATGAAAGGAAACGTCACCTCGCAGCCACCAACAACGACCGTACAGTTCGATCTACCCGTTATACGCAACACATACCCGCCTACTGTTTGTACTGTCAATGAACACGGGCTAACACTCTTACATAAATTCTTATCTATTAACGACACGGCCGCCCCTGTATCTATCAAACATACTACTTCTCGATCATTCACTCGCAACTTCGAATACAGAGCGCCTTTCTCAATAGCCCCCACTAAATCTAGGTTCATACGAAAGAAAGAACAAGCATTATACCGTCTGAAATTTTTTCTTTTCCGCCTTTCTGGGCAGTATCTTCTCCAGTGTCCCGGCTTACCGCATTCAAAACACCGGTCTTTTCTATCAGCCAACTTTAACGCCGCCACTTCCCGCTGCAATGCTTCAATTTTCTGCTCATACTCGTTTGGTTTTGGTTGGTCTATAGCGGCTACCGTTGTGCTCAGCAGCTGTCTGGTCACCTTCGCCAGCTCGCTAATATCCATCGGCTGCGTTGCGTTAACCAGTTGTAATCGCTGAGAAATGTGGTCTGGGACACTCTCGATGAATTGGGAAGACAGTAACTGCGCTTCTGATTCTTCATCTAAAGTGGGAAGTGCGCGTCGAAGTAGATTAGTCAGTTTCACCGCCAACACTAGCGGGTCTCCATCAGGTCCAAGCTTCATTGACCGGAACTGCTGCATTGCTAGCTGTCTGTCTGTTTCGCTGTCAAACTCGGAAACTAGTCGTTCAACCAATTTCTTCCAAGACGCTGTGCCATTTGACCTGTCTACGCTGTCATATGCAGCCTTCGCTCGGCCTCTCAACAGCGTCCCCAAGACAACTGCCTTCGCTGCCTGCTCCTTGACACCCACCAGCTCAGCAACAGCCTCGAAGTCACGTAAGAAGCTCCTTATGTCTCCTTCTTCAAACGCAGCTGGCCACGGGATCTTCATTTTCTGGAGGCAGCGACACCAAATGTAACAACAGAAGACAAGGGCGAAGCAACAGATCGTTTTATTATGAAAATCAACACGTATTTATACATCTTTCAACTACATTATTATAGACAAGCGCAGTCATCTGATTGGTTGTTTAGGTAGACAAACGCAGGCTTCTGATTGGTTGTTTCGGGATTCCTTGACAAATAGAGTTCTCTATCTGCGAATCATATTTTGCCACGTTAACTTTGCTGTGATTGGTTGTTGACTCAGGCTTGTTCATATTTTCTCACGGCCCATATTAGTGACCTAGACCTTAACGTAGATTAGTGCCAACCAATCGGCTAGCAGCCTGCTCTCACCACACCGTGAGTTCATATACCTCAGTGGTAACAACTCTGACTCTTCTTTGAGGTTGTAGATACGCCTTGCTGACAACAAGAGTGCCAACAAGCATGATTCCTAGGTGCAGATCTTTCTGCTGATTACTTCAAACTATCTAACATAAATACTGACAGTTAATTATCCCTAATAGATGGACTTTCTATGCAACATGTATTAACAGGTGTATAAAATACTTAAATTTTTATAACCTGATTCGTAATCAACTGAACATCATATGATTAATAGTTAAATGTCAAAAACAAAACAAAAAAAAACACAACACACCATAAAACAATCTTGAGAATAGTAAATATTAAAGTAACATGGATTCCGTGTCACAGTTGTACTAGTAAAAAAAATAATTGTGGGGGTTCTCAAAAGAGGCTAACTGCATACACAGTCCTGTCTTACTCATTATAAGGGAAATTACTCAATTCTAAAAAAAGCCTATTTACCAATTCTAGGTATCGGTAGTTTTTTTATTTGTTCTTGAAAATCTTCCCTTTCATAGAATAATAAGTATGCACTCCACCAACGTTTATCATGACGTGAACGTGAAAATTTAGGCACATCATTTAATGGCTGTTTCAGTTCATCGCCAAACCAATGACTTACGGCCTCTTCATGTTTGTCTAAAGGAACTGGGAAAACCTGAAATTGGAGAGAGATAGAGAGAGAGAGAAGAAAAAAGGAGAAGCTAAACACACACGAAACTAGACCCTTTGTAAACATCTTGCTTGTAAACTGTTAGTGGGAAAAAGAGTAATTTAGTTTGAATTAAATTCTATTTGATGATGACGTTTCAAAAAATGACTAATTATATGGAGATATAATGGCAGCTTTTTAAGTCGGAAAGTCGACGGTAGAACGCTTGCCAACACCATGCATCTGATCCAGGTTCGAAACCCCGGGCAACTCCTAGTAGTAAGTATGGAGAGGCTAAAAATTTTGGTGTGAGGTTAGCAACTTCACCCTGTAAAAGCAGCACCATCGATGATGAGACTTTAAAGCTTGAAGCCGTATGTTCGACCAAAAATGCAAAAGTTATTGAAACAGGTTCTCATAGCACTTGAAACGGAAGCAGCATTAGCGTTGCGCTGCTGTAAGGACTGAGGCTGGTCATTTACTGCCCGTTTGAAGTATTTTTATTTCTTTCGGGCTGCTACAGAATCGCCACAAATTAAGGTGAGATAAACAATTTCCGGAGTCAATCTTTTCTCAACCCTCAAACTTCGGAGTTTAGAGGCAGAACAGCTGGCTTGAGGATCATCTCAAGAAATACCTTACTTCTGCTAAATCCCTGTTCGCCAGCAGTACAACTTTGCAGACTCATACTATGATGCTGACTTCTTTTCAGTCTAACCGCATGGCAGGACCTGAAAGAACATTCGTTCCAGCCAGTTTAGCCCACTGGCTCGTTGTGATACGTAGGCTCAACCATCATTCCAGGGTAGCAGGTATCGGTCAAGGTATCATAGAGATATGTACCTCTGTTAACATGGTTTAGAAAGAAAGTCAATCGGGATAACAATAGTCACAGTAAGATGTGACATCTCAATTTGTTGATTGGATATATCATCACACAGTGACACATAATTTTAATGCAGTTGCGTGATTTTAATTAAGCAACTCTTGTTGTAGTCAACGGCATATATATATATATATCCCTATGGTCAGTTAATAACGAAATAATCTAAATTAAGATGAATGCTATGAAAATTAACCCACAAAACTTACATTATGATCTTCATATCTAAACCATTTATACGTTCGTGCTTTAGGCACATAGTGTCGTATGAAGGAGTAATAATGTCCCGATGATGCTTCACCGCTGTGAACAACAACACCACGTAGATTGTACTTTGTACATGGATTCTCATTGTTATCAACATCTTCTTCACTGGTATTTTGTTGTTTTTGAGGTTGTATTACATCAGTGTTATGGTTCGTATTCACTTCACTACTACTAATATTTACCTCATCATCATTAGATGCATTCATTGAATCTTTTAAACCGTGAACAGTATACGGTAACATATCCAACTGACGTGGAAATTCACAGTAATTATTGAACTTTAGTGAAACACCTCTTTAAATTGATGAAGATATAAAACAAAGTATAAAATTATTTATCTTATCTAGTAAAGGTATTCAAATGAAAGAAAAATAAATTAAAGTGCTAATTGAAATTGTGAAGCTTTATAGCTTAGGTGAAAGATTTCGCCTTAGCTGAGAAGTTTTTGGTGTCCTTCAAGACATTTTCAGTGCAGACTTATATACATATATATATATATATATCAGCAACTTAATAACAGCTTACTGAATTTCCATGAAGTTGAGAAATTAGAGAATATTGAGTAATTTCAGATCACGACAGCATGCATGCCCTGAAGTCAGAAAAAATGTCAGATTTTGTGAATATTAACAAGGCAGTTTAAATAAAAAAAATATATAAAATATTGGAAAGGAAAGATTTTCGACCAGGAAACCCTAATTCAGAAAATACTCTAATCCTACTTTTCATTTCACCTGAACCATAGACCATCTAACCATAGACCAATCCTTACCGACCCCTAACACAATCACACAGACCATCGAGTGAAACCCAAAGGGGAAGCGATGTGTTGGACGTTCAAGGTTGACAAGCAGGAGATCATTGCGTGAAGAGAAAAAGAAAGTTGGTAAGCAGTCGTGGAGCTAAGTGAAAGTGATAGCAGACAGCAGAATACAATAGGGATGTGCCACTGAAGGTTTAAGTTCTACTCGGAATATAAAGAAGGAATAATAACTATTATAACATTGCTACACCAACACACACACACACACATATATATATAGCAGATAGACACTCAAGGTAAAAAAAATTTTCACTTACTGTTCCCAATCATAATCGAACCGTTTCAACTGGATCGCCAAAACTAAGGGGAGCTTTTGAATGCACATACGTTTCAATATTGGTATCTTTTTGTCGCACACACAACAATGATACGCATTGTCCCCTTCCAGTAACTCACCTTTCACATATTGTTCAAGTGAGTCAAGTAGGTTTCTATGATCCAATATGTCAACATTGAGCGTTGTAAACGACTCATAACTTGTGTATCTAAAAGTTAGTGGGTATAGAAAATAACATAGAATAATTAGAGAAAATAATAACCACACACACACACACAAATCTGTTATCTATAAAGTTATAATACAGTGGGGATTTGTGTAAAAGCGAGTCTAAACACTATACAGAAGAAATTTTATATGCAGAAAAATTTCGTCTGTTATTTTTTCATCGGTATATGATTGTGATGCAAAAACAAAGGAAAAGATAGCTAGTTTTCCTAGACCTGTGTGCATTTGTAAATTCCACTGCTTAGCCAGTTGTGTCACAAAAAGATGATCATGGTAACGGACAGACACAAAAAGCACCACAAGCTCCGTTTTATCATATTTAGTTGATAATGGTCACTCACTAGATAAAATTCCAATATACAATGTCATGGGTGTGTTACCATTCAAAGTTGAGGATATAGATGATAGAAGGAGGTCATCAAATGAATTCTGCGACGATTTTCCAACCTAGGGCGTCAACCTGAGAAGGGTTGTAGGTGTACTGCTGTAAGTCCTACAATTCTTCAAGGGTAGTATATCGAAGCGAAGTCCATCGTACTTGGTGTGTTGTTTTGTACATATGTTCATGTTGTATATACTGAATTGGTATCATCTTTCATCTATCTGTTGGTGACTTTGTTTTTGTCCGGACATCTTCCACTTGTATCATAAACCTGAGAAGAAATGTAGGCGTACTGCTGTAAATCCTACAGTTCTTCAAGCCAGAATCCACAACATTTGATGTATTGTTTGTACATATGTTTGTGTTAAGTAACTGAGTGGGTTCCAATTAATATAATCGTTGGTTAATCTTGTTTGTGTCCGGACATTCTTCAACCTACAATCGTCAACCTAAGAAGCGTTGCAGGCGTACTGGTGTAAGTCCTGCAATGCTTCAAAGGAATTGCATCAAGACATGATCTGCGAGGTTATGTGTACTGTTTGTATATATGTGGGGTGTGTCATATCAATTGGTGTTTTTTGGATTCACTGTGTTTGCTTGTTGTTTTCGTACCTTGTTCTTATGCATAATTTCGTTAAAATTTTCGTCGTGGTTACTTCTGAAGTTGTGTCCACTCTTCTACATCCGTGAATGAATTGATTGATGTTAAAGACAGCAGATGGGTCGTATACGCCAGGGAGGCTAGACTAGTGCTGAGAATAGCATGCACACAGGGATAATGACTAGCTGTGGTCCTACACGCCGGGAGCGAGGGTGAAGATGACTGAGGCTTGCATACGTCACCGTCACTAGAACTGAGGCAGAATGAGTGAGAAGCGATCGCGGTGGTAATTGATAGTGAGCAGATAAGAGGATGTGCGAAGAGTATCATGAGGTGCTGCTATGGTCACGTTGCGTTCTGCAAGAGTCATTCTAGCAAGTGGCGATTGTGTTGCAAGATGTCAAGAGGATGCCTTTAACTGGAAGGCGTAGGTCATCATCGATGAGTGTGCTGTGGGTATGCGCCTGTGGTGTGTTGACTTTTCTGTTTGTTTTCGATTTTAGCTTTGTCCTTGTAACCCAGGTTCTCGCAATGGCATCCAAGTCAAAGTGTATTGGTCGTGATGGATCCCTTTTTTGCCAGGGAGTGTGGTGGTGAGGTCCAGAGTAGTAGTAAGAGCTGGACATTGACAATTTATGAGAATTGGCTGACACTCCATATTGAAGTTGAAAATCCGGGTCTTATTTTTCATACTGAGTGATATGGATCTCCACACAGAGCTAAGAGTAATTAAAGCCTGCCTTGCTTTTTGATCCTCCCTTTGATATCCTCATCAGTTCTGCATGTAGTTGAAACGATGCTTCCCACGTAGGTAAATGAGGTTGTTTCTTGCAGATTTCTCCCATCGCTGCGAATTGCTGTCTGTTGTTGGCCAGGAATCTTCATCACCCCTGTTTTCTTTATATTCACTTGATGTCCCTCCTATCTTTGATGCTTCTCCTGCCAACTTGTTGCTTTTCATCTGCGTATCTTCCAGTTTGTGGGAAATCAGACATCTATCATCGGCGAAGTCTAGATCCTTCAAGTTTTTTGTGTGACTCCATTTTATGCTTGTTTCCTCGCTGCCGGCCAGTGTCTGTCGCATTATCCAACATTCTGCAATCAGGAAAACCATTGGAGATAGAAGGCAGCCAGCTTGTCTTACCCGAGTTTTCACTTCGAAGGATTCCGTGAGTTTCCTGTTTCGGATTCCTTGGCATGCAGCATTATCGTACAACTGTTGGATGAGATGCATAACTGTTGGCGGCACCCCGTAGTAGCAAAGTAGTTTCCAAATAACCTTCCGATCGAAGCTGTCGAAGGCCTTTCTAAAGTCGATGAAGTTGAGATAGAGAGGTGACTGCCATTCCAATGTGTGTTCAATGATGATCAGTAGTGTTGCGATTTGATCGATAAATGACTTGTTTCTTCTGAATCTAGCCTGTTCCGGTCGAAATTTCTCATCGAGGGCTTGTTTGATTCTCTCAAGGATGATTTGGCTTAGTATTTTGCTTGGGATAGACACGAGCATAGAACCGCTCCAATTCTTGCATTGAGGTCAAATCTTAAAAGTTAGGCAATACTAAAGGTGGGTGAAGTGGACAGATAATCAGAGTTTAAATTGTGATTATTATTATTATAAAACGCAAAGGAAATGGAACATAAGAAAGGGTGAGAGGGTTTAAAATTAGACTTTACCCCCTAAGCCAAGGAAGAGAAAGGTGGAACAAACTTTTTTAAGCGAAAACACTAGGACTGTTCCCTCGAATTAATTCCCATAGCTTCAGCTATGTGTAAATGGCGGGTTAGAGTTCGAATTTCAAAGTCATAGAAGATAAATACACAAAGCGTCTTACAATTTATACATGTTACACACTATTAGATTTTCTACAGAGACATACATGTTATAGAGCTAGGTGTTCTGATTTGCTTTTTATTGTTGGCTTTACTACAAAGAACTTGAACAGTGTTGATATGGCTGATAAAGTTGATCAAGACTTCCTATTGGAAACTAGAAATAATCAGATCATTCGTATTAAGAAGTAGTGCTCGCCAGTCAGATTCTCAGAGTTCCACTAAGCACTCAGAGCGCCTAATCATTCGATTGATGACTAGCTAACTATTTAGACCAGTTGATGGTGAAGATTTATTACAACTTCATTTAAAAACCAAAGATATTCAGAGCATATATATATATATATATTGCTGATTAAACACACCAATTTAGATAATAATAAATGGTACTATTTCACGTGATTTGTCTCCAACTTCTTATATCAATAATCAATATCAATAGTGGTATATACCTATCTAACTACCTAACACTTTAGTGTCGCAATTTGGCAAGGATAGATGAATGAAATTGAAAGGAGAATATCAACATATGAGTACACATCATATCTCACATGGTACACTTACCGATGCGGACAATCTAGACATATTTTTTGATCGGCGAATTTACCACCTAATATAACTTCAACAATCTTGGGTAATTGACACAATTCTAAGGCTTCATCTAAATTATTACCAAGGATATGAAAAAATTCCACTGCATCATGTTGTTCTCCAACCTGCACAGTTTCTGAACGAAATCTAAAAAAAATATTATGATGGAAAGAAAAAAAGTCGCCCCTTTTGGACACTTAGAAAGCAAAAGCATGACGAATTGGTAGTACGCATTGTGTAAATAGTTTTAATGCTGGCATACTACACAACCGATGGTGATTCCTCAATTGAAAGATGAAGTACCGAGACTAACCACTTCTAATTGTATCTACCAATTCCACTGTGCTTGTTTTGGAGTGAGTTGTATTGGCCGTTCCCCTAAGAACTTGATTCTTCATGTTCGAGAACATATCCCAGTATGACTAAGTAAAGGTGGAATAAAAACCATCAACAGCTAGATATTAGGCAATCTGGTCCAAATCGGCCACAAAGCCATAATTGATCAATCCTTCTTTATCATCTACCGGGTAGCAAATAGATTACCAAAAACATCCAGGTACCGCATAGTCCAAGCAGCAGAGGCTATTGTAATTCACCTGAAATAAGAGGTGAGCAATATTGAGGTTAGGCCTCGTTCGAGTGCTAGGTAAGGAGGGGGGGGGAATCAATCGACGAGGCTGTGAAGCTACATAGACTTGGATGGTTAGGACATGTTATGCATTAATGAATAGCCAACGCCTTTTTTGATTGGACACTAGTAACCAGTACAACTTATCTACTCCTTCCTTTGGTGCAGACTGAATTCTATCAGTCAGGTTTGCTGACGAGTGCCAAGTAGCACGAAAAATAGGTCTAAGGCTTCCTGTGACCGATTGCCTCCAACTGTCCAATATTATCAAATCAATGTGCACCGTGATGGCGACCCACCTAGGATGGTGGCCACATTGCGAACCTGACTGATAGAATTCAGTCTGCACCAAAGGAAGGACTAAACAAGTCGCACTAGTTGCGACTCGAACTGCTGCACATTTTTGCAAAGTTCTATGTTGAAACCAGTCAGTCAGTAAGACAGGTGTTCTGTGTGCAGAAAAAGCAAGTCTAGCCACTCCTACTGCCGTGGCCTTCAGTGGGACTATGAATTATTGAATTAGTATCATTATCTTTCCTAGTTTTTCTGACATTCAGTGTATTGTTATATTGATTCAATATTATTTGAATAATACTTATGATGTTAATAACACTAATTTATTCACCATTATGTGTATATAACTATACAAACTGAGGAAGTTATAGAAAGGAATACTCTTTGTTCAGTAACCATTGTTTTGAAAAAAATTAATGGGCAATTTTAATAAGTTTTAAAGTTGTTGACAGAATAAAGAGATGTAAAATGTGAAAAACAAGTTTATGATATCTTTTGATGTATCACCTCCTTGTTTAGTTCACCAATATACCGTTAATTGAGACGACACTGGATCTTATATGTGATGAGATTACTATGAGAAACATATAGACACTAGCATTTCTCGTATTCTTCATGAAGAAGGAACTTATTTTGAGATGTACAATGAATATTCCTTTTTTGTTCGATAAGGAATACTACAGACAAACTGATAGTATGGCTATGGGTTCCCCCAGCTGACTTTCTGTTCATTAAGTTAGAGAATGGACTACTGAAAGGAGTAATTAATGAGTTGGAATTCTATTGTCGATATATGTGGATGATACATTTCTGGTCATGAAAAACGAGAATGAAGCAACGGACATCCTCGACAAACTAAATGATTTGTATTCAGCAATAAACTTCTTCATAGAGAAAGAGAGCAATGATAGTATCTCATTCATAGACATCTTCCTGGACAGGAAAGAAGATGGCACACACTAAGAAGGAGTGTGTACAAAAAAACATACAATGATAGGTCAGTACACACATTTATCGAGTTTTACACCTTTGAAATATAAACGGAACTTGTTAAAGTGTTTGGTTCATGAGGCTAAGACAATCTGCACAAAAGACTCTCAATGAGGATTATTAGGCAATTACTTAGTAAGTTCACTGGGAAAAATATGAATTTAGTACTAAAACAAGCCAGTAGGGCAACAGCTGTAATAATAATAATACGGACGAACACTAATCATTTTAAATTTGGGTATACATGCGTATTTGTAGCAAAAATTGATTTAATAGAGATATATTAAGCGGCAGGTTTCCTAATTTCAGTGGAAAATCACTATTTCCCTCAATTCCCTCCTATAACATTCGAGTGAAACCACGTCGAAATTTTCACTTCATATAATATCTGTGTCATCCTCAAATCCACACCCAACCAGTCACTTCCCATTCAGGTTCCACTTGATGAACTGTCTGTAGTGTATTGTCACTCGAAGATCCATGAAGAGACAAAATAAAATGACCAGGAAGTGAAGATATTCAGATGGCAAGCACAGAAATTAAGGCTGTTTACAGTCATCCATTGAATTCACTTTGAGGGTGTCAGGAGATGCCACAGCTAGTTCACGAGGATTAGCTGGCGTAGGGATAGCTTTGAGTACTAGGGCAGAAAAGACATTGCTTGACTGGATCCCGGTAGATAGCCGAATGTGTGCTGTCCGCCTGAACGGATCAGTAAGAAGGAGGAAGGACTGCACTACTCGCCGATGCCTTTTCGTAATCTCCGCCTACGCCCCCACTGACTGCAGTTCAGATGAAACGAAGGATGAGTTCTACCAAAAGCTGTCTAGTTTGGTGCGGAAGGCTAAACGCTCAGACATAGTCGTTCTAGCTGGTGACTTTAATGCTCAAGTAGGGAAATTGTGTCAATCTGAGAAGGATGTCGGTGGCACCTATGGAGTTCCGTGCCAGCGAACCGACAACGGTGACCGTCTCCTACAGTTCTGCTCTGATAATCATTTGTTTCTTGTAAGCACTAGACGACTGGATCGTTGGAAAGAGCATTATGAGGAGCAGTTTAATTTGCCCACAGCCACGCTCAACCTTCCGAGCATCCAACACCTCCCTGAATGGGATATAAACACAGGTCCTCCGTCACTAACTGAGGTTACTAAAGCTGTCACCAATATGAAACTAGGCAAAGCAGCGGGACCTGATGGAATGACTCCAGAGGTATTTAAGTACGGTGGAGACAGCTTACTGTCTGCATTAACTGAGGTACTAGGCAGCGTCTGGGAATCAGAAAAGGTCCCATCGGGTTGGTGTAAGTCACTGATTATCCCCATATACAAGAAGGGAGACAAGTCTTCCTGTGATAAGCACAGAGGGATTAGCTTGACTAATATAGTATCTAAAGTCTTAGGCTCAATAATCATGCGTAGACTGAGTGGTGCTCGGGAAGCACAAACACGAGAGAGCCAGGTAGGCTTTAGACCAGGAAGAGGGTGTATTGATCATATCTTCACCCTCCGACAGATTCTAGAACATAGTCATTCCTACCGGCGTCCAACAGTCATTATATTTCTTGACCTAAAGGCAGCATTCGACTCTGTCGATCGAGAAGTTCTCTGGAGATGCTTGGCTGTAAAGGGAATTCCAAGAAAATATATTGAACTGATTAAGGCACTCTACTCGTACTCATACAGCCAGGTGAGGGCTTACGGCGAGTTGTCATCCGAACTGGTGACGACTAGCGGTGTCCGTCAAGGTTGCCCATTATCCCCTTTTCTATTCAACTTCATCATAGATGTACTGATGGACTTAACCCTAACTCACTTCAGCGACTCAGGGATTGACTTGCTACCGGGGAATAATCTCGTTGACTTGGAATATGCAGACGATATAGTCCTTCTAGGCGAAGACGCTGACAAAATGCAGAGTCTTTTAAACACCTTGAGCCGCAATCTACGAATGTTTGGCATGCGAGCGATTCGCTCCCGCCAAATGCAAGATGACGTTACAGGACTGGACTACATCGACGCCTAGTTTAAAAATAGGAAGTGAAGTGGTAGAGCACGTTGACCGCTTCACTTATTTGGGAAGTACCATCAGCCCCAACGCCAACGGGTTGATCTCTGACGAAATCTCATCACGGATACAGTAGGCTAGTTTCGCATTTGCTAGTTTACGCCGTCTCTGGCGTAGACGAGATATCCGACTATCGACCAAAGGGCGGGTGTACTGCTCATCAGTCCGCTCCGTCCTCCTTTATGGTTGTGAGACCTGGCCACTGAGAGTGGAAGACATGAAAAGACTAGCTGTCTTTGATCACAGGTGCCTGCGTTCTATCTCCCGTGTAAAGTGGCATAATAAGGTGAGCAACATTGAGGTTAGGCGTCGAGTTCTAGGTAAACAGGGGAAATGAATCGACGAAGTCGTGAAGTTACAAAGACTGAGATGGTTAGGACATGTGTTACGTATGCCAAGTCATCGCCTCCCTCGATGAGCAATGTTAGCGGATATAGGGTCAGGCTGGAAAAAAGCTAGTGGAGGTCAAACCAAAACATGGCTTCACCAGTCAATGAAATCTACAACAGTTAGTCTAAGTCAGCCACGTAGGAAGGTGTAGACTTCCAGGCTGGGGTCCTCGGGACGATAAAAATCTATGGTTGGAAACAATTGGTGACATAGCTCAAAATCGTTCTCAGTGGCGCAGATGCATCCACTCCCTGTGACTTATGATCTCCAATGAAACTGTTTTGTATTTCTTTATTACTCCTTTGTCTCACACCTCTGCTCACTGTTTCTATTATGCTTTTCTTGTACTTTCTTCTCTTGCTTCGCGTGCTACACGGAATGTGGCGACTTGAACTTCCGCACATTTGTGCAAAGTTCTATGTCGAAAACAGACAAACAGAATTCACTTCAACTTTTACAATATTCAAATTTGGATAGGTCCTAAGGTCATAATAAAGACTGCCTAGTTTGGGTGTAGAAAAATCTACCGAATCTGGAAACTAATGCAGATTTAATGGATCACATACAATGAATGCATCTGCACTGCTGAGACTGATTTTGGGCCACGTCACCAACAATCTTCAGTCACTGGTTCGCAGTATCTTGAGGACTTTAGGTAGATACACAGTCTACACCTCCCACACCCCCTACTACTACATGGTTGGCTCAAATCAGCTGTTGAATGATTTATGGATTGATTATATGTTTCTGTTGGACTATCCGTGATTCCTTTTCAATCTAATCCTGCCTCAGTTAACAATGTTCTACGAAAAGGCTATTCTTTTGGTATGCGTAAGAAGTAATCATCTCATATCTATATATCTTATTATGTGTATTAACACACTAACAATCTTTTCCCCGCCTTACATTCTCCTTTTCACGTTAGTCAACATAATATCATCTTTTATTACTATAATGTTGACGTTTTGTCATCCTGTGAATTTACACTAAGATATTCATATGTGTCTATTGTATTCGCATTATCTTTCATTCCACTGATTGCTTACTAACACTTTGGAATCTAAATCAGGATGTCATAAGTATTGGCTATTATTATTATTATTTCGTCTTTACAATTCCATTGACTGCATATACTGCCTACATCTAAAGCATTCTGAAAAATGAACTACTGCTTTTTAATCAGTCTCACTTGATTATACTACAAACAAAATTTTTTGCTTTTGATAAGTCCGCTAGGTATTCTGCTTGTTATTACTATCTCGGGATTTATTTAACTTTGAATATTGTAAAAGTTGAAGTGAATTCAATGGATGACTGTAAACAGCCTTAATTTCTGTGCTTGTCATCTGAATATCTTCACTTTCTGGTCATTTTATTTTGTCTCTTCATGGATCTTCGAGTGACAATACACTGCAGACAGTTCATCAAGTGGAACCTGAATGGGAAGTGACAGGTTAGGCGTGAATTTTTGAGGAGGATATACAAACGATGATGTGAAAAGTAAATGAAAGATTGTCAGCAGTCATAAAGTCATTTGAAGATGACAGCACAGAAGTGAGTGTAATGCAGGTATGCGATTGAGTACACACATGTTCCACTCGGAAGATAAAAGATGGGTATTAATAAAAATAATAATAATGAGCACCACTAAAATAAATACATATATGTGAATATAACAATCAGACTCACTTGAAATTACGCCAGAATTCCACCGGAGCATAATATTTCACACGACTGTAGGCTAAATGTCCAAATATAGTTTGCATATGAAATAACACATTAAGATGATGTATTTTCTCACGATTTAAAGGTTTTAATTTAGCCTGTCGTTTGCACAAATCATTTGTGTGTGTTGTACTTTCATTGTCCAACTAAAAAATAATAGACGAAATAATAATAATAACAACAATGACCAAGTCTATGGTCTATAAGGCGCACTTATTATGTGTTGATACTTACTACCTGTCAGTGCAGACTTCAGTAGGTGAAGCAGAATTCAAAACAGTGATCATTCAGTTGACTGGAATTCGATCCACTAAACCACCAAATTGCTCACCAAAATCTCATGTATGATCGAATACAGAAACACAATATTTATTTATTCAGTAGTAAGTAAATTTATATGACGCAAAGAGTATTAGGCAATCTCTTATCAATTTTTTATTACTTAATGTTTATTATTTGTATTATTTGCATTATTAACTACTATCTTATTAATATTCCAAATGCTCATTGAACTAAGCACTCGATTTACGCCCTCCTACACGTCGCAAAGTTTGAATTCCTCTCTGGCAAATATTCAACCTAAAAGTGAGTAGCACCATAAGCCCTTACAAAATAGTAAGCTTGGCTTGAAAACCCGATTATTATATGAAATATCTATGTCCAGTGAATGATTTCAAATAAAACCACTAAAACTGATAGGCGATGCGTAGACAAATAATTCCAGTCGACTACCTTACTTACCACCTTAAAGTATTCATTTACTTCTCTTATAGTTTTCAATAAGCCCTAGCAAAATAAGCATCCCCCACTAAAACTACAAAAGCTTGAAGGTTCACAACATTACAGTATTAAAAGTATAAGGGAATGAATAAAAAAATCTTTGTTAATAACACAAATGAGAAATGAATATTATTATTATTATTCACAATGGACTTCATCAAATCAAAGACGACTTCACATTCATTGAAACAGTATTAACTATAGAAAAGTATTGAGTATAATAATTCTAAGTACAGTTTAATATTCAGTTGTATGAATACAAAAATAAATCCTAAAATAAAGTGGAACGATTAAAACCAATCGTCTTGGTCTTGAGATTTCTTTTGTGTAAATAAAATACAAGTATGGTGTATGCGTGTGTAGGAGAGAGAGAGGATGGCTGGCTTATTAGTTCAACCAATGACTCCAAGGTAGGAGTCTCACATTCAAGCTGATTCAGTCTGTACTACTAACAAATGGATAGTAGTATCATCAGTCTTGGGACACAATAAAGCGTGGCATATAGCCCCTGATACATGTAAAACACTTGTTCAAATTAACTGGCAATCGAAACCGAACTAGGTGCATGGTTGACGACGCGTCCTACCACTAATGAACCGCAGACGTATTATTCATGAATTGTTCCCACAGCTAATACACAACATTAGGTTTTGTGAGCAGACTACGATAGTATATTGAGTTGTTTTTTTTACTTAAAAAGGACTAATGATTGTAGATTATAGGGGAAACAGTGTTCATACACAATTAAAGATGCATTCTATTGATGACTTCTAAAAAGCGCGAAACCAAAGCTTGGAACTTCTTGCCGATTGCCTACAATTATTAAAATCAAAACCCTTGACCGAGGAAGAATTCAAACCAGCACAGCTTAGCGCCATCTACCATCAGGACTGCAAGTTACAGACAGCTAATATCCCCTTTCTAAGAGAGAACTACCAGCAATTAAAACAAATTCAAAAATGACAGTTTATTTACTTGGTTAATCATTACGCCAGCAGTGAGACCTAGGACACACGTTTCGTCTTATTTGCGACTCGTCAGATAGATGTACCTGTATTTCCAGTGACACTTGAAGCCAGCACATATCGTTCGTTTCAAACGCCGCTAACACATGGGTGACATCATATTATTCATTGTAAGTACACAAACCAATAAGCCACATTCACCAGACACAGAGACCGAGGATTTTGCAGTCCAACAGGAAATACAAAGATAACTTAAACAAACAAAGTGTATGTATACTGTTCTAAGTAGACATGCTCACTTCATTTTATTCAATGACTGTTTTCTTTTAAAAATAAGAGAAAATATGTGCAATTTATTTGTAAGTCAATTTAAAGCGTTTACGCGACCTTATAAATTTCGGGACTTACATCATTCTGCTGAACAGAATCATCACTATTAGTACTCTTACTATTGATAATTGAAGACGACAATGTATCATTCATCGGTTTATTACATTCACGCAATAAACATTCTGGATTCGCACTCAATACACAATCACGAATTGGTTCTAATGTGAATAATTGTTGTATAATTGAGTTCATATAACACGTGGCACCACCATTTTTTAAGCCAACAAATCTCAGTGTATCAGTATTACTGTTAGCGTTGTTCATAATCAAGGTGTAAAAATCATTTTCATCTTTGAATACTGAATATAACGTTGATGGTGATGACGACGACGACGACAATGATGATACTGGATTGGTGGTTATTGATGCTAGATGAAAGTCCCAATTGGACTTTACAGGTCTTGCTGTAAATAGAAGTATAATTCAGTGTGTGTGTGAGAGAGAGAGAGAGAGAAAAAGGGAGACAGCAATAACAAGAAAAGAACGCACTTCATCAAACTCGAATTATATTTAAAACTTCAGTGTAGTTATACAGCAAGTGGGACAGGTCGATAAAGAGGCTCTCTGGAGATGCTTGGCTGTAAAGAGAATGCCGAGATAATACATTGCACTGACTAAGGCACTCTACTCGTACTCATACAGCCAGGTGAGGGCTTACGGCGAGTTGTCATCCGAACTGGTGACGACTAGCGGTGTCCGTCAAGGATGCCCATTATCCCCTTTTCTATTCAACTTCATCATAGATGTACTGATGGACTTAACCCTAACTCACTTCAGCGACTCAGGGATTGACTTGCTACCAGGGAATAATCTCGTTGACTTGGAATATGCAGACGATATAGTCCTTCTAGGCGAAGACGCTGACAAAATGCAGAGTCTTTTAAACACCTTGAGCCGCAATCTACGAATGTTTGGCATGCGAGCGATTCGCTCCCGCCAAATGCAAGATGACGTTACAGGACTGAACTACATCGACGCCTAGTTTAAAAATAGGAAGTGAAGTGGTAGAGCACGTTGACCGCTTCACTTATTTGGGAAGTACCATCAGCCCCAACGCCAACGGGTTGATCTCTGACGAAATCTCATCACGGATACAGTAGGCTAGTTTCGCATTTGCCAGTTTACGCCGTCTCTGGCGTAGACGAGATATCCGACTATCGATCAAAGGGCTGGTGTACTGCTCATCAGTCCGCTCCGTCCTCCTTTATAGCTGTGAGTGGAAGACATGAAAAGATTAGCTAGCTGTCTTTGATCACAGGTGCCTGCGTTCTATCTCCCGTGTGTTATAACGTAGGGAATTGAATGAGAGACGTTTTCACCTTATTCTGTCTGCGCCTGAACTAATCTGTCTATCTGCTCGTCGTACCTTCCGACTTAGTAAAGCACGCAAATATCAAAAGACAAAGGCTGGACTGTGACTGTGTATTGAAGTGCAACAACGATAAAGAAAGCCATGGTATTTATACATTTTACAACAATATGGACAGCTAGCAGCATTTGAAATAATTTATCTTAATAGCCAATAACAAAGTGTATGAGAAATGACAATATGCCATATGTGCGACATTGACAGTCAGTAACAAAATGTGTGGGAATCATAATATACCATATATATAAAATTAACAGTCACTACCAAAATGCGTGTGAATGATAATATACAAAATTAGCAGTCAATACCAAAATGCGTGAGAATGATAACATACCATCTATGCAAGTTTAAACAGTCAATACCAAAATATGTGGGATCCTATCACGTGTAAAGTGGCATAATAAGGTGAGCAACATTGAGGTTAGGCGTCGAGTTCTAGGTAAACAGGGGAAATGAATCGACGAAGTCGTGAAGCTACAAAGACTGAGATGGTTAGGACATGTGTTACGTATGCCTAGTCATTGCCTTCCTCGACCGACGGTCAATGTTAGCGGATACAGGGTCAGGCTGGAAAAGAGCTAGTGGAGGTCAAACCAAAACATGGCTTCACCAGTCAATGAAATACACAACAGTTTAAGTCAGTCACGTAGGAAGGTGTAGGCTTCCTGACTGGTTGGGGTCCTTAGGACGGTATCACCAATGACTGGAGACAATCGGTGATATGGCTCAAAGTAATCGTTCTCAATGACTGGTGGAGATGCATTCACTCCTTGTGACTTGTAATTTCCAAGAAACTATATTGTTCTTCGTTATTACTATTCCTTCGTCTCATATCCCTCTCTGCTGTCTCGATTCTGCATTTCTTCTCTTACTTTATGTGCTACAAGGAGGGTGGTGACTTGAACTTGCCGCACATCGGTGCAAAGTTCTATATCGAAAACAGACAGACCGACATTCATGTTTTAAGACTATTCATTCAACTACGGGGACAGATTCAAATGGCCCATAAATTCTTATTTTTTTCAATTTACGATGCAGACCATCACAGCAAGGTAATTTTTCGGTGGGTATTTGTCATCACATCTGGTTTCGTGCAACTCCCACGGGTCACAGCTTTTTAGATCTTCAAGCACAATTTAAAATCCATGGGTCAACGAATCTCCTTCCAAGTGGTTGAATGGTCAACGGGTTTCCCTCATGAATAGGTGTTGGGGAGTTACAGACTAGGAAAAAAGCAGCTGTCCAACACTCTCTAGTATCCAGTGAATCTCCAAATGATTTCGTCAGTTAGGGATCTCACTTGGAAATAAGACAATTCAGGGTCAAACTAGTTAAATACTATAGTTTCGTGCATGTTCTAGCATTCGACCTTCAGACAGTAGTCAGAGCGGGTTCGAAGCCCGTTTCACCTACAACTCAAAGGTGTAATGCGTCAGCAGCAATAATCTTAAAACATGACAGATTCTTTTCAAGGACGACAGTTCCAAAATTTATATATATATATATATACAACGCTTACCACAAAACATTAAATCATGTAGCCTAGAAGCCAAAAGTTGACTAATAAATGGATTACAATGCGCCATACAGAGAAGAAAGGAAAATGAATAATTCAACAATTTCCTTGAACATAATACGCTAGGCAATGATTTAAAATGAGATGATGCTGATTCTATAGTACCATCAACGCCGTCATGAGTATTATTTATCCTTTGGTCTTCATTACTCAATTTCGAGCATTGTTTACCTTCATGCAATTGAGCGAACCATTTAGACGCAGGAAATATTAATAGCTCAAGCATGTCCTAAAAAAGTAAAATTACGAAAAAACAGATGAAAAATTTAAATATTGGACAAACATACTATTGATTAAAAAGTGAGTAGTAAGAGAGAAAATTTAAAAAAAATAACTGGTTATTCGAGAATATGTGGCGAACGTCTCTCTTCAACTGACACACATACACAGTAAAATATATAGAAATATGAAATCATAATCGAAATATCCAAAGAGATGAATTTAGCTGCTTTCAATAGATTTAAAAATACTAACATTTAAACAATATTTGATACTAGATGGTTGGAGGCAAATGGCAGGAAGCCTTGCTTGACCTAGGTTACGTGCTAGTAGTTGGCACTCATCAACAATGAGGATCTTGCAACCTCAAAGGAACTAATGTCTGTTCTGAGATAGGAATCCATGTCACTCAATGCTGCAGTTAGAGATGTTACCACTGAGCTATTCATTGGTGCAAACTGAGTTCTATCAGTCAAGCTTGCAATGTGGCCATTATTCTAGCTTGCTCACCAGCCTGTTGCACTTTGAATAGTTGGCATTAGATGGTTGGAGGTAATCTGCAGGAAGTCTGGGACATAGGTTTCACAGCATCTAATATCATCTGTTCAAAATGTATCATGATGTCGAGCTATCTAGAATGATGGTCACACATTGCTAACGTGACTGACAGAATTCAGTCTGCAGCAAACAAAGGACTAGACACATTCCACTAGCTACTAACTAGTGTCCAATGAAAAGTATGAAATATGAAACGTTGAATAAACTAGTGGAAGAGAAATATCTTGTTAAGAAAAGTGAAGCCACCAGCAGTGAAACACCATCAAGCGTCATCCACAGAACGCTGTGGGTGGACAACCTCTCAACAAGAGCTTTAAGATTTGGTGAAATAACTGCTCAAACAAAGAATTAACTTTATTGATGCTGTTGAAAAACTGAAACCTGAAGTCATTCTTAGCGTGGAAGTAACAATCAGAGGAGCAACAGATGGAGTAACTGATGAGAGGGTCAAAGTAAAATGCGCGTTGACAGAGAATCATCAAAAGACAACGAAGAAATCATCAAAACAAGAAATATCAGGACTGAAAACTTTAAAGGACGACAAGAACAGAGTAACTATCAATTCAGATAAAGGGAGATAACTTTAATTATGAACAGACTGCGTTACACTTAACAAGGTCGATGTCCATATTCAAACTGACCAATATATAAGGAGATATAGAAACCTGTAGACAAGGTTATTAACTACCAACCTTGAATATTCTGTGTATATAAACATGTATATAATTGTAGAGCCAGAAGAGGAATTTATCGAAAAGAATATTCTTTGCTCGATTATATTGTGTTTTATAGAGATCAAAACACACACAGTCGATCTAGTACACCGAATAAAGTCATCTTTGAGTGAGTCAAATTAGCTTAATTTGGTGTCTTAGACGAATAATCTTATTATTAATGCATAAGGCATAATGTGTTATAAGGCCCCGAGGTTCACTTTACGGACATACTGACATATGAACTATGTAAATATTTAGCATCAATATTATATGTCCTATTACAGATCATTGAAGTTCTAGACTAACTAATTCATACGAAATAAAACAAAAAATGGGGAAAGGCATTAGTTATCATGAAATCTGGTGAATGTATACATTTTCCTAAACGAAGCACAAATCCATTTTAAAACAGATGCAGTTAACTGTGTTTTTTGTAAAAAGGTGCCAATTACCTTGAATTATTCAGTATGAAATATTCTGCATTTATTGCGGTAACTAGCTGGAAGAAACACGTGATTTAAAAAGAATACCACCACCTGAGGACAGGATACAACTTATATTACAAAGATAAGCATTCCATCAATTCTTATTAAAGGAATTTGCGTAAGAAGTTGTTAAAGAAAAAGCCACCCTGCCAGATCGATAGACACTTACACTGCAACATGTTGAAAATAAGACAGAAAGAGCCACTTTATCACACAACAAAATAAGCTAAACACTACTGACTGAAAGCCTCCAAAAAAAATGTGCGAACGTAGACAAACTGTAAACGATACACGATATTGTAGTTCAATAACTTGTGATCGAATTTTAAGAGGTGAATAATGATCAATCAGAACGTCGAGTTTCATCCTCAAAATCTGCTAAATAACAAGATAGGCTATTGATTGTCTATCTAGTCTCTGGATTTATTAAGATAGAGAGGAGGCATATCATATTTTCCCACTCCCCTTCAGTATATGAATCATAATGTTCACTTCATAAGCATTCCCAATTATTGATTGACATTTATACCCCTAATGAATTAGGTTAAAATTATAATAAATCCTCGGAAGTGTACACTCAACCTGGGGTTCGAACCCAGGAACTGTCTGTGAGTTTCAAGCACTAGGACGACACAACTGTCCGTCCAGTACTGCCTGCTGGTCTTCACTGATTCTTCAACTGATATCAATCAATGGGCAGCCTTGAAAAGGAAATCAAATCCCTACAAACCAACCTTTGATGTTTACTAGTGACTGGCTGGAGGACGAAGTTACCTGGAGTTCTAGTGAGAAGAGTCGTGACCAATGAGATCCACCAAGTCAGGAGTGAAGACAAATACTCGCCCTCGATGACATCGGCTAGCAGTCGCGATAAATTCACGAACTGGACACCATTGAGTTCGGGTACCAGTGGTATGGTCCTGGGTTCGAACAACCGATAGGTGTTGAATAAATCTATTATCTTTTATTATTCACGTGTTGTATGCAGCTGACAAGAGATATCAACGAAATATTATTGGTTCGCTTTATATCCTGCTGCGTGTTTTATTGTTATTGCTTTGATCAAGTTGAATAAGGGAAATTTGCGTGTCTAATATTTTTTAGATGATATGGAGATGATGTGAAGAAGAAATGAAAGCTCATAGTTAAATGTAAAACCAGCAAAAAAAGAAGACTACAGAGGACAGAATGATATCGCAATATGACTTGAGTTCTACAAGAGCCTAAGGCAATCTTCCACGGTGTGGACATCTAAAAAGTAATAAGCGCCTAAACACTTCTGTGAGCATACTTTCTTCTATGGGAATAACAGTAAAAATAATAATAGGTATAATACGTGAACGACTTACTTCAACTAAACATGTTTGATTCACTAAAAAGGCTGTTGTTGTTGTTGCTGCTGACAAATCACTGTTTTGTTGATTGGCAACAGTATCTTCAACACTTTTGTGATTGGTATCGACAAAACAATTGGTACAACTGTCATTCACATCGATTATTTCCACGTCACTATCAGAACTGTGTACTCTGGTTTTCAGTGTTGATGTTGTGTTATCTACATTTTTCTTGATCTCGCCTTCATGCCTTATTTCTTGTGATTGGAATGTTGAAGTCGAGGAATTGAAGAGACATTTGAATACAGCAATACATAATTGTAAATGACCACACAGTAGGGTATCTTTATGCTTTACAGACATGGAATGAAAGTGCTTCAGTGAATCTGAATTGCACGATTTAAAACATGTCGGTTTTGGCGATAACACTGGGGAAGATGATTCCGAAAGAACAACAGGTGCAGGTGGTGTACTCTGTTCTCCAAACGAACTACAATCACCTGTTTGACGATTATAAATCTATTTGAGGAACGCAGTAAAGATGGAATAATCAGTTAAGCAATAAGAATAGCTTCATGCCAAACAGCACTCTTCGTACATAGAAGGAAATTTTCAGTATGTAGTACAGTATTGCATCTAACCTTCTCATTACAGCAATAATAATCAAAACAGGGTATTTACATCGATAACACTGTTCAGTAAGAAAATGAATATAAAATTAAGGGAAACTATTAACAACCACTTAACAATAAAAAAGATAGGGACATTTATTTAGAGTTCCGCAATAAGTTGATCATCTCCTACCTTAAATTTTTCTCACCACATAACATGTGAGCTAAATAAGGTATTGGAGAGGTTTTGCACTAAGTCGTCCGAGTACACAGTCTTCTATAGTTGCTTGTAGTTCTACCCAATGAGGCTTTAGACCGGGAAGAGGGTGTATTGATAATATCTTCACCCTCCGACAGATTCTAGAACATAGGCATTCCTACCGGCGTCCAACAGTCATTATATTTCTTGACCTAAAGGCAGCATTCGACTCCGTCGATCGAGTTCTCTGCAGATGCTTGGCTGTAAAGGGAATTCCAAGAAAATATATTGCACTGACTAAGTGATATGTATCCATATATCATATATATATATATATATATATATGGTGATCTCTCTTTCTGTTGCTCGCTTAGTCTGTGACCATTTCATTTTGATGAACCTGTCTCCTTTAACAATGTATATTCCCCTTATATTATATATAATATAATATGAGTGTTTGCTGACAGTCCGTTGCTATATTTTGCTATGTATATTTGGATCGACACTCCATTATAATCAGCCATTCATGTTAAGACTGTCTATTGATTTGTTCACACACTTATCTGGATGGTCATATATATTTCGCTCACACAATCTTGTGTGACTACTTTGGTGTGATACCACTTATTGCTTCTCCTTGTGTTTGGAAAATAGAAGTATCATCGCAAACCTAGTGGTCTTCTGATTTCCGCCTTCTTGCGTCAGGACTATTAAATTCTCGACCAGTACATAACAATAATTTAGCGACGAGTACATAACACTAAGGCACTCTACTCGTACTCATACAGCCAGGTGAGGGCTTACGGCGAGTTGTCATCCGAACTGGTGACGACTAGCGGTGTCCGTCAAGGATGCCCATTATCCCCTTTTCTATTCAACTTCATCATAGATGTACTGATGGACTTAACCCTAACTCACTTCAGCGACTCAGGGATTGACTTGCTACCAGGGAATAATCCCGTTGACTTGGAATATGCAGACGATATAGTCCTTCCAGGCGAAGACGCTGACAAAATGCAGAGTCTTTTAAACACCTTGAGCCGCAATCTACGAATGTTTGGCATGCGATTCGCTCCCGCCAAATGCAAGATGATGTTACAGGACTGGACTACATCGACGCCTAGTTTAAAAATAGGAAGTGAAGTGGTAGAGCACGTTGACCGCTTCACTTATTTGGGAAGTACCATCAGCCAACGCCAACGGGTTGATCTCTGACGAAATCTCATCAAAAAACGGATACAGTAGGCTAGTTTCGCATTTGCCAGTTTACGCCGTCTCTGGCGTAGACGAGATATCCGACTATCGATCAAAGGGCTGGTGTACTGCTCATCAGTCCGCTCCGTCCTCCTTTATGGCTGTGAGACCTGGCCACTGAGAGTGGAAGACATGAAAAGATTAGCTAGCTGCCTTTGATCACAGGTGCCTGCGTTCTATCTCCCGTGTAAAGTGGCATAATAAGGTGAGCAACATTGAGGTTAGGCGTCGAGTTCTAGGTAAACAGGGGAAATCAATCGACGAAGTCGTGAAATTACAAAGACTGAGATGGTTAGGACATGTGTTACGTATGCCTAGTCATTGCCTTCCTCGACCGACGGTCAATGTTAGCGGATACAGGGTCAGGCTGGAAAAGAGCTAGTGGAGGTCAAACAAAAACATGGCACCAGTCAATGAAATCCACAACAGTTAGTCTAAGCCACGTAGGAAGGTGTAGACTTCCAGGCTGGGGTCCTCGGGACGGTAAAAATCTATGGTTGGAAACAATTGGTGACATGGCTCAAAATCGTTCTCAGTGGCGCAGATGCATCCACTCCCTGTGACTTATGATTTCCAATGAAACTATGTTGTTTTTCGTTATTACTATTACTTTGTCTCACACCTCTGTTTACTGTGTCTATTATGCTTTTCTTGTACTTTCTTCTCTTGCTTCGTGTGCTACAAGGATGGAGTGTGGCGACTTGAACTGGCGCACATATGTGCAAAGTTCTATGTCGAAAACAGACAGACAGACCAAATGACATGAAAGGACACCGCTGTGTATAGAGAGGATGCTCAGAGTCTCACTGACAAGATATAATATTTGCTAATTTCTTGCAGGAGTCCATGTAATTATCAACCCGGCCTACTGACAGCTTCTAGTGCACTTCACAGTATTACAAAAAAGTCTTTCTAAACTAGCCCAAGAAAGATTAAATGAGCACAGTAACGAAAGGCAGGAAGAATATAAGAATTAAAAAGTTTAGAAAGTAGAGATGCTACTATACCAGCTTGATCTAAATTCTTCCATACATAGAAAAAAATCCGACGAAATTTCTTTCTGGAAACTAGCATCATGTAGGAAGACCGGGAAGGAAATACACAGTGAAATGTATCTAACATGTATCTTAACGTGTATGTATGTATGTATGCTACGTAAAATAAGCATTTACTAACTATGGATAGGATTTTATTTTCATAAATCACAGTTAAATACAGTAATATAATACAGTAATATCAGTTAATATTACTGTATAACACTGTAAGATTTATCAAAATAAAATCTTATCCATAATGGAGTTATACTCTACCACAGTGCCCAAGTTTTATATTCATATCATGTACTAATTATTCTGCCAGTATTAGCCAATCGAGTTTTACACTTGCCAACTTTAGTATATATTACACGGATAGATGTAATAACAAAATCAGCTTAAGAAATGTTATCAACACCCATGTCCATTCACTTTTTTATCGTCCACATTGTCAGTCACACGTGCACCTTTGCGCAAAACAAGAAAGTCATTATTGAATGCTGATAAAAAAAAGCCACAAATTACGATAAAACTTACCTGCACACTGACTTCCACTAATAATTTTGTGACAAAATCTACTATAATTATTTAAATATTATTCAGAAGTTATTATATATTTGTGATAATATCTCATTAGGGTTTTCTCATTACACATAAAATAATACAAGAAAGACATTCCATCACATAGCTACGGGGTTCCAGGTATAAACAAAGCGGCAAATGAACTCATACTCTTTTAGACAAATCTTATAGAAATTTTGCAAACAATGTTGTAGTCACTATCTATACCACATATGGTGGGTAAGGAAGTAGTCACTGTCAACACAAGAAATGTACTAGTTAACAATCTATTGGAAAACATATATATATATATATAAAATGCAAGTATTGTCCTTTCCATGTGGGCTTTCGATAAATTGACTTTTGAAGACTACCGTCTTCTAGGCGTTCCATGGCTATGTCGAGGAAGTGAAACTTTCCGCCACTTTCGTGTTCCATAGTGAAGTCAATATTGGCGTGTGCACCATTGAATAATCTTAGTAAGTGTGAAGCATGACTTTTATTTTTGCACACTATAAATGTGTCATCAACATAACGACAGTAGGAAGATGTTTCGTCGATTGCATGCTTCAGCTTTGTTCTTTCAAGGTTAGACATGAAAATATCTGCTAAAACAGGGCTAAGTGGACTGCCCATAGCTACACCATCTATTTGGCGGTAAAACGTGTTGTCAAATAGGAATTGCACATCCATGGTGCACATAAGCAGTAGGCGTTTGAATTCAGATTCTGGGAGTGGGAGAAGATCGGACCGCTGACAGATGATTTCAATGGTTTCATTGACTGGAATCATTGTGAATAGGGAGGTTACATCAAATGACACCATGAAGTTATTTAGAACGTTCAATTTTAAACAAGATATAAAATAAGAGAAACAAAAAAAACAACATACAGCAGCTCGAAGCCATATCATTTCTTCTGTTAACCAATTGCGTGCATTTTGTAAAAATTCCTTATGGTTAGACATAAATGGAATTAGCAGGATAAACAGATCAAAATATTGTTCCGACAGATGAATCTTCGATGGAACATACTCCTGAGAAGTGTGGAAAAAATAAAATAAAATTACAATTCCCTCAGCACCGGTGGTTGAACGTTTTACCAATCATGCCCGATGTGGTCCGTGGTTAGATCGCCGGCCGGTACACTCTTAGACTTCGCTAAGCAGGTAGTTAGGCTGGTAAAGAGAGGAGGTTAGCCCTGAAGTTAGCAACCCCACATATCCCGTAAAATGGGAGAATAATAAATGCAAAAACCACTGCTACCGGAAATTCAAAGTCCCAGCTTGAAGCTAGCTTTATGTTCCTTTCGGAACAATTTACTATACAGCAGTCATTTAACCCGTTGAAGTGGATTTCGCTGCTGACTTTTATTTGGTTAGTTGTTTCTGATTAAACAATTCCAACTACTTAGTTGGTAAATCAGTAATATAAAATCACTGACTAGCTATACTATCAACGTTTAGCTTTACACAAAAGTGTAGTAATTCAAAGTACCACACCTCATTCAAGCACACACACACATACACAAACGTAGAGAAGAAAATGCAATGGAACTACATTAAGCAGAGACAATAAGCGAGAAAAAAATAATTATATGAAGAATAATAAAACTTTAAATGGATGTAAGAGACCACAAGAAGTAAGTGCATTTACGCAAACAATCTTAAAAATATTGGTTTACCAAGCGATGATTCAAGCTGATAGTCAAAGACTACATGGGCTAGTACCATATTTTTTGATAAACATCTCTTCAACTATTTAATAGTCTCATCCTATATCAGGTAACATTACTCATCGAGGAAGGCAGTGATTCAACATGCATAACACATGTCTTAGGTAATCTCAATTGATCCAGCCTCATAAACTCATATCCATTAACTTTCTCTTCCTGATGAACGTGGAAGACATGGAAAGGCTAGCTGCCCATGATCATAGGTGTCTGAATTCTATCTCCCGAGTTAGATGGTGATATCATACAGTGAGCAATATTGAAGTGGGTCACTAGTCGAGTGCTAGGTAAGGAGGAAAATCAATTAACGAGGTTGCACAGTTACGTCGATTGAGATGGTTAGGACATGTGTTATGCATGCATGAAAAGCCATCGCCCTTCCTCGATGGCAAATATTAGTTGGCGAAGGATCAGGTTGGAAAAAAGCTAGTGGTGGTCAAACCAAAACATGACATCAGTCAGTGGAATCCACATAACAGTTAGTTTTGAGCCATGTCGGGAGGAACAGACTTCCTGTCTGGTTGGGGGTGGCCAGGATGGTAAAAACCAATGAAGGCTGGAGACAATTATCAGAATGTTTAAAAAATTCATGTTCTTAGTGATGGTGTAGATACATTCACCATCTATGATTTATCTGATCATAGAATTAAACTCTATTGTATTTCCATATTACTCTTTCTTTTACCCCTTAAACTTCTGTTTGCTATCGCTCCTTTTTGAATCTCACTTTTATTTCTTTTCTTGGTTTGTGTGTTTTATGTGTCTCTCTCTGGATTCAACATAGAACTCTTTTGTGACCTGCACCTATATCAGCTAATAATGCCCGTCGGGGGAGGCGATGGTTAGGAATGCGCAGCACGTGACCTAGTCATCTCAATCTATGTAACCTTATAGCCTCGTCGATTGATTTTCCCTGTTTGCCCAACACTCTATGCCTAACGTCAACATTACTTACCTTATTAAACCACCTAACGTGAGAAGAGATCGCAGACATCTATGATCGAAAGCAGTCAACCTTTTCATGTCTTCAACGCGTATTGGCCATGTTTCAGAGTCATAGACAAGAATGGAGCGAACTGCTGAGCAGTACACACGTCCTTTGGTTGATAACCGGATGTCACGCCTACGCCAGAGATAGTGTAAGTCAGCGAAAGCAGCTCGAGCTTTTCGGATCCGTGCTGAGATTTCATCGCCAATCAGTCCGTTGGTGCTAATACAACTTCCCAAATAGGTGAAGTGGTCAACATGTGTGGCAACTCGAACTGTTTTACACATCCATGCAACGTTCTATGTCCCTAATGGACGGTTTTTCACCTCTTAATTTAGGTAATCCATCTATATATAAATAACAGTTCAAATGATTAGGTTAACAGAGATCAAATTCCAAAGGAAACACTGATGACTACAATATACAACAGACTTTTAAAAGCGGAGAAATAAGCCTTATGTAAGTAAGTTTAAAGAAAGAAAGCAAAGGACTTTAAAAAAAAAAACAACAACCCGGAAATACAAAATAAGTAAAATGGAGGAAACGAAGTAAAAGATGCAAAATAAAACCAACCAACCAAACAAACTTACAGGTAACCAATGAAACATTTCTTCTAGAATAAAGTATATATCATCTTCATTTGGTCTTCTTGCAAAGCATGATGTCATGGAGATGTGCATCAAGTCTTTTGTTGACAGACGTATAAGTAATGATTCAGAAAATAGTAAATCTTGTAAAATATTCATACCACTAGCTAACAGATCGAAAGCATGAACGAACTGAGAGGTCGAAGAAGAAACAAAGAGATGATACTGATCATCACAATGATGATGATGACAACGACAATGACTATGCTGCTGCTGATAACTTCGATGAGAAGGATCACTATCACACTGCTTCTGCTCCTGATGATGTTGACCAATTGATAAATTACCACGTGATGGAGTGACTAATTTCATACACGATAAAGGATATTTTAAAAAGTTACATAATTTATCGTGTGAATATAAACACTCATACCATGGAATGCAATTTAATGCTTCAATTGTAACTGAGCCTATTATTTCACTACTTTGTAGTGAATTGAAATATTTTTTTTCAAAGTTATGATTCAATAATTTTGACTGAATTCCACCATTTTCACTTGTGGTGCTGTTGTTGCTCCTCCGACTCATCCTTTTACTACTACTAGTACTACTGGGATAATTCTCACTACCCAAAGAAGAATCAGAACGGGAAGAGGAATTCGAGGAGGATGAAAAAGTCGACGAGGAAGCAGGTGACGATGTCGTTGACTGTAGACAACCGATGGAAGAAACGACGACGATGATGATGTTGAGGTTAAAGAAGATGATAATACCTGTTGTTCATCAGCAGCAGCATCAATAAGTGCTACATCTTCATCCATTGACTTAGATTTAACCTCTAGAGGTGTTTCTTTGTCAAATGAAGGCATTTCACAGCACTCTGTTCGATCTATCTGTTTTGTTAAACTAGATTCATCTAAACAAAACGAATGAAACACAACATGTCAAATGAATTGAAAATAATTTTCGTTTTTTGGAAGTAATGAAATAATTTATATTGGCCTTACTACCTTCAAGCTTTCTTAGTATACTAGCCGTGTTAAGTTAAAAAAAGAAGGAAGATTGAGGGGGACGTAGGTTCAAGCAACTGCATACCGAAAGAAACAATATCAAAGATGAAACTGTGATCTCTCGTACCTATGGACGTGATATATACATCTCTCTCTCTCTCTATTCACAAATGTACCACTAAATGAAACAGTGAATTATATTATGTGAGGGTAAATTGTAAATTATACAGGCAAATGGATATTATTATTATTGTTGTATCCTTTAATTCCTAGAGGAACATAGGGCTTCAGCTGTGCATCTCCCTTGCCTTCTGTTTTCTGACAACTTTTTCACCCCGCTCCAAGTCTGCCCACATGCTTTCATCTTCTCTTTACATGGCCTCCCCCAAGTCACCCCTGGACGACTAACTTGCCGCTTCCTTTTCGGGTTCCACTCGAGCGCTTGTCTAGTTTGCTGGTTTCCTCAGAGTTTCGCCAATCCATCTCCATTTTTTCCTGCCTATTTGTTTCACATTCAGTTCCTGGTTGGTTTGCTCCCAGAGATCCCTGTTGGTGATCTTTTCTGGCCATCTGATCTTCAGTATTGAGCGAAGACAGCTGTTAATAAAGGTCTGAAGTTTGTTTGAGATGCTCTTTATGACGCGCAGTGCAAGTCTCCGATCCATATAGTAGCACTGACTTTTCGTTTAGTCTCTTTTTAATTTATATCAACTTCAAGATGACTACCGTTATCATTTTTAGCTTGATATTACCTTTTTTCAATGCAACCCCGAGTGTCTAGAGTGGACAGCAAATTTTGCTTCTCTCTCTAAAAGACAACTGTTTATTTGGATAGGATTATAGTGGAAGACAGAGTGTGTGTATACAATACGCTTTGAACAATCTGACCATACACACATCTACTCAGCAAATCAATTCCTGTGGAAACAAAGAAAGGTTATTCGAAATAATCTACAGAAGAACTACTATTGGTAATGTGATCCAGATAAGGACTATCAAAGGCGGATGACAGAGTTTAGCCTCTGTCTCCATATTAAAGGTAGACTGTGCTGGATTCCACTGCTAGCCACCATCCACCAATTGTATACTAATTAAATGCCCAGACATCGTCGAAGCATCTGCACAAGAAGCCGACATGTCAACCTGAGACCGAGCACTTCGGTCCAATCAATCGACGGAAAATCAAAAAATAATTCAATTCAATATTTAACGTAGTTTGGTGATCCCCAATTGATTATATTACCAAAAATTGGTGTTTTTCATATTTTAAAATCCCATGTTATTTTGCTCATTTAATTGGCTTCCCATTTCTCATGTATGTTGTTTCGATATAAGTATATGTGTGAGGGATCAGAGTGTTGGAAATATATTGCACAAATAAATCATGTCACATTTTTCACATAAACTCTATCTTCTAAAATGACGTTATCCAGATTTGATTTCGGCTATACTTCGTAGGCATCTTTCACACTTTTTTCTACCTTTCTGAGAGCTTTTGTACAAACCTCCATATGAGGTGGTTAGTGCTATTTAGTAAAAATTTCAGTGCTTTCTGCAGGTGGCAAATCTACTTTCTGGTAACGCGTTTTAACTAGGAATTTCTTAAACATAATAATATCCCGTGTGTAAATTTACCGCATTCAGAATAACGAGTGAGATTCGAGTTTTCAAAACTAGTGCCAAGTTAGTCCTTATATATTGTTTACAGACTTGGTGCAACCCCAAAAGAACTCCCAACAGATTGTAGACTTTCCTTTTGTACTGAAGATCGAAGGGTTAGACAAGAAAGGGAAAGCAACGAGAACTCCTCGGAAACGAACCAACCAACAACCTATTGCCCAACCGATATGCAGAACAAATGGAGATGGGATCGGTTATACACTGAGAAGACCGTTGAGTGACACATCACGCGCGCCAGGCCCTGAAGTGTGACCCGAATAGGAAACAACGCGCTGGGAGTTCGATGGTGACATGGAAATAAAGGCCTATGTGCAATCATTGAGTTAGCCAGAAAGGACTGCAGAGAGGAGAGTGAAATGGCGATATGTTGATGAAACTGTTATATTCCACTCGGAAGCTTAGAATATGTATGATGGGCCATCAGACACACGACTAATGATACTATTATCCAGTTGCCAAGACTAAAAATAGAGGAATCGAAGTTCAAAGTGGTGACACAATAGGGCTGTGAGTCAAATACCAATAAGGCGATGGAGAGTATCAGTAATCAGTGATTACACACACAGTTACTGTGGAGTCCTAATTTATATACTTTAGCCTCAGCAACCGACAAGGAACAATTCCAATAAATAATAACAACAAAAATAATAACATCGACTCACCATCAAGGTGAACACTATCGACTACATTTTCAGTAGTGACCATTGTACTCGGATTCAATTGACTAGCAACACTGTTGATTTGAGTAGAAATTTTTTCTTTGTTTATAGGAGCATAACAATAATAATGGATCATGTTTTCACAGCCATGTTTAGCTTGCCACGCATTTAGCATAACACTTTTAAACCGGAAGAGATATTCTTTAACCAAGAAGTTTCTATTTCACTCAAAGATATCTAAAGAGATAAGCAATATTAATTGAGTTAGTTGACCAATGTCTAATAGGTAGTATGTCTGTCTGTAGGTTTTCGACATAGAACTTTGCACATATGTGCGCCAGTTCAAGTCGCCACACTCCATCCTTGTAGCACACGATGTATTAATGGATTTAACCCTAGGTGACTTCAGCGACTCAGGGATTGACTTGCTACCACCAGGGAATAATCCCGTTGACTTGGAATATGCAGACGATATAGTCCTTCCAGGCGAAGACGCTGACAAAATGCAGAGTCTTTTAAACACCTTGAGCCGCAGTCTACGAATGTTTGGCATGCGAGCGATTCGCTCTCGCCAAATGCAAGATGATGTTACAGGACTGGACTACATCGACGCCTAGTTTAAAAATAGGAAGTGAAGTGGTAGAGCACGTTGACCGCTTCACTTATTTGGGAAGTACCATCAGCCCCAACGCCAACGGGTTGATCTCTGACGAAATCTCATCACGGATACAGTAGGCTAGTTTCGCATTTGCCAGTTTACGCCGTCTCTGGCGTAGAAGAGATATCCGACTATCGATCAAAGGGCTGGTGTACTGCTCATCAGTCCGCTCCGTCCTCCTTTATAGCTGTGAGTGGAAGACATGAAAAGATTAGCTAGCTGTCTTTGATCACAGGTGCCTGCGTTCTATCTCCCGTGTGAAGTGGCATAATAAGGTGAGCAACTGTCTGTCTGTCTGGATTCAACATAGAACTTGGCACCGAAGTGCAGCAGTTCGAGTTGCCACGTTCCAAATAGCACACAGAGGTAGACAAGAAGATGAGTGAAGAGAATCAATAGAGTTTGACAAGTATAAGAGTGAAACAGAATGGGTAATGGTAGAAAGGAATATGAAAGATTACAGAGACTGAATACATCTGCGCTGACAGCCATTTTGAGCCATGTCACCTATTGTCTCCAGCCATTGATTCCTAGAGTCCCGAGGGCCCCAACCCGGGAGTCTGCATCTCCCTACCTGACTCAGTTTAACTGTCAAGGATTTCATGGATTGATGCCATGTTTTTGTTTGGCCACCACTGGCTCTTTTCCAACCTGAACCTATATCAGCTAATAATGCCCGTCGGGGGAGGCGGTGGTTAGGCATGCGCAGCACGTGACCTAGCCATCTTAGTCTATGTAACTTTATAGCCTCGTCGATTGATTTTCCCTCTTTGCCCAACACTCTACGCCTAACGTCAACATTACTTATCTTGTGAAACCACCTAACGTGAGACAGAGATCGCAGACATCTATGATCGAAAGCAGTCAACCTTTTCATGTCTTCAACGCGTATTGGCCATGTTTCAGAGCCATAGAGAAGGACGGAGCGAACTGATGAGCAGTACACACGTCCCTTGGTTGATAACCGGATGTCACGCCTACGCCAGAGATGGTGTAAGTCAGCGAAAGCAGCTCGAGCTTTTCGGATCCGTGCTGAGATTTCATCGCCAATCAGTCCGTTGGTGCTAATACAACTTCCCAAATAGGTGAAGTGGTCAACATGTTCTATCACTTCACTCCCTATCACTAAGTTAGGAGTTGACGTGGTCCAGTCCTGTAGCAGCATCTTACATTTTGCAGGGGCGAATCGCATGCCAAACATACGAAGATTGCTGCTCAAGGTGTTCAGAAGACTCTGCATTTTGTCAGCATCCTCCCCTAACAGGACTATGTCATCTGCATATTCTAAGTCCATAAGATTATTCCCTGGTAACAAGTCGATTCCTAAGTCACTACGTTCAGTTAAGGATACTTCCATTAGCATATCTATGATGAAGTTAAACAGAAATGGGGAAAGTGGACATCCCTGTCGGACACCACTGGTTGTTACCAATTCAGATGACAATTCCCCATAAGCCCTTACACGACTACGTGAGTTTGAATAGAGTGCCTTGATTAGTGCAATGTACTTTCTTGGCACTCCCTTCACAGTCAGACATTGCCATAGTACCTTTCGATCCACGGAGTCGAAGGCCGCCTTCAAGTCAAGAAATATGACAATTGTTGGACGCCGAAAAGTGTGTCTATGTTCTAGAATCTGTCGAAGAGTGAAGATATGATCTATGCACCCTCTACCTGGTCTAAAGCCTGCTTGATTTTCCCTTGTCTGTTCCTCCCGAGTTCTGCTTAGTCTATGCATGATTACTGAGCCTAGGATTTTAGAGACTATGTTCGTTAGGCTGATCCCCCTATGATTATCACACGAGGACTTGTTTCCCTTCTTGAATATCGGTATAATAAGTGACTTACCCCAGTCTGATGGAACTGTCTCTGATTCCCAGACTTTGCCTAGTACCTCAGTTAATCTACAAACTAGTATGTCACCCCCATATTTAAACACCTCCGGAATAATTCCGTCGGGTCCTGCCGCTTTGCCTCGTTTCAAATTACTGATAGCTTTTGTAACCTCACCTACAGACGGCGGACCAGTGTCTATATCCCATTCGGGTACGTGGTGGATGGCGGGGAGGTTCAGTGTGGCTGTAGGCAAGTTAAATTGTTCCTCAAAGTGTTCTTTCCAGCGTTCAAGGCGTCTATCCTGAGAGCTAATTAAGGAGCCATTTTTCTCAGAAATAGTCTCACTTATGAATTGCCTTCTCCCGCCCGATTCTGTGATGAGTCTAAAGAGTTGCCTAGTGTTGCCTATCGCCAATGCTTTTTCCATCTCTTTCGCCTTTGTCACCCACCACTGTTCACGGTCCTTGCGGATCCGTTCAGACGGACAGCACACATTCGGCTATCTACCGGGAACCAGTCAAGCAATGTCTTTTCTGCCCTAGTACTCAGAGCTATCCCTACGCCAGCTAATCCTCGTGAACTAGCTGTGGCATCTCCTGACACCCTCAAGGTGAATTTTGAAGATTCATCCTGTTGGCCAGGTGGGGTTAGGTGAATAACCACACTTGGGTCTTGTACGCGTGTTTCTGAAACACAACATACATCAATGGCTCGAGATGCCAGGGTCTTAGCTAGTGAAGGTGAGCAACATTGAGGTTAGGCGTCGAGTTCTAGGTAAACAGGGGAAATCAATCGAGGCAGTCTTTGTAATTTCACGACTTCGTCGATTGATTTCCCCTGTTTACCTAGAACTCGACGACCAACCTCAATGTTGCTCACCTTATTATGCCACTTCACACGGGAGATAGAACGCAGGCACCTGTGATCAAAGACAGCTAGCTAATCTTTTCATGTCTTCCACTCTAAGTGGCCAGGTCTTACAGCCCGTCATAAAGGAGGATGGAGCAGACTGATGGGCAATACACCTGCCCTTTGGTCGATAGTCGAACATCTCGTCTACGCCAGAGACGGCGTAAACTGGCAAATGCGAAACGAGTCCCCTGTATTCGTGCTGAGATTTCGTCAGAGATCAACCCGATGTAGTCCAGTCCTGTAACATCATTTCACATTTGGCGGGAGCGAATCGCATGAATGAAAATGTTTAGTTAAAGATTACATTCAATGGAGCAATACCTTTCCTATTCATCATACTGATCATAAAATTAATTACGTTATAAGCGAAATCGTACTTTATGAATACTATCTTATTAATCAGTTAAGGTAGTTCAGTTGAATTAACTACTTCGCTTAAATTGTCTTAGTTACTTTAATTTACTAAGTTTAGTTGGGTTATGTAAATTTTTCAAAAATATAGAGCGAGTTACGTAGATTAGGTCAGTAATTTTAGGCGCTTTAGTTTAGTTCAGTTTGTTAAGGCAGTCCAGTTTACCCACTTCAGATCCTTGAGTTAGTTCATTCAGTTTCATTAGTTTAGCTAGTTAAAGGTTAGCCAGCAGCTTAATCACATTTCATCAAATCAATTTCATTTAAGTTCATTTAGGTTAGCGTAGTCACCGCCAGCTCCATCTACTACTCCTAAGTAAGTTACACAAAGTAAGTACTGGGTTTTGCGCAAACGCAGTTAGTTTAAAGCGTTTACATAAAATAAGGAGATTCAAGTTACTTACTTCACATAAGGGGTTCTGTAATTTGGCACTAGTTAGTTCAATTTTATTAAATTCAGATTAATTTGAGTAATCTACTTTTCTTAGTTTAGTTTAATTAGTGTGTGTGTGGTTGACTTCAATTTAAGTTCTTCAGGAGTTTACATTACTTACTTTAGTTTATTTAATTTAGTATAGACAGTCAGTTTGGATAAGTTACTTTATATACATTAGTTAGTTTAGGTACTTTGCTTTAGTTACTACAGCTTAGTCAGTTTGTGGTGAGATCTGGCTGTTAGTCGAAATTGGTGGACAGTAATTTACGTCAATGTTTATGACCCTAATATTAGGGTCGTGGAAAAATGAGAACAAAGGTTTTGCGTAGGCGGCTACAGTTAACATATAGATGATCTGACATTCAAGAAACAGTCACAAAGAGATGCAAGGTTAACTTTCTGTAAGAAACAACCAATCAGAAGATTGTGTTTTTCTGCCAATAATAATCTATAATATGTACATGAAAATCTATAAATATGTGTTGATTTCCTTAATGAACAATCTGTTGCGCGGCCTGTTGTGTACTGTCGTTACAAGTTTACGCTGGTTTATTTACATTCTTCTAGTTACCTTTAGTTGGGTGAGACCAATTAGAGAGTTTAGTTGGAATAATTAAGTCAGTTATGCCAGCCTTCTTCTTCGACGGGCAATATTAGCTGACATAGGATTGATAGGGTTAGAAAACACCTAGTGATGGTTAAATCGAAACATGGTATCAGTCAATCAAATCCATAACAATCAGTTTAAGCCACGTAGTTGGAGTCTTCGATGTGATTAAAACCGATGGCGCGAGACAATCGGTGAGATGGCTCAAAATCCTCGTTCTCAATGGTGCAGATGCATTCATTCTTTGTTATTTGGCATATCCAACAAAACTCCATTTTCTATACATATTACTATTCCTTTTACCTCATATCTCTGTTTATTATCTCTGTCTTTCTCTTTTGAATCTTTTTTCATTCTCTTCTTTTGCTACAAGGAAGGAGTGTGGAGACTCGAACTGCAGCACAGCTGTGCAAAGCAGTTATATGTTAGAATCAGTCAATCAGTCTAGGTCATTTTAAATTAGATTAGCTACTTTAGCCTAGTTAGTAGTGAAATTTAATCAATTTAGCTGTAGTACTCATTTTATATTAGGCAGTTTAGTAGTTTAGTCAGTTCCCTTTAGTAAGTGAAGTTGGTTTAGTTTAGTTAGCTTAACCAGTTTAGTTCAGTTTGGCTGAGTTACTTCAGTTAAATTAGTTTGCTTTACTTTAGTTCAGTTACGTTAGACAACTTAGTTACTTCTAGCAGTTTACCGTAGTTTGGGTGCTTTGTAAAGGTTTCCTTGCTTCAGTTTAGTTAGGTTAGTCAGTTTACTTACTTCAAGCAGTTCAGTCCACTTAGTTTTCCTTAGTTTAGTGACTGTAGTGTTAAGTTTCGTTGAGTAAGGGTACTATTGTTGGTTCAGTTCCCTTTATTACAGTTTGGTTTAGTTCAGTTAGATTAGTTTTGGCAATTCGCTTTTCTTAGTTTAGTTTACTTAGTGTAGTTGAATTACTTTAATTAGTAATTGTAATCTGGTTGGGTTTAGTTCAGTTACGTTAGTTTAGGTTAGTTGACAGGAAAGTATAGTTGACTTTGGAGGTTGCTTAAATCAGATGATTGTCTGAAGCCATATCTGCTACTCTTGTTGACTTTTTTGTCCAGCATAGCAGCAGACTGCATCCCTACTTTCTTGAGCAATATTGAGTTGAAGTCGATGTGGTTTTTGGTGCGTTCGTCACATGAGAAATGCATGTCGCTGACTTTGTGTTTATATCCTTGTGCTTGTACCTAACATAACAAACTGATTTACCAAAAAGGAAACTATATATATATATATATATATATATATATATATATATATATATATATGCAAAACTTACGTTAGATTTTATTGTTAATTGTGCCACATGTATAGCATGTAACAGAATGAAATTACTACCGCTGAATACTGGATGACTTGTACTGCTTGATAATTGATATGCATTTTGTAGTAATTTACAAATATACTCAATGTTTCTCTCCTGTTTGACATTATCATCATCATCATCATCGTGAGTAGGAGTAGTAGTAGTAACATCAGGTGATGATAAATACTGTTCAGGTAGGGAGTATGCACAAGAAAGCTTATTCTGATGATGGTAGTGGGAATCGTCAATGTTGATAGTGACATCGGAAGATGACGACAGCGGGTGTAATGATGAGGACAGTAAATGATACAGTGATGTTTTTTGAAATACACCTAATGTTTTACAGTGTTTAAATGAAGAATTCAAACTATAGTGTAGTATAAGACTATTAGCTGTGCTTATGAGCAATAAACGCAATAGTCGAAACAACCACAAGCGTATTTCATAAATCAATCTCCAATGCTTCTGTGTGGTTTTTTCACATAAAAAAATACTTTTATATATTGAATTCACAGAAGCAGAAGAATACGTGTGAGCATTTACGAAGGAGGATCTGTTAATATGATCTGAGTGAAGTGAAGATTTGTCAATTGTTTTTTCTAAAGAAGTATCACAGATAATATGGTGGTTAAAGTCTTCATCATTTGTACAAGTGGAGGGAGAGAAGTCACAGGTTGATGTTAAAAGTGGTGAAGAAAGCAGAAGGCTAAGCGCACCACCACGCAGCAGAAGCAACTGAAGTGAGAAAGAAACAAAAGAATTCGACGTGATATATGCTAGTTGAGGAGAGTTATACACACTGTGATAAATAGTAAATAATTTGCACACATCTTTTAGCCGCATGTATCAGTGGTTGTAGCAGAATGTTTCACAAGTAGGTTAGAGGTGGAGGTTCGATTACTAGCCAATGTACTCCAAAGTTTGTCAGGTGATAATATTCGACGCAAAAAGAGTCAAGCCTGAGTGAGGCCGGCAATACTACCCAGTAAAAAAGCAATACAACTGCTACTGAAGCTTCGAAGGGTGAGGCCCGATATTCAATTTGGAATGTATGGAATGAAAACAAATCAATCATTTTATTCCTTGTTCTTCATACACAGTACCCAATTTATTTTCAGATTATTTAATGGAAAATAATATCACCTCTAAACCCTTTATTTGCATTTCCCTTTAACCCTTTCATCTAGAACCAGTAGGAGAAGTGGCAGTTCTCACCTAATTTACTTAAATTACTGAAACCTGACTCCAATCATCTCTATGATACAAATACATCAGTGGTTCAGCAGTAGAGCGCTCGCCAACCATATACCATGTGTTCTAGGGTTCGACTCCCCGCTGACGCACAGTTAAACCTCGTTATTTCAGTAGTAAGCTCAGTAAAGAGGGGAAGTTGGGCTAGGTGAGGCCAGCAGCCTCACTTCGTAATAATAAAACTATCACTACCGAAACTCTCAAGCTCTAGACTGAAGCCCAATATTCCACTAGGAACATAATAATAATAATAATTTCTCCTTCACGTTCCCAGTGGAACATAGGGCTTCAAGCTAGTGGCTTGAAGTTTCTGTAGCAGTGTTTATTTTACAGGATGGGGTTTCTAGCCTCATGCCCAACCTTTCCTCTTTACCACTATTATTTCTGGCTTAGCGAGGTAAAGGAGTGAGTCGGCCGGGGATAGAACCCCGGACCATGTGCATGGTCGGCGAGTGTCCTAACCGCTATGCCACCGACGCACTAGGAACATAAATGAATAAAAAAAATCAAAGATACAATTTGTAGGCATATAGATTTAAATACTACCTCCTACTCAAGAGAAGATATGACATATATTTTAGTATAACAAACTTCATTGAAATAAATAAAGGTTTGAAGATAGACGATTAAATTCCTTTTTGACATATCAGAAACAGAAAAAACATTAATGTTGCGTTACACGTTACACGTTCAGAGGCCAACTACTTGAAGTCATTCATACACACACGGACTGTGTTGAAGTGGTTTTTGGAATCGCATCCGTATGAAGATCTTATCGTAGGCAAGTCAGGAGATATACAATATTTTGGAATCAGCGTTTTCTAAGCCGTCCTCACTTTCCCAGAGCAGAAAGGTAGCAAAGCTAGTTTGGTGGCTGCTTGAAGGTAACACGTAAGTGCTCATACAACAATATCGCACAGGAGTACACATATTGCAAACAAGTTACACTATAATTGTAGTAACTACGATCCAAGTTACCTTCCTGAGGTCGTAGATCTGACAAAAACATTCACTTCAGTCAGTATATATGCCAACTCAGCCCCCCACCACCAATATCACGTCAGTATACCAGTGGAAAATATAAACCTGTACAGACATGCATACATAAAGATAAACAAAACTTATTCATAAAAACAGTTCAGTAGATTCGTCTGATGAATGGAGAACTATCATAGAATGTAAGCTAACTACTGCCTTCAAGACCATACACTATATATACCACCAAGATAATGCTAATGATAAAATAAACTTACTGTAACGTTAACAGCATTACACCAATTAGGAAATTGATTGTGAAAATTACCCTTGGGGAATGTAGTTTCAGTGTTATCGGTATTATTATTAAAGCTAATACCATCACTGTTGTTCACATCTGTACACAAACCGAGATAATTATATGCATGCATAAGTTTAGTAGGAGTAGGTACAGTATTAATAGTAGTAGTAGTAGTCGTGGTATTTGTAGTGCTGACGGCACGCAGATAACTAGAAAATTGATAATGTTTCACTGCACTACTTGGCATTAATACACAATATAATACTTGCAGGGTATACAATATCTCAATGTAATTTGGTGTATTTTGACAAATCATAGTTGGACATTCGTCGGCTGCAGAGGTTAAAACTTCGACTGATTCATTCAGTGGATTTGTAAGTATCTTGCCAAACCATGTGTTTGATAAGAGAGCTGATAACACACACACACAAAAGAGAGAGAAAGAGCAAAAAATTGTTGAAAGCAATAAACAATGAAAGCTCTTGAATTATGACTTGTTCTCGGTTATAGAGAAGCACTTAAACCTTACCAGGGAGAGAACCAAGCAATTTCAGGTTACGATGTGAGCTAAATGTAACCATTCTTCAATAGGGACGAAGCTAAATGGCTCATGGACTAAAAGTTCTGTCAAGAGATCTCAGTGAGAAGTCATGACAAGTGACGTTCAGTAAATCATTTGAGAACAAATACCTGCAACAAGCTGACAGTGGTGTTATGTACTGTGAGTTGGTAGGAGTTAGAATTTATGCATCATTGAATCCCCTTACAGTGGATGAATGAATGCTGAATGGCTTGACGTCGTAACCTGAATATTTTGAAGTTCATTTCCAATGAGGTCGCAGGTCAGTCCTGTTTAAGATTTGCAAATAAGGACGACAGGGATGTGGAATACTCTCGGCTTTCCAGTGGTTCTACAACTGTTGACAATTTGTGATTTAACTTGAGGCCAATGGAAATATGCTTGTGAACCAACGTTATAGGCTTAAGAAATAAGTAGACTGATGATAAGGATGTGCAAGATAGGTAAACTGTTATTAATATAGCAGGTGATGAGGGTGAAACGAAAATCCGCACCACGACATGCTTTAAAGTAGCTACTCAGCATGTTAAACACCGAAACATCACTAGTTGAAATCCACTATTCAAAATTTCATTTCGACCCAGATTTCCACCTTACTACCTATCATCAGTAATACAGTTGACAGCTTTTTGACATTTGAAATAACGGGGGTTGGGTTCGAATCCCAGCTGAGCAATCATCACCCACTGAATCATTCATTAAAGATGAAAGCAGGTCTTTTCAGCAAATCTCTAATAGAATGAATTACCCACATTGGATATGGATGCCAGTCATCATCAGCCCAGTAGTAATCTAATTGACCATTCGAACTCAAAATTCAATGTTAACCTACACCTTCATGAAAAGCACATGACTGTGTGCTGTTCAAGAGTCTCAAATCAGGGCGAAATATACATTCAGTACTCCTGGGTTACTTGCATGAACATCTCCAGTGACTGATGACGTTTACCAAGTGACAAACTGACACACCATCCATCGTTTCGAACACGACAACAGTTACTGATATACAATTTCTAAATAAAAAAGGAATTCGATTCCTGTAGTATTATAGTCCATTAATTTAATGTAAATACATCAATGGTTCAGTGCTTGAATATTCACCTAAACACGCGAGAAATAGCAGTAAAACTTCAGGCAAACACACTCAGAGAAGAAACACTGCCAAGTTTACCAGCTGATGATGATGATGAGCATAGATTAGAGGGAAGGTCGAGATCACAGCAGTTAGTTACCACCCCACACAACCCGAGGCAGTTAGAAAAAGCCGTCACTAACAAAACTGTAAAGCTTTCAACCCTTGTGTTCCACTTTCACGGAAGGCAAGAGATGATGATGAAGAAGAAAAGAGATTTAAATAAAAACCGGAGAATGATATAACAACTTACGTTCAGAGGATGATGCATTGTCCGAACTGTTACTAGCGCCACAACTACCTTTCAATTTCTCACCAACTGACTGATTTAAACTATCTTCAATAAACTTAACCAACTTCTTATGTAATGGCATACATTTTAATAATGCCATTATATGGCTGCAAACATTCATACAATTTAAGGTTAAGGCTAATTTGCCCAAGTTCAACAGGATTTCAATACGTCGGTCAGCATCTAAAGCTAAAAAAAGAGGTGATTAGTGAGTAAAGTTTCTTGTACAGACACAAATAGAATTCATTGTCTGAGAACGACAGAAACAGAGTAACTTTGTCACTAGCGAGTAAACCAGTGCTGTGTTTGCACTTGGTGGTGGTGCTGCTATTACTACAGATTGAATTCTATCTGTCAAGTTACACACTATGGTGATCAATAAATGTAACCACTAGTGATGCAGAAGGTCTTTCGTCAAGCGAAATACCTCAGTAGTAACGAACGTCTCTGAATGAAGCACTATGTGACCTAGACCTGAATCTCAGAATGGACATGGACTCTTTCAAGATTACAGGTATAGAACATGTTGACCACTTCACCTATTTGGGAAGTTGTATTAGCACCAACGGACTGATTGCCGATAAAATCTCAGCACGGATCCGAAAAGCTCGAGCTGCTTTCCCTGACTTACACCACCTCTGGCGTAGGCGTGACATCCGGTTATCAACTAAGGGACGTGTGTACTGCTCAGTAGTTCGCTCCGTCCTTCTCTATGACTCTGAAACATGGCCAATACGCGTTGAAGACATGAAAAGGTTGACTGCTTTCGATCATAGATGTCTGCGATCTCTTTCTCACGTTAGGTGGTTTAATAGGGTAAGTAATGTTGACGTTAGACGTAGGGTGTTGGGCAAAGAGGGAAAATCAATCGACGAGGCTATAAGTTACATAGATTGAGATGACTAGGTCACGTGCTGCACATGCCTAACCATCGCCTCCCCCTCCCCGACGGGCATTATTAGCTGATATAGGTGCAGGTCACAAAAGAGTAAGTGGTGGCCAAACAAAAACATGGCCTCATCAATCCATGAAATCCGTGACAGTTAAACTGAGTCAGGTAGGGAGATGCAGACTCCCGGGTTGGGGTCCTCGGGACTCTAGGAATCAATGGCTAGAGACAATACGTGACATGGCTCAAAGTGATCGTTGTCAATGGCCAGCGCAGATGTATTCAGTCTCTGTAATCTTTCATATTTCTTTCTACCATTACCCATTCTGTTTCACTCTTATACTTGTCAGACTGTAATGATTCTCTTCACTCATCTTCTTGTCTACCTCTGTGTGGTATTTGGAACGTGGCAACTCGAAGTTTTGCACTTCGGTGCCAAGTTCTATGTTGAATCCAGACAGACAGACAGGTATGTCTGAATTGAAGTATGCGCTGAAGATGTCACCCAGTAGGGTGATGAAGGCTTCGCAAACTAACCATCCAGCTCAGAGAGCAAAACCACATCAAAAATGTTTGGGTGAAGAGAGTGTTCACAACAAGCACGAAAGCCAGCCTTCAAGGTTTCGAATTGATCGGCTTCAGTTATGTAGGAACCAAAAGTATTATATTTACCATGTTACAGCATCCTTACAGGGATGCTAGGTATTAGATCTATATAATGAGAAAAACAAAAATAACAATGACAGTAATTTAAAGGAAAGACAAAAATCTTACTCATTTCACCCTGTATTTTGTTTTCCGCCTGCTGAATGGATTTAGAGTCGTCAAGTGTATCCAATTTATCCTTTGACAATGATAATACACTATCATCACAATAACTTTCAGTTTTATTCATCACAACTGATTGTTGTTGATCATTTTCTTTCTCTGTTACTTCCTCTTCTTCTTTGTGTAAATCATGATCTATTATGGAATTGAATATTGTCAATTCTGATGTGTTACCAGCATTATTAACATTATTATCGACTGAAGAATTATTGTTATTATCATGAGAATGATGATTTGACAGAAGATCACGATAAACTTGCAGAATATCTATCTTATCGTCATCATCATCAATATTATTATTATTTGAATTTAGAGCTGATGACTTTAAAGTAACTAAATCATCGGGATGAAAAAACTCAAAATGACCAGATGATAAAAAGCTAGGTGAGGTAACTGGCGAGTCAGTTATAGACGTTGATAATCCATCGATATTATTATTATTTTTATTAGAATACATCAGTTTGGCTGATAATTGAAGGCTACATGTATAAAAAACAAAAGTGATAAAAGTGTGACTTAATAGAATGATGACTGAATTCGTGTTAAGATAATAATAATAATAATAATCAGACGTTTGTGTTGTTGTATGCCACTCGACCTATGTCGGCGTTTGAAGTATATTCACCTACAAATGTATCGACTGAACGAAATCAGGTCTGGATGTATGTGAAATTGTTAGGAACCAGTTACTCGGGAAAGCCTTAAACACGAACATCAGGCTTTGAGTTATAATTTATCTTATGTATTATGATACTCCCATCCAGGATTTGACCAGGCTGAAGTAGGAGCAGTGCGTTTGAACATCAAAACCTATCGGTTGACACTTGAGTGTGCTTAAGTCTTTTCTCACGTTAGGTGGTTTAATAGGGTAAGTAATGTTGACGTTAGGCATAGGGTGTTGGGCAAACAGGGAAAATCAATCGACGAGGCTATAAAGTTACATAGATTGAGATAACTAGGTCACGTGCTGCACATGCCTAACCACCGCCTCCCCCGACGGGTATTATTAACTGATATAGGTGCAGGTCACAAAAGAGTAAGTGGTGGCCAAACAAAAACATGGCCTCATCAATCCATGAGATCCTTGACAGTTAAACTGAGTCAGGTAGGGAGATGCAGACTTATGGGTTGGGGTCCTCGGGACTCTAGGAATCAATGGCTAGAGACAATACGTGACATGGCTCAAAGTGATCGTTGTCAATGGCCAGCGCAGATGTATTCAGTCTCTGTAATCTTTCATATTTCTTTCTACCATTACCCATTCTGTTTCGCTCTTATACCTGTCAAACTCCATTGATTCTCTTCACTCATCTTCTTGTCTACCTCTGTGTGGTATTTGGAACGTGGCAACTCGAAGTGTTGCACTTCGGTGCCAAGTTCTATGTTGAATCCAGACAGACATTCTTCCTACCATTTCAAATAATATAAAATGGGTATGAGATGGTTAGAGGTAATCAATAGAACGCCTTCGAACAAGGTTCGTATTTGTGGCCACTCCATGAGTATGGCGTCTCACCAACTTTGAAGGGATTAATGACCCGTTTGGGGATCGCAAACTGCGTCAAACATTTCTGTAGTCAATATCTTCACCACTGAGTTATTCAGGATCACAAAAATGACTTCCAAATAGCTTGGTTGATCCTTAGGGGTTGAGCTGGTATCTTACAGATCACCTTCGACTAACTAGGAGCAATTCGAATTAAGCCGAGTGATAGCGAGTCACTTAATTTTGTGATCACCTTGCAATCTGACTCATGGAAATAGATGAGCAGTAATACTGAGTACTATATCAACATAGAATTTATTACTTGTCCAGTAAAAAACCAACGTACAGATGGACATATAATAACTTATCCGCCATATGATCATTAAAAGTTGGATCATGACTCCTTTACACAAAAATGTGTTTGCTTTGTATGCTGACTATAACCACAACTATAAACACATTTTAATTCTTTGTAAAATAGTAGAAATTAATCTTCCTTTGTGCTTTTCTTTGTGGCCTACACCAACACTTCCATTATCGATGATTGAAGCATTAATAAAGCGCTGCATACGAAAGAATGCTGAAACAGGCATTTGATGTGCAAAGCGATGAGCAACACCTTTTGTGTGGAGAGAAAGATGATTTTGTTATCCAGTTATCACAGGTAAAAAGTGAAGGGTGTGAAAATCAAACCCATGACCCACCACCACCAGCTGAATGCCAACCGTTAAGTCAATAAACCAAATATCGTCACACATTGCATCTTATTACTGGCTGCATGAAACATGTGAGTCATCTACTTGTGATTTGTAACTTCGCACTGACTGATATATGTGAACTGAAATAGTTGGTTTCATTTTAGCATATAGAGACAGTTTTAACGGCAACCATCATATTAACTAGGTTAAAAAATGGGAAGGTATCTGTTTGGTGATGGTTAGAAGCGGAACCAAGGACGCTTATCTTGCCCTAATTTTTAGGACTCCTCATCTGAATGTGCCTGCTTCTCAATGAGTAGAAGAAAAAATCCCACTGAGGTTCCAAATGACAAGTCACAAATAGGACACAAAAGCACATCTTAGATTTCACTGTTAGACACCATCAAACAATCACTTCTGAAGTGTTTTTCATTGTGATACGAAGACACCCGTCTACAGAGCCTATATATACCACAATGAGGCTGACGTATTGAATCTTGATTTAAAAACTGGAAATCAAAATATGAATTAATAATTTTGAGATCATTCCCATCGCACAAACGGTGACATTTATAGACCAAAGGCTTAATGGATAACGTTTATGCATTGCAAACAATAGGTATTGGATTCGAGTTTTAATGGAAATACCGTCACACTTACTGAGGAGTATGTACATACAAATGACAAAAACAAGTTGCACCCTTTATCTCACTAATGTCCACCAACAAAACAAGTGACCAACTAACTCCATACAGATAAAATGAGGCAGTAAACAAAACAGCATCATCACTGTTGATGCTGTTACTTCTTCTCTTTTCTCCTCTATGATCTTCATCTACCATCTTAAGAAGTTGCTTTAAAAATTGTCTAGTCCAGTTAGGAAAGCATGGAAGTAGACTAGTTAATAACTTCATTATCCATATTACAGTTTAATAACCAATTATTGGCATTTGTCTGCTCCACCTCCTCTTTCATATTGATAAGACTTAGTTCTAATTCATATTGGGAAGTAGTTGGATGCAACACACTACAACCATTATGATTCTTGATACGACGATGACTCAAACTGTCATCATTACAGTTAGGTGAAATTGTAGTTATTACTGATGACAGTGACCATGTTGACAACGGAGGATTCGACTGATATGCAACAATTCAATTCGCCACACTCCATGGAGCACACAAAGCAAGAGAAGAAACTAGAAGAAATGCAAAATAGGGACAGCAAACAGAGGTGTGAGACAAAGGAATAGTGATAACGAAGAACAATATAGTTTCATTGGAAATTACAAGTCACAAGGAGTGGATGCATCTCCACCAGTCATTGAGAACGAACACTTTGAGCCATATCACCGATTGTCTCTAGTCATTGGTGTTCACCGTCCCAAGGACCCCAACCAGTCAGGAAGCCTACACCTTCCTACGTGATTGACTTAAACTGTTGTGCATTTCATTGACTGATGAAGCCATGTTTTGGTCTGACCGCCGCTAGCTCTTTTCCAGCCCGACCCTATATCAGCTAACATTAACCGTCGGTCGAGGAAGGCGATTAATTGCTAGGCGTGCATGCGTAACACATGCCCTGACCATCTCAGTCTTTGTAACTTCACAACTTCGCCTATTGATTTCCCTCCTTACCTAGAACTCGACCGAGGTCTAACCTCAATATTGCTCACCCTATTATACCACCTCACACAAAAGATAGAACGCAGGCACCTATGATCGAAGATAGCCGGCCTCTTAATATCACAGCCTCAAAGGAGGATGGAGAGGATTGATGAGCAGTACACTCGCCCTTTGGTCGATAGCCAGATATCACGTCTACGCCAGAGACGGAGTAAACTGGCATATGCGAAACTAGCCTTCTGTATCCGTGATGAGATTTCGTCAGAGATCAACTCGTTGGGGCTGATGCGACTTCCCAAATAAGTGAAGCGGTAAACACACTCCACCACTTTACCTCCTATTTCTAAACTAGGAGTCAGTGCAGTCCAGTCAGCACGAGCGAACTGCATGCCAAACATTCATAGGTTGCGACTCAAGGTGTTCGGACGACTATGCATTTTGTCAGAGTCCTCCTCACCTAGCAGGAAGGACTCAATGAATTTAGAACACATTTTCGAGCAATGGAAGATAGTTTTATGGTTTTCCTTAAATTATACGCCTATAAGATGGGTCGCACCATTTGCCAAAGGCTTAGTGACCATCGACCGGGAAGGAATGCACAACGAAAGAGAATATATATATATATATATATATATATATATATTTATGTATACAAGCGACAATACTATGGGTTGCCAATAGATTTTTTAAAAACACTAGTCAATATATAAATACAAAATAAACATTTAAACCAAAAACAGGGAATGAGGACGTGACTTACCTTTTCAATGGAATACAGGCTTCGCTTTCATTGAGGATACATGATTCCATATTCATTGTGATTGTGAATTTTATCAATAGTTTTATTAATCTCAGTATTCGTTTAAATAAAGAGTTCACATGACGACTAGAATATTGGAAAGTATTAAAATTAGTTTCTGGAATCTTTTTGAACTTTGATTCGTTGTGATTTACCTCTCTTTTGATAATACAGCATATCTAAAATAAACAATACAAAACAACAACACGGAAGCTGACACTAAAAGTGTTGATTTTGCCGCGAATTCTGTTTAAATTAATGGATTAAACTGTGTGGTAATATTGTGTATTGGCGTCGATAGTACTTTAGCATTTTACAATGCTCGCCAATTACGTACGCCATCCGGATTCGATTTCCGACCGACGCACTCTTAAATCGCGTCTAGTAAAATAAAACGAAAACAGAAGGTTGGGTTAAAATACTAGCATCTATACGGAAATATAATATTCTAATACATAATCAAACTTTGCAGCACATCTCATCCAAAATCAGTAAAGACAGGCTTAGTTAAACTGTTTTATATTTAATCCCCGGTCGATAACTGCTACCTTAACGTGGTGGTCGGGCTTGAATACCGCAGTGACCCAACAAGCTAAACCGACTGCGACTCATGTCCCTGCAGGTTCTTCCATGTCAGGAAGGTTGTTTGGATAGCGGTTAGACTAAAAAAGTTACCATGGGGTACATGGGCTTCAGTATCCAATCGGATCAAATGGCGTATGAACCCATATGGGTCAGCGGCAACCATGGGAATGCAGCTCCTGACGCTGCTTCGCTGCCTTGAGGACTAGACTCCAAATCAAAGGTTCACGGGAGGTCCCTTAAAAAAAACCACATGCTTCGGTCTGGGCGTTCGGGCAGTGTCTCAGCCCTCACACAATAAATCAAATGAAGCAACAAACTATCAATGAAACTTGTCGCGCGCTAACACACAGTGATTTCAAGTAATACTGATACCCCAAGTAACTTGTGTCCTTCCTACCTTACTTTTATTTTTATACATAGTTTCCTGTATTAAACTTTGCAAAACTTGTGCCTACTCACCTTAGTAATTTGCAATACACATAATGCGGGTAAGTCCTGACAGTTTTAGAGTTAAATTAACACTGAATTTTTACTTTAAGTAACGAAAAGTGATCTTAAGAGACTTGTTATTTCAAAACACCACGGTTAACCTTTTTCAATTGGCTACACATTTAAATGTCTACGATTGTAATTTCCAGGCCATAGATGTTGTGAATTTGCTGATAGGATTTGAATGTCCAGTTACACTTCGACAGCCTTTCGCTTTTGCCTGAATTCCAAGCCTATCTGTGTCTTTTCGAGATGTGAGTGAGTAAACCTCAGAATAGTTGTCCCTAATGTGACATCTAACACAGATATCCAGAAACCGCGTGCCACGTTCAAGCTGGCTACCTACAACGTTCGGACGCTGATGCAAATCGGACAACAGGTAGGGTTGGTAAGAACTTTGGAAAGCCTCACTATCGATGTCTGCCACATTTCGGAGACCCACATCCTAGATCCCAGTGAAGTGCTTCGACTATCCTCTCCATCTGGAAGTTCTAGCAGTATGTACCATCTGTGCTTGTCCGGGGACCCTGTGGCGTCGGCATCCGGAGTAGCTGGTGTCGGTGTCTCAGTAAGAGCTAGAGCCGAAACTGCATTACTCGACTGGATCTCCACTAACAGTCGTTTATGTGCTGTGAGGCTGGAAGGTTATAGGAAAGTAGGAGTGGAAGGCCAGATAGGGTGTCTATTTGTTGTCTCTGCCTATGAACCGACGGATTGTAGCCTAGATGCAATTAAGGATGAGTTATACTACCAAGTGAGCGATCTCTTGAAACAGGCGGGTCGGAGGGATATCGTAGTGCTGTCTGGGGACTTGAATGCACAGGTCGGGAGTCTAAGCTCAGAGGAGAATCGTCTATGTGGTCAATGGGGACTACATGGTCGAAGGTTCTGTCTGTCTGTCTGTTTTCGACATAGAACTTTGCACAAATGTGCGGAAGTTCAAGTCGCCACATTCCGTGTAGCACGCGAAGCAAGAGAAGAAAGTACAAGAAAAGCATAATAGAAACAGTGAGCAGAGGTGTGAGACAAAGGAGTAATAAAGAAATACAAAACAGTTTCATTGAAGATCATAAGTCACAAGGAGTGGATGCATCTGCGCCACTGAGAACGATTTTGAGCCATGTCACCAATTGTTTCCAACCATAGATTTTTACCGTCCCGAGGACCCCAGCCTGGAAGTCTACACCTTCCTACGTGGCTTAGACCAACTGTTGTGGATTTCATTGACTGATGCCAAGTTTTTGTTTGACCGCCGCTAGCTTTTTTCCAGCCTGACCCTATATCCGCTAACATTGCTCGTCGAGGGAGGCGATGGCTTGGCATACGTAACACATGTCCTAACCATCTCAGTCTTTGTAGCTTCACGACTTCGTCGATTGATTTCCCCTGTTTACCTAGAACTCTACGCCTAACCTCCATGTTGCTCACCTTATTATGCCACTTTACACGGGAAATAGAACGCAGGCACCTATGATCAAAGACAGCTAGTCTTTTCATGTCTTCCACTCTCAGTGGCCAGGTCTCACAACCATAAAGGAGGACGGAGCGGACTGATGAGCAGTACACCCGCCCTTTGGTCGATAGTCGAACATCTCGTCTACGCCAGAGTCGGCGTAAACTAACAAATGCGAAACGAGCCCCTTGTATTCGTGCTGAGATTTCGTCAGAGATCAGCCCGTTGGGGCTGATGGTACTTCCCAAATAAGTGAAGCGGTCAACGTGCTCTACCACTTCACTTCCTATTTTTAAACTAGGCGTCGATGTAGTCCAGTCCTGTAACATCATCTTGCATTTGGCGGGAGCGAATCGCATGCCAAACATTCGTAGATTGCGGCTCAAGGTGTTTAGAAGACTCTGCATTTCGTCAGCGTCTTCGCCTAGAAGGACTATATCGTCTGCATATTCCAAGTCAACGAGATTATTCCCGGTAGCAAGTCAATCCCTGAGTCGCTGAAGTCACCTAGGGTTAAGTCCATTAACACATCTATGATGAAGTTGAATAGAAAAGGAGATAATGGGCATCCTTGACGGACACCACTGGTCGTCATCAGTTCAGATGACAGCTCGCCGTAAGCCCTCACCTGGCTGTATGAGTACGAGTAGAGTGCCTTAATCAGTGCAATATATTTTCTTGGAATTCCCTTTACAGCCAAGCATCTCCAGAGAACTTCCCGATCGACAGAGTCGAATGCTGCCTTTAGGTCAAGAAATATAATGACTGTTGGACGCCGGTAGGAATGCCTATGTTCTAGAATCTGTCGGAGGGTGAAGATATGATCAATACACCCTCTTCCTGGTCTAAAGCCTGCCTGGCTCTCTCGTGTTTGTGCTTCCCGAGCACCACTCAGTCTACGCATGATTATTGAGCCTAAGACTTTAGATACTATATTAGTCAAGCTAATCCCTCTGTGATTATCACAGGAAGACTTGTCTCCCTTCTTGTATATGGGGATAATCAGTGACTTACACCAACCCGATGGGACTTCTTCTGATTCCCAGACGCTGCCTAGTACCTCAGTTAATCCGGACAGTAAGCTGTCTCCACCGTACTTAAATACCTCTGGAGTCATTCCATCAGGTCCCGCTGCTTTGCCTAGTTTCAGATTGGTGACAGCTTTAGTAACCTCAGTTAGTGACGGAGGACCTGTGTCTATATCCCATTCAGGGAGGTGTTGGATGCTCGGAAGGTTGAGCGTGGCTGTGGGCAAATTAAACTGCTCCTCATAATGCTCTTTCCAACGATCCAGTCGTCTATCCTGTGAGCTAATTATAGTGCCATTTTTTTCCGAGATTGTCTCACTAATGATTTGTCTTCTCCCACCCGTTTCCCTGATGAGTCCAAAGAGTTGCCTGGTGTTGCCTATCCTCAAAGCTTTCTCCATCTCTTTGGCTTTTGTCGCCCACCACTGTTCACGGTCCTTGCGGAGACTTTTCGTAAGTTTCCTCTTGTGCAGCTTTCGCTCCTCATTGAATTCGGAGCTCGCCGGAATAAGTCTTCTAGCATCTATCAGTTCGGATGAGGCGGTGGAGATCCAGTGGTTTTTACTCACCTTTGGGTTTACCTTATTCACAGCTTTTACAGCTGTATCTATGGCTGCCTGGATATTTTTCCAAGCTTCTTCAGGGTGAGCACAGCTGTCGAACACAGATATGTGTTTAGCTAGTTCTTCCTGAAATACGGATTTAGTTTCCTGATCGAGCTGGGGACGTGATGGTTTTACCGCCAGCTGTTTCCTACGTCCGTTCAGTCGTAAGCACACCCGAGCGCGGACCAGTGCATGGTCGGTATCTACGCACGTGTTCCAGAAGGAGCGACAATCTCCTACCGACCCACGCCAACGATAGCTTATTGCTATGTGGTCTATTTGTGTCCAGCGTTGGTTTGATGAAGGGGGTCTCCAAGTCAAACAGTGTCTCTCCTTGTGTTTAAAGTTAGTGCTTACAAGAAACAAATGATTATCAGAGCAGAACTGTAGGAGACGGTCACCGTTGTCGGTTCGCTGGCACGGAGCTCCATAGGTGCCACCGACATCCTTCTCAGATTGACACAATTTCCCTACTTGAGCGTTAAAGTCACCAGCTAGAACGACTATGTCTGAGCGTTTAGCCTTTCCACCAAACTAGACAGCTTTTGGTAGAACTCATCCTTCGTTTCATCTGAACTGCAGTCAGTGGGGGCGTAGGCGGAGATTACGAAAAGGCATCGGCGAGTAGTGCAGTCCTTCCTCCTTCTTACTGATCCGTTCAGGCGGACAGCACACATTCGGCTATCTACCGGGATCCAGTCAAGCAATGTCTTTTCTGCCCTAGTACTCAAAGCTATCCCTACGCCAGCTAATCCTCGTGAACTAGCTGTGGCATCTCCTGACACCCTCAAGGTGAATTTTGCAGATTCAACCTGTTGGCCAGGTGGGGTTAGGTGAATAACCACACTTGGGTCTTGTATGCGTGTTTCTGAAACACAGCATACATCAATGGCTCGTGATGCCAGGGTCTTGGCTAGTGATGCTTGTTGTCCTATTTGGCAAAGTGTCCTAACATTAAGAGCTCCTATATGAAATTGGTGGCGCGGCTTTAAGAGGCTGTCGGTGGTGGTTTTTTGGCTTCCATCGTTTTTAGTGGACGCAGAGTGGAGAGGAAGTGGAGAGCTATCAAGTCGAGGAGTTGCATCAGTGGAAGGAAGGCAAGGTTAGATAATGGCGACCATCTTCTGCAGCTTTGCGGAGATCACAACCTATTTATAGCCAGCAGCAACTTCCGACACAGTCATCACTGTAGCGCTACCTGGCGTCCACCCTCTGGGAATCAAGCTTGGACTCAGATGTATCGTATTGCTGTCGATTTCCGATAGCAAGGATGCAAACAAGACTGCCTCTCCTTCTGGAGGATATGCCTGGATACCGACCATGTGTTAGTGTGCGCCTGGTTAGTCTTGCGATTTGGTGAGGGTGGTAAAATGCTTCGCCTAAACGTTGATGTGAGAAAACTAGTAGCACCTGCTACTTATTTGGAATACAATCACGTTATCATATCTCTGTCCCTCTATCCAGTACAAAACCAACCTGGTAAAGAGCTTCAACTTCAGGGTCAGAAGATTCAATCAAAGATGAACTTCGGGTGGTTTATGAAACATTAGTTAAACATGGCTACCTTGAGAAAGTTCATCATTTAACACTAAATGGGGTTAGACAGGGTTTCCCCATCTCTCCATTTCTCTTTAACTTCGCCATCGATGACATTCTGGAGTCAGCTCTGAAGGATGTGTGTGAAGGTGGTGTAGATCTGCTATCTGGAGATAGACTTTTCGACCTCGAGTATTCAGACGATATCGTCTTACTGTGCGACAACATGCAGGCTGACCAAATCGGACTTACTCAGTTGGCGATCAGTATCTGTAAGTATGATATGTACTTTGAGCCGTCTGAGTGCAAAGTACATACTACACTAGATTGGCAGGAGCCTGTACCTGCACTCACTGTTGCAGGTGAACCGCTTGAAGTTGTTCATAAGTTTGTGTATTTGGGTAGTTGTGTGAGTGCTGGCGGAGGGGTGACGGATGGGATTTCCAACGGTATAATGAAGGCTAGGGTGGCATACATCAACTTGAGCCACCGCTGGCACCATCGCGACGTTAGCCTGGTTGTCACAGATCGGGTATACAACGCTTCGATGCGGGCTGTCTTGCTCTACGCCTGTGGAACCTGGTCTCTCCGAGTAGGCTGAGGATGTGTTGCGACTCTGCGTGTTCGATCATCGCTGTCTCCATAGGATTACTTGCATTCGTTCGCATCATCGCGTGAGTAGTTGTGAGGTTCGGCGGCGTGTGTTTGAACACAGTGATCAGCATTTGTTGAGTGTCATCATCTGGAAACTCCGGCTTCGGTGGCTTGGACATGTGCTTCGAATGTCATCCCAGAGGCTTACTTACAGGTCTCCGTTCGCTAGCCAGCCCTGAGACGGGATGGAAAAGGCGGAAGGGTGATCAGTCCACGATGTGGCGTCGTGGGATGAAAGATTTTTGTGTTAGATTAGCATCGGTAGGTGTATCACGACTCCCTGGTTGGGCTCCCCAAGATAGCTCGAATCGATGGCTCGAAACGTTATCGGATATGGCCAAGAAACGTAAACAATGGCAAACTTGTTGCAAATTCCTTCTCCCTTCCCTTCCCGATGATAGTTAACGAATACTGTTTGAACTTGTTAAGCATGACTGTTTTCCTTCCAGAAGAAGTTCTTTATCCGTTCTCTACTTTTATAGATATATATATTTCTCTTCTTTCTTTTTTTCTTATGATCTATGTTGTTTTATTATTATTGTATGGCGCATCCTTCTTGGTGCCATATTGTACCAAGTTTTCATGAGTTTAAATAAATAAATAAATAAAATTTATATTTAATCCAGCTAGAAATTTGAGTAGAAAAAAAAGAAATGTGAAACCCTATGTGATAGATACCTAATAGGGCAGCAATCAAAGTGGCATTTTAAAGTGATTCTAACGTCCTGAGAATATGTAATGTTACTTATCAAACGCCATGCAATAACCTTCACTTCAAAATGCATGACTTGGACTAGTCGATTGGAGTAATTTAGGTCACTAGGATAAAGCTACATCCAAAACGACGGAAGATGTTAGTTAATTCAAGTTATTAGGAAAAACTCGCAGTATTATGCATGCACCTGCATGACATTAAAAAAAGCGAGGAGTAGGGCAAAGGTATTAAGAAGCAGTATGGATATATGCAGAAATAGGAGAATCACTAAATCTTTGTCCCTTCAACGTTTATCTTTTAAAATTATATATCAGGTACAGAACCATTGAAAACCAGGGGGTACTGTAGAGCTGTTTCCTCCTATTTTGGGAATCATCGGCAGTACGAACCCACTGTGGTTCAATGGTCCTTTAACTGATATCAATCCGCGATCATATCATAAAAGCAAAACTAACCATTACAAACCAAACTACAGGATATTAATGCGATGCTCCCTAATGACTTGAGATAGTCTATTGGAGTTCTACTGAGAATTCGTGACCAGTGAGGAACATCCAGATGTCACGTGTGAGGATGGATGTTCCACCGACGACATTGTTTGGGACGCGCTTTATTCAAATTGGTAGAAGTTAGAATTCATGAGCTATTGAATCGGGTCCCAGTGGCTGAATAGTATACGAGCTTGCTTGTTACCGGAAGGTCCTGGGTTTAAACACCAGTGGGTGCGTACTGCCGATGATTGCCCAACTAGGATGAAACGGCTGCTCAGTACACCTTGGTTTCCAATGGTTTTCTAACTGATATCAATCCGTGATCAACTTCTAAAAGCAAAACTAACCCTTACAAACCAAACTATAGAATATTATATATATATATATGTATATACATGTCGTATCGGGTTACCAGATTCTGTTCAAAACCTGAAGGTCCTAGGTTCAGTCCCTGAAAGATCCACGGATGTACACTGCTGGAGAGTCTTAATCTAGGACCGAAAATCTTCCTAGTAATTCCTGGTTTTCATTGCTTTTATAACCTATGTCAGTTCACCACCTAACTTAGTATATAAAACATTCATCAAGCAGGTGTATGCACATGCGAATTTAATTCAACAAAAGTTTAGGACAGGATAATATTACAATTTATTTGGTTGACGATTAATTTATTGGCAGACATCTTACCTCATCGTAGGCTGTCTTAATATGCGCATAACAAGTCTGCATAATATCAGTGCATAATTCCTGTCGGTTTTTTGTACAATGTGAATAAGCATCTGTATAGAGTTGTATCAATAGTCTACTAGTTTTGCGATAAACACATCGATTTGAGAAAAGAATAAAGTTCCATAGCTGTTCTAAATTAATACATTTAACACTCGCAGTTGCATTAGTATTTACATGATGAGCAGATACTGGTTTTGAGAAAGTTGTCAATACTGTTGATATTGATGATGACGATGATGCCACTGAGGATGATATTGCTCTGGGGGTATTCAATTCACGTATAGTACATGTATCATCTGAATCAATACGACAAAACAGCTGTTCCACAAATCTAAGACGCAAGAAGAAATGAACACAGATAGATTGGAACAGTATTGAAATGAAAATGTTTGTAATTTTTGCATCACATAAGTATGACAAGACAATGAAAAGTGAAAGAAAACAAGGTTATTACATCATAGTAATGACACAACACGGTTCATCAGTAAAATTCTTTCCTGCCCAGTGACACGACGGTGCTCTAACAACCTCTGTCTCTGTCTGCCTGGTTTAGACATCGAACTTTCCACTGATATGCAACAATTCAATTCGCCACACTCCATGGAGCACACAAAGCAAGAGAAGAAACTAGAAGAAATGCAAAATAGGGACAGCAAACAGAGGTGTGAGACAAAGGAATAGTGATAACGAAGAACAATATAGTTTCATTGGAAATTACAAGTCACAAGGAGTGGATGCATCTCCACCAGTCATTGAGAACGAACACTTTGAGCCATATCACCGATTGTCTCTAGTCATTGGTGTTCACCGTCCCAAGGACCCCAACCAGTCAGGAAGCCTACACCTTCCTACGTGATTGACTTAAACTGTTGTGCATTTCATTGACTGATGAAGCCATGTTTTGGTCTGACCGCCGCTAGCTCTTTTCCAGCCCGACCCTATATCAGCTAACATTAACCGTCGGTCGAGGAAGGCGATTAATTGCTAGGCGTGCATGCGTAACACATGCCCTGACCATCTCAGTCTTTGTAACTTCACAACTTCGCCTATTGATTTTCCCTCCTTACCTAGAACTCGACCGAGGTCTAACCTCAATATTGCTCACCCTATTATACCACCTCACACAAAAGATAGAACGCAGGCACCTATGATCGAAGATAGCCGGCCTCTTAATATCACAGCCTCAAAGGAGGATGGAGAGGATTGATGAGCAGTACACTCGCCCTTTGGTCGATAGCCAGATATCACGTCTACGCCAGAGACGGAGTAAACTGGCATATGCGAAACTAGCCTTCTGTATCCGTGATGAGATTTCGTCAGAGATCAACTCGTTGGGGCTGATGCGACTTCCCAAATAAGTGAAGCGGTAAACACACTCTACCACTTTACCTCCTATTTCTAAACTAGGAGTCAGTGCAGTCCAGTCAGCACGAGTGAACCGCATGCCAAACATTCATAGGTTGCGACTCAAGGTGTTCGAAAGACTATGCATTTTGTCAGAGTCCTCACCCAGAAGGACCATATCATCTGCATATTCCAAGTCAACGAGATTATTGATATAAGAATAAAACTTGTGCACTGTGGTAGAGTGTTATTCCATTATGGGTAAATTTTGTTTTGATAAAGTCTCACAGCGTTATACAGTAATGTTTACTGATGACGTTTCGAGCACAATTTATTGCTCAATAAATTGTGCTCGAAACGTCATCAGTAAACATTACTGTATAACGCTGTGAGACTTTATCAAAACAAAATTTACCCCTAATGGAATCAACGAGATTATTCCCTGGTGGTAGCAAGTCAATCCCTGAGTCGCTGAAGTGAGTTAGGGTTAAGTCCATTAGTACATCTATGATGAAGTTGAATAGAAATGGGGATAATGGGCATCCCTGACGGACACCACTAGTCATCACCACTTCAGATGACAAATCGCCGAAAGCTGTTACCTGGTGGGTTGCATGAGTTCGAGTAGAGTGAGAGCCTCGATCATTGCGATGCACGTCTTTGGGACTCCACTCACAGCCACATATTTCCATAGTACCTGTCAGTCGAAAGAATCGAAGAAATATAATGATTGTTGGGCGCCAGTAAGAATGACCATATTCTAGAATCTGTCAGAGGGTGAAGATATGACCACAGTGCGGTGATGTAGTGCTTTAGACACTTATAACCAATAGCTTGGGACTGTCCGTGACGTGACTCAGAATTGTTCTCAGTGACACAAATGTATTCACGCATTTTGATAACCTAGACCTATTAAATACTAATTACTGTCTCTGTAATTATTTCTCCAGTGTTGCATTTCCGCTCATCATAGTTCCTTCGCATTACTTTTTCGACTTTTGCGTGCTGTAATGAAATGTGGGGGACAACTTGAAGTGCTGCATCAGCTCCACATTAATTACTCACCTACGTTAAACACTTTCATATCCATATTCTTATTGGTTAAATACATGTACTTTTGTGTGCGTCTATGGTTTAAACCTAGAATGCTCGTCTGCTACGCAGAAGGTTCGGGTCAACAAACTCCTAAATCTAACTTAGTTTGTTCGGTCATAAAATGCCATCGTGACTATAATCGAATGTCTCCAAATTTTTAATCAACTTACACGCAGAAAACAAAATTCAGTTGATGCTTATGCTGATGTAAATACCTTGAATATAATGTGACAAGCTAATATGACTAGACCTGATGTTTCTAGTCACGCAAATGATCATTTCGTTGGTTTTAATGAAAAGGACGGATTAACATTTCTCCAATCCTGGAATCCATCACACAAGCTAGGACCCGGCTTTGTACCACGCATTTTGCATCAAAAGTGTTCCTCCTACCCAAATCTTTAATGCATCGCTTCACAGGGACACAGTACCTGTTAGCTGGAAAGAAATAAAGGTGGTGCCTATGCCAAAGTCATATTCTGGATCAGGTCTAAAGTTAAGATCAATCGCCATCACGTCTTCGATTTCGAAGACTACGGAGAAACTTTTCTTGCATGTTTTTAGACCTTCTTTGACATTTTTTAGTGACCCGAAACAGTTCGCTCACAAATGCAGCAGAATCACATTAGATGTTGTCGTAGTACTACATCACAATATTTTTTAATTCTTGATAAAGGCACAAAGTTTGTTTGAGCCTCCTTTCTGGACTGCACTGCTGCTTTTGACTCTATTCTTAAGGCACTATTACTAAGCAAGCTGATTTCAACAAAGTGAGTCCTGCGCGTCACAAGGTGGCTGTCTTCATATATATATATATATATATATATACCAGTTCACTTGCTCGTGCGGAGCTAGGTACATAGGTCGTTGTATGCGCGTCCTCTCAAAACGTGTTAGAGAACACTACCCAGCGTGGCTGCAAAGAGGAGGCACCGGTTCAATCAGAAGTGCCATTATTGAACATCTGGTCAACACCTCCCACAAAATCTCAACCGATTCTTTCAAAGTGATTTACAAAGTCAACAGAAACCTACCAAAAGCAATATGTTTCCGACTTCTTTGTACTGCAGAAGCCCTCGCAATATGCATCGAGAAGCCGGAGCTGTGTGTTCAAAAGAAGTTAGTCCAACCTCTACAACTACCATGGACCTAGCTTGGTATGTTCCCTTTGTTTCCGTCTTTTTTTTTCTCTTCCTCGTCTGTTTTCGTTCTTGTTTTTTCCCTTTAGAGCATTTTTCGTTCGCTGTGTGTCTGATTCTTAGTCCCTCAATCTTCGTTTAATCCACCTAATTTTTTTTTCAGCTATAAAAACAGTTATTTTAAGTTTGTTTCCATGCTTTCCCTGTTCACATTTATAAATCGTTTGAAATAACTATTTTACAATTATATCTTAATATTGTGCAATTTTTGTGTTTCTAAGGCTTTTGTAATCTATATTCACACGTCCTAACTTTCATTTCAGGCTCAAATTATTTTTTCAGTTAAAAAAAACTAGTTATTTTAATTTTGTTTCCATACTCCTCCTGATCACACTTGCAATCCGTTTAGAATAACCATTCTACAATTATATTCTAATCCTGTGTAATTTTTGTTTCTATGCCTCTTGTAATCTATATTCATACCTCCTAACTAACATGTCAAGTTGAAAAATTTGATTTCAATTTGTTTCCATGCTCATTTTGTTCACACCTGTAGTTCGTCCTATCCCTGCGTTTCTAAACCTCTTGTAATTCATATCAAGTCGAAAATAATTATCACCTTCGATTCGCCTTTAAAATTATTTCTCCAGTTATCAAATATTAATTTTTTGCATACGTTGTAACTATTTTCTAATCCTATGAAATCTTGTCTCTAAGCCTCTTATAATCTATATTCGTACCTTCAAACTATCATATCAAGTTGAAAATTATTATCACCTTCGTTACTATGTGAAATTAAACAAATAATAATTCTATCCATGTTAAAATAATCTATATAAATGCGATTGTACAGGTTTTGAGAATGAAATCGCCGAAAAGATATCTTTGCTGAACTTCGTGTTCTCTTCTTTCTAAAGTCTTCATATATCTCGAGTAGAAAACAGCATACTCTTTTGAATGGAAAGCGATCCATTTCGTTGCTATCAGAAACTGATGTGCATCAAGTCACTATACTGTCTCCATCCATTTTTTTTTCTTTTCTTTTTGTATGACCTTCCATATTCTTCTAAAGCTAACTTCATTAAATATGCCGATGATTTTGCCGTTTCTGTCCCAGTAGTTTCTGCTTTGGATTATCCTCGTATGAATAAATTCTTGTCTGAAGTTAAAAAGTGGCCTCATTTAGATTGCCTTAGACTAAATCATCCATCTAATTGGCATATTATTGATGTGAACAAGATCTAAGTCGAATGACTCCTTTAAAATTGACAGCATTCTTATAGGGATTAAATCGATTAGCTCTCCACTGATTGTATAAAGAAGTTGAAATTTTCTGGCATAACTTAACCTCTTCTCTTACATTTTTTTGAATTCAGGTATTTTTCAAATTCTCTTTGTATTGTTCACCCCACTCGTTCTTCCCTGAACTTCTCAAAAGAGACTATGTCATATTACGTTGAACACTGAAGACCGTAAAAGTAAGGTTAGTAGTGTGTCTCTGATTCAACTGATAGACATTATTGTCAATAGCTACTCCAATTCTTGCAAGCATTTGGCTAAAGTTGTCTTGTCTGACACTAAACATCCTCTTTATTCTCAACTTTTCCCTTGTATATCTTCAGGTGAAACCAGAAGGACCTTCATAAGAATTTATGCTCGTACAGCTACTTAATATAAAATTTCTTTTATACCACCATATTTAGCACGGGTTTTGTGTGAAGAGAGAGTCAAGTGTCAGAAAAGAAATTATACACTTTTGAAATCAGTATCTGAAATACAAAGTATGAGCAGAGATTATTATTACATGTATTATCTGTGGCACTACCTGCGTATACTTCATTATTTTTCCAACGACATTCTATTTATAGTAGTTCCACTATTATTACTATTATTAATATTCTAAATATTTTGTGTGCATATTTATGAAAGGAGCTACATTGTTACAATATGTATGAAAACACTGAAAATTTCATTCTGTGAAATTATTATAATTGTTGAGAATAAAATGATTAATCATAATAATAATAATAATAGTAACATAATAATAATAATAATAATATAAAATAATAATAATAATAATAATAATAGGAAACCGATATTCTTAAAGGCACTGATTCTGCTAGAATGTTATAGTAACTTTCTGTTTTCCTATCAAGGTTTTTGCACTTCCCAGCTTCCGTACCTTCTTTAAAAGCTAAATGCTGATCAGTGGGGTCCACCAAGTAGTCCGGTGTGTGGAGACATATTCGTCGATGAGACTGGCTAGCGACTGAGCTACGCGTGTGGAAAATTAACAACACAAGTCGAAATTCAGAGGGCCACTGGATTCCCTTCCAATATTATCCGATACTCCCCTATTTTCAATGACTGATTTTAAGTTTAATCATACAAAACAACATTTTACATCAACACACATTTTGGTAATCTGGATCTATCTCCTCACAAATTTTACCGAATAACTAACTAACTAGCGAGCATTGCAAGAGATTTCTGGATGAAAAAGCGAGTAGCTATGTTGTTTTTTTAAACTCACTCAAAGCCACCGGAAGTCAATAATTCTGGTTTTAAGGCTGTATAATTGTCCCATATAAAATCTCGGCATTCAAACCAAACAGGATCATTAAAAAATATTGTGAACCATTGGAGGCATATATCACGATCCCCCGGTAATACGATATGATTCCGAAACTTTGATAGGAGACTATTATCTTGTAAAACAAAATCTGGTCGAAACACTGGATGAATCATTGAGTCCCATATCTGTTGTAACATATCCATTGTGAATAATGCATGACATTGGAATATTAAATAATAAATTAGTGTCATTAGTTCTTTAACTATGATGAAATGTCTATTCGAGTTTTTTCTTTTCGGAGGAGGATGAATTGCAATCGCAGTGCGCACGGAACCGTTAGCTGAGAAAAAAGAAAAAAATAAAAAGTATAGAGAACAGTGATCACCATGCATATATATATATATATATATATATATATATATATATATATATATATATATATACGGTGATGACTATGACCAACGAACAGCATTAACAACCAGCACCAATCACCATCAATGAGAGAGATTTAACTAAGGTAACCTCCTTCACTTGTCCGGCTGGGAAGCATCGTTCCAACTACAGGAATTCGGAAAGGGTGAAGTTGCCAAAGCTGGTCAGTCAGAATTTATCAACCTGAAACCAGTTTGGAAATTTTCTGCACAGTGGTCAGCATGAAGAACAAGATTCGGATTGTCAACACAAGTGTAAAGTCAATTCTTCTATAAGGGCCAGAAACTTGGTGGGTCACGAAAAGCAATGACATCGCGCGCAATGTCAGCCGTTGCACTAGTGGAATCCCAATCGGAAGTGATGAGTGTGTCGTCGATCGGAGGGTGACGTGGAGAAGATTGCTTGGAGAAGAGGAGGTAAGGAATTATGGGCAATCTCGGACCTGCTGAAGAGGACGGCAGAGAATAGAAGAAAGCGGAGAAGTGTTGTTGAAACCCTATGCCCTACTCAGAATCACAGGGAATGACAGTAATAATATACATACTGCTTACGAATACAAAAACGAAGCATTATTCAGGTGATTAAATAAGGAACGCATCTTTCACTAATAAATAAGTTACATATTTTGTTAAAGCGATAGTTCTATCAGGAACGAAGAAAATATAAACCTAATACTGAGGGCAGCAATAGTCTTGCAAAAGCGCGTTCAGTTCTCGTTAAAATAAATGCATAAAATGCCCAGTTAGTGGGTAATACCAATCATTATATGCAAAATGGCTTACATGAAGTTATTGACATGAAACGTTCTTCATGCACTGACCACATTATCTGAGTAATACAATCAACAGTAGCCTGTACAATACGATGTTGTTGACATAAATTTCTGACTATTATATTCGTTGTACCCTATAAAAAATATTAGGACAGTGAAAATGCAACGAAAATAAAGTTATGAAAATGCAAGTTAATGAACTGTGTCGAAATGGTCTACAATATCACTGATTAAAACTGAACAAGATTTTCATGTTGAGAAATATAACCAACCAGAAGAATTAAATTTGCAATTCTTCTTGATATCAAATAAGTGCTGGTATTACTTGCTTTCTTGATTACACAAATAATAACAAATATTGTCATCTGAATAATTTCGGTTTTCAACAGAAAACATGTGGTGAATTCCCACATTATAGTGTACAACTTGCAAATTGTGAGTTCGAAGCTATTTTTGTTAAGTAGCTGATCAGAATTCGGGTGGTTTAGACTGAATCGGTTCTCTTATATGAGCCAATTCACGAACATCTTGACCATGCCAGACCCAACACGCCGCCAGGTATTTAGATCACACTTCAATAGTGTAACTGGCAAGCACTACTGGTTGACGTGAGTGTTTTTCAAGCAATAATATCAGTCAGTATTATACACCATTATGCTATAAGGTCCCTTAAAATTTTAATTTATGACATAACATGGTACGCTTATCGAATCGAAAATATCTACCTAGTACAACAATTGACTAAATCGTACGCTGATCAAGCTTTATGAAAATTGATCAGACTTTATCCAGAAACCAATAAAGTACTACTGCTACTACTCCGCAATGTCCCGTGAATTCGGCTTCACTTGCTTTTAAAATCCACCACTATAACACAATACACACCTGATAACTGAAAATCGTAGTTAACAGACTTTTAATTCAAGTTAGCATAAGCGGAAGGTTATTCAAGGTACCGCAGAAATTTCGAGAGTAAGTAGCAATTCGAAGTCAATTTGTGGTAGGTGACTGACTAGCAGTGGAATCCAGGATGCGCATTTCGTTCTGTGTGGGAATTGTTAGCTGGATGTACCTGCATTTCCCAGTGAGTGATGTTGTGTTCCCACCGGGGTTCAGACTCAGTGCTCATAGTTTCAAACGCCAAAACGTTATCCCCTAGACCACTTAGGCCATGAGACGGAGAAATCTAAATTGAATTGAATAATTAATAAGACCCGTTGTACAAGAGGTGGCTCTCGTGGCCAAAGTGGTCTGTTGCGTAGCATTATGGCGTTTGAAACTATAATCACTGGGTTTGAGCCTAGGTGCGAACAAACCACCACTCAGTGGGAAATACAGGTGCATCCGGCTGACAAGTCCCAAACAAAACGAAATGCGCATTCTGGATTCCACTGCAAGTCAGTCACCATCCACTAATTGATTTTAAGCTACAAGGCCAAACATCGTCGGAGCATTTGCACAAGGAGCCTATATGTCAACCTGAGACCGAGCACTTCGGTCCAATCAATCGACGGGAAAATCTAAGTTGAATTAAATGACAATTAAATTTACAACTTTCCGAGATAGTAGTTCGCTGCTAAAGCCAATGAACCAGACTTATGCCAGAGATCTGCATTTACAAAAATTTACTTTTTTTCAAACGACAGATTGTAGGAATCTGACTGATTTCAAGGCAGTTCCAGTCAAGCATAGACATTGAACTGAAGAGGCGTTGAAAAACTAGGAATAACTGGTTAGCTACTCTGTCCTAGTTTGAGACTATTCACAGCAGTACAAAAATCCAGGACCTTCAGATTAGGAAGGCGAACCAACTGACCACCAAACCATTGAATTGAAATCGAATGAACTGTGAAATCAATAGTTTTCCTTAGTAGTTTCAATCTCTCAGGTTCGTTTCCTGGTGAATTCATGGCTGCGCTATGGATTTCCATGGCTCCCTCTCTGATTAATGTTGGTTTTTCTTATTTTTTTTTTTTGTTTTCTCGACAAAATCGAAAATGCAATGGAGAGCAGTTAACTTGATATAATATAAAGCATTATTATAACCTTTAAAAAAAACACAATTACCATATTTAAGAGATTAGCGATTTCAGTGAACTGTTTAGCAGCTGGTAATAGACATGCTTCATTCGGTCCACTTTTTAAAATATTAGCTAACTTATCCAACCATCTAATTCGAAGTTGATAAACGAAAGACTAATAAAAAGGAAAATAACATGAACAGATAACAACAAAGTATATGTGATTGAGTTTCAACATAAAACTTTTTATAAAAGTGCACACCAGTTCAAGTTGCCACACTCGATTAAGCACACAAATGCAACAAAAATAGGGAAAACAAAAGAGGACTTAAAATGACTGTAATAATAAACAGAAAAACAAGGGAAAAGCAATAGTAAGATGAGGAGACATCAGGGTTTAATCGGTATGGGAGGAATTAAAAAGGAGTCAATACATCTGCGCCAGTCACTGCACATTGAGAACGATTTTGAGGCATGTCAACAATTGTCTCCAGTCATCACTGCTTTTCAGCATCTCGAAGACCCCAACTAGCCGGCAGTCTACACCTCCTTAAGTGGCTTCAACTAGCTGGCGTTATAGACTACAGTGATTGATGAGACTATGTTTTGGTTTGACCACCATTAGCTGTTTTCTAACCTAAACCTATATCAGCTAAACATTGCCAGTTGAGGAAGGTGATGCTTTTAGGCATGTGCAACACATGTCCTAGCCATTTCCATCAGTGCAGCTGAACAACCCTATCGATCGGCTCTCCTTCCTTATGAAAAAAAATAAAAGACAGATTCAGTGAAGAAAATTTTCTTTATCGGTAAAATCGCCTTCAGAGGCTGTACAGTCGTATTTATACTTACAAAAATATATAGTGGTCTATTATTGAGTGATAGGGGGTGACATAATTGATATAACTATTCATAAATAGCTTTAGAAGTGAAAATTAAAAATTGCAAATTACGTGGTACTCAACGCCAATAAGATGGGAATTTGATAAGGTTAAAATTGCTCTTGAGTGAGAATAAAGGTATTTGAGTGTCAATTTAACAAGTGTGAAGAGGGTGTGAAAATATACACAAAAGGAGCACATGAGATTGATAAAAGTGAATTTATTTATTTATTTATTTTCCCTCCTTACCTAACAACACCGGACACCTTAACCCCAATATTACTAACTTTATTACACTACCTAACACTGGAGATAGAACTAAGATGCCTATGATCAAAGACAGCCAGCCTTTTCATGTCTTCCACTTTCAATGTCTTTGTTTCACAGCCAAAAAGAAGGACGTTGTAAAGTGTTGTACAGTACTTATGTGCTTTGGTCGATAACCGGATATCACGCTTACTCCAGAGATGACGTGAGTTGGTGAATGCCACATAAGCGTCTTGTGCCGGAGCTGAGCAAAACGACTGCATCTGAGTGTTTTACTTTTCGAAGTAAACTAGACAGCTTTTGATAGAACGCATCCTTTACTTCATCCGAACTGCAGTCGGTTGGGGCGTAAGTGGAGACTATGAAAAGACATCGACGGATATAACAGTCTTCCCTTATTCCAACGAATTCACTACAGACGTAAGACTACCCCATGTGATTCACTTCAATAGGGATTTCTGTGCTCTAGCAGTCATTGCTATCCCTACAACTTCAAGTCCTCGCGAACTAGTTGAGGAATCTACTGATAACCTTAAGGTGATTTTTTCAGATTACCTTGTTGGCTGGTTGGGGTTGTGGTTAGTGAATAACCACACTCGGGTTTTGTATGCGTGTCCTTCTGAAACACAACACACATCCATCGCTCGAGATGCCGGACTTCTGGTTAGTCATGCCTGTTGTTCAATTTGTCAGAGAGTCCTGACGTTAAGTGCTCTAATATGCAGTTGGCGGTGAGGCTCTAGGAGAATATTGGTAGTGCTTTTTTTGCCTCTCATTATTATCGATCACAGAGTGAAGAGAAGGGACCTGGCCGTGGATTAGTCTGTCTGTCTGTCTGTTTTCGACATAGAACTTTGCACATATGTGCACCAGTTCAAGTCGCCACACTCCGTGTAGCACGCGAAGCAAGAGAAGAAAGTACAAGAAAAACATGGATTAGTATTAACAGTAAGAGAAAATCAAGATGGTAGTGGCGTAGACAAAGGTGGGTAATGATCAGGATAGCTTTGTGTGCTTATGAAAGTGTGGAAGATTGTTGCCTTCCAGGTGCCAGCGCTGTGGGAGTTGATTTTTTCTTGGAACACCTGAAACATAAAACGGCATTAGTACTGTTGGCAACCGCTTGAGGCCTGTCACACATGGTCTGCTTGAGGTGGCTTTGGAATTGCGTCAGTATTAGGATTTTACCGCCGGTTACGGATTGCCATAACCACCCTCTCCCAAGAGCAGAGGCATAATAGCCGGCATTGCTGGTCATCTGAAGGAAACACCTTAATGTCGTTGCATCCCTATTCCGTAGAAGTACAACTTCACCCACAGACAGACCCTTAGCATAGTTTAAACATTTTACACCATCTCAGTAACTGCTTTTAATATATCGAATTGCTACCCTTACAACTTTTCTATCATGAGAAGACCTCTAGGAACATTAACTCTAGTCAGTGTAGCGATATACAAGCTCGACCACCACGTCAAGGTAGCGGCTATTTAATGTTTGATAATCCCTGTATTCATGGCTGCGACAACTATCCCCTCAGATTTTGACTACATGACGCATTATAATACCATACCGACGTCTCCCAATGGAGATCACGACAGAAGTTTGACTGTGGCGACTGGAACTGGTGCACATCGGTGCAAAATTCTATGTTGAAACCAGTCAGTCATAATAATGATGTATGTGCGTATATGTTGGTATCGCAACAGAAAGTTCAATACAATATATATATATATATGTCTGTTTTCGACATAGAACTTTGCACAAATGTGCGGAAGTTCAAGTCGCCACATTCCGTGTAGCACGCGAAGCAAGAGAAGAAAGTACAAGAAAAGCATAATAGAAACAGTGAGCAGAGGTGTGAGACAAAGGAGTAATAAAGAAATACAAAAGTTTCATTTTAAGCAGTATATATATATATATATATATATATACTGCTTGAAGCTTCAAATTAATGCATAATATACCTGTCCATCAATTGAAAGACTGATTACACAAAAACGAAAGTAAAAGGAACCAGAAGTTGTAATCGATAGATTGAAAAATGATGTTAAATCTCATCCTTAAAATCATGACAAGTTAGACAACCAAGATATCGGTATTATTTTTGAGGGGGCTTTTGTAAATCAACCCTATAGTCGCTACCGTATATCTCTGTTCGATGTGATATCTCCAGAAAAGAAGAAAAAATAACACGGTTAGCTAGTGTAGTAGACTGTTCCTTAAGAATGGATGGGCTTGTCGAAAGACTATTTGCCCACCAGTAAATTCAATGAATCGAGAGAAAAGAAATTACTACAATTTTGTAGAGAAAATGCTGTTGTAAAAAGTTATTCATCCACTAGGGTTATCCGAGCAAGTGTACTCTAATTAAATACAAATATTTGAGATACCTTTGAAATTAATTATTTTAATGGTACAGACACATTGCTTTATTTTTCACCTGAGTGGGGAACTAAAAATGTTTTATATTCCATATATGACTCTATGTGGTGATCTTGAATATAAACAAGCTTACACTTGTTGAACAGAATAGTGTTACTTTGTCCACTTGTCGTTTGAAAGGTGTAAAGCGTTGTTGTTAAACGCTTGCAGGAAGTCGTGCCTGACATCAGTTTCGTGCTCGTTACCACTCACCAGTAAGACAAGGTGACTACGCCGGAGTAGGGGGAGTGGAATGTGAATCCGGAACCTGTTACCTAAAAAATGGAGTGTTAAAGCTGATATATATATATATATATGATTTTACTGACTATGTAGGAGTGGGAAATTCGATAGGCTGTGGTGAGTGAGAAGGCAGCCAAACGTTAAACACACAACAAAAGCTACAAAATCTGGGTTTCATGAGCGATTTATTTCTCGTGTCACACAAACTGGACAATTTACAAGCGAAAACAAACAAGTTGGAAGGAAAAGGCAACGAAAGTTGGACTTTAGGTCAACTCATATATAAAACAAAAGTGAAGATACCTGACTAACAACACCAATCATCATAAATGGAAGAAATGTCTAGGCGAAATCGTCTCTTTCATTTACCTGGACCATCATCGTTTCAACTGCAGACAGCAAGACAAGCGTTCATTACTTAGTGGGGATCAAAGTATTCAGAATAGGACACCAAGATCCAAATTTTTGACGCAAATGTCAAGTCAGTCAGTGCTTCTATTTATACTTTTCATAGATTTGGCTCTCACATTGTTGAAAGCATTTCCAACAGGCCGAGAACTTTTACCAACAGCTGTATGGACTCGATACTGAAGATCAAATGGTCAGAAAGGATCAGCATTAAGGAACCAAAACTGACAACGAACCAGTAAAAGAGACTTGAATAACCAAGAAATATGCAGAAGGTAATAGAAATGGATAGATTGAATATTCGCTGAGGAGATTGTTCGAGTGACATCACACACACACACATACGCTAGGCAGGTGGTCACCGAGAAAAATCCGAATAAGAAGCAACAGATCGGAAAGGGGGGGGGGTTAAGTATGATAGTAATATGAATCAGATGCTATAAAGAGGAAATAAATGCTTTTGTAGACAGTTGTAGAGCCAAGTGAAGGTGATAATCATGATACCAGGGAAGCAGATTGCATAAAAAAGACTGCATAATTAAAATAAATGCGAACCAAAAGCAGAAAAACAATCAAAACACATTAGTTGAACTGACTTACTTCATCACTACAGCTAAGAATTTTTATATGCGCTTTTATTGCAGTATTATTTATAATATCGTCATCATCATCATCATTGTTACTAGTAGAGAGTCGTACGTTTCCACCACCATCAATAGCAGCATAACTAGTAGTATTAATACTAGTCGACCATTCCCATAATAGATCAAGTATTTTTTGCATCATTACACCATCTTTATCTTGTTCAGCTAGTGTTGAAATTAAATTGATTAAACATTCACGCTGACGTTTTGCAGCTTTATTCCAATTTTGCTGAAAAACAAGAATAGTAGACTTTATGTTCTTACCACACACACACACACACGAGAAAACAGTCATTTATATATATATATATATATATATATATATATATATATTTATAAGTCTTACTGCCTTTCTACTATTTTCTTAACCGCGATTTTTCATATATGTGCGGGATTGGCGTTGCTTCATTCTTAACTACATGTATCACCTCAGATTCCGTGGGACCAACCTCCTGTCATCATCCTATCACCAGCCAGCTGTGTCTTTCCGCTTTTCCGATTCCAGTGAAGAATACGATTTTAGTTAGAATATTTTGGATTTCTAATATATTTTCTGTGCGTTGAAGTTTTTCTAGCAATTTGATAGCTTTTGTGGGGTATGGTCACTAGCCCCACGCCCAACTCTCCGCCTTTACCTGGGCTCGGGACCGGCTAGAAAACTAGCACACTAGTTAACTAGGTTGGGTTGAGATTTCTATTGAATCCTCATAATTCTACATGTAATTAAAACTTCTCCCGAACATTTCCGTTTACTACAGTCTCTACACTTCTTTCATTCCCTATTTATATTTATGCGTGGCATTATAAGGAGTGACAACGGGAAACTGTTTCACTTTCGTGTGATGTTCTAATTTGAAAATTCACTTCCAGGATAAAATAGTATTCAGTGGAGTGGGTATAAGTCTCCAGAAACCTCGTGTCACCTAATATCGATCACCGATATCAATTGACTAATTTTCCAAGATGAAAAAAGGAAAAGGGAAGCGCGCCCATGTGAATATTAAAAACAACGAATAATAATAATAATACAACGATAAAACAGAGAAAAGCATATTACCTTGAAACGATTGAACAAATAATTCAATTGATCCATTGAAAATTCTAAAGCTAAATGTGTCAGCATCTTGAATACATTCTTAACTATTGTTTCATGTTTATCAATCTGAGATTCCCAGATTGTGTCTAAATCACTTGATGTGAGTAAAGATTTTCTAATCATAAAGCGGATAACTTCTTCAACTTTCTCAACATATTGCGGTTGATGTAAATTTTCAACAAGTAACAACTTTAATAACTGAAATTCGGAAGAGAAAGGAAGTGAAACACCAACACAATGAGAGATACTCAGATTTCGTCAATATCTCATATTGTTATAATTAAATTACTAATAATTGATTTAATTTACACCTTGGAACTTCCCACATACACAAGTATAACGAAGTTTACACTGACATACTTTATAATATCTCTGTCTGTCTGTCTGTTTTCGACATAGAACTTTGCACAAATGTGAGGAAGTTCAAGTCGCCACACTCCGTGTAGCACGCGAAGCAAGAGAAGAAAGTACAAGAAAAGCATAATAGAAACAGTGAGCAGAGGTGTGAGACAAAGTAATAGTAATAACGAAGAACAAAACAGTTTCATTGGAGATCATAAGTCACAAGGAGTGGATGCATCTGCGCTAGCCACTGAGAACGGTTTTGAGCCATGTCACCAATTGTTTCCAACCATAGATTTTTACCGTCCCGAGGACCCCAGCCAGGAAGTCTACACCTTCCTACATGGCTTAGACTAACTGTTGTGGATTTCATTGACTGGTGCCAAGTCTTTGTTTGACCGCCGCTAGCTTTTTTCCAGCCTGACCCTATATCCGCTAACATAGCTCGTCGAGGGAGGCGATGGCTTGTCATACGTAACACATGTCCTAACCATCTCAGTCTTTGTAACTTCACGACTTCGTCGATTGATTTCCCCTCTTTACCTAGCACTCGACGTCTAACTTCAATGTTGCTCACCTTATTATGCCACTTAAACACGGGAAATAGAGCGCAGGCACCTATGATCAAAGACAGCTAGTCTTTTCATGTCTTCCACTCTCAGTGGCCAGGTCTCACAGCTGGCCATAAAGGAGGACGGAGCGGACTGATGACCAGTACACCCGCCCTTTGGTCGATAGTCGAACATCTCGTCTACGCCAGAGTCGGCGTAAACTGGCAAATGCGAAACGAGCCCCCTGTATTCACTTTATAACAGTTTATAATATAGTGTACAAATGTAAGAGAAAATAAATTTCAAAGAAAGTGTACAACTTTATACATGGCTAGTTCAAACCTACTATCTTCGAAGACTTTTTGAATTGGCCCGGGTTTTGATTTGAACAACTCTAACTTCTTTCCAATCTAATTGTATGTCGACTATTCATTTTGTTTTATTTTTGATTACAGCTTGATTCCACACTGTATTTTTGGTACATGTATGGAATTTTCAGCATGGATATCGGTAGCCCAAACTTTGCAGGCCGACCATAGGTATCAGATGTGCGTCGGTAGGGGATAGAACCTCGGACCATGTGCATGGTCGGCGAGAGTCCTAACCACTGTGCCACCAACCACACTGATCGACAAGGAAGACAATGGCTTGGAATGCATAATATCTGTCTGTCTGTTTTCGACATAGACTTTGCACCAATGTGCAACAGTTCAATTCGCCACACTCCATGGAGCACACAAAGCAAGAGAAGAAACTAGAAGAAATGCATAATAGGGACAGTAAACAGAGGCGTGAGACAAATGAATAGTAATAACGAAGAACAAAACAGTGTCATTGGAAATCATAAGTCACGGGGAGTGGATGCATCTGCGCCATTGAGAACAATCTTGAGCCATGTCACCAATTGAATGCAAAATATACATACAGATATCTCAATCGACTCACCCTCACAACCTGATTGTTTAACTTACAGTACTATGTGCAGGCTGAACTATAATTTCCCGATCAAAAGCTGCTCCCTATGTGGTGGTCGGGCTTGAACACCATAATGACCCAACAAGCTATACTGGCTGAGACCTATGTCGCTTCAGGTCCTACCATGCAAAAAGGTTGTTTGGATAGCAGCTACCCAATCCAATACTATCATACATACAAACTCACAAAATATCATGCCGGATCGGTCGGGGTCCGGATTAACAACGACCGCGCTTCCTGCTGCCGTGTCACAGGGCAGAAGTAATAAATATGCTACTGAGACACACCAAACAATAAAGAACAAACAAAAACAGGCCGCGTGTGACCGGCTTCAAGCAGTTGTCCCCTTGGCTCTGTGGTCACGCAACCAACTTCCACGGTGTGGGCAGCCGGGAAGTAACAATCGCCCTCACAATCTGAAATGCACACGAAACCTCTCTAATCCTCACTCACCTTTGTCTTCATCTTCATCTCTAATATCTTGCCTTCCTTCCACTGATGCAACTCCTCTACTTGATGGCTCATCACTTCCTCTTCACGGGACGTGGCAACTAGAACTGCCACACTACGGTGCTAAGTTCCATGTTGAATCCAGACAGACAGACAGAACTCTTGTTGCTTGCTAGTTCTTCATATATATATGTATATATATATATATATATAGAACGCAGTCCAGTAGGTCACAATGCCCGTCACACCGCAAAGGCACTCACAAGCGAAGCTAAAGTTTCATAGTCAAAGTCAAGGTCAGATACAGGAAATGCTGTGAAGGGTTATTCCAAATCAAATAATGCCAGCCTTTTTGGACTCGGAAAAGGTAGATGCAGCATTCCACCTATTCTCTAAGTACTTTTTTCTGTAAATCTATAGGTTATCGGGTTTTAGATTAAGGTTCACGGTCTAAGGTTCAAGTTTCAATTACAGTTAGAGTTAGGAGTAGGTTCAATAACAGTGTCAGAAAAAAATATCTATATATCTCAAAGTACCATGACCTACAGTCACCTGAATGAATGCATCTATCGCGCATGGTATGACTTCTATAGACCATCTGTGTAGCTGTAACAGCATTTGACAACGTGAAATACAATGTATATATATATATATATATATATATATATATATATATATAATTCCGTTTCTAATGCAGCACTCAACTGGGGGAATATGTGAAAATAATAATCCACTGAAACACGTTCTCTGTGTCGCACCACAATAAAGTGACTGGGAGATATTCTTTCAACGCAATAAGTCACAACTATATAAGCTTAATATCATGTTTGCAATGCTTTTTAGTACATTTCTCAACAATTATGCGTCTTTTTTCCATTTGGATTCTGACTGTCCAAGGTCACTATGGTTTTGGTTATGATAGATCAAGTTTTGCTCAATAACAGAAAAACAAAACACGAATATAATTATAAATATTTGTTGCTTTATAACTTCTGAAAAATTTGTGGTAGGTTCTTCTCATGGATCGGCATTATTTCAGAGAACTACTGGAAACCACAGAGCACTGATCAGCTAGTTCATCCAAATTTTTACCTCATTGACAGTGTACACCAACAATTCGACCAGGGATTGGACTCAAAGCAGGGTTCAGGTGAAAAGGTAAGTCTGTTGAGCATAATACAATCACAGAGTGTGGAATCCAATTACTCTTCAATTCTAACTTCAGTCGATTCACGCTTTTTATTTTTTCAGTAATTCTCCAACTGAGATGTCGGTTCATGACGTTGGCATCATTAACACCAAAACGTCAACCAAAATTATATAAATTCAATCCAGAAAGAGTGAAAAGAAAATTAATAGAATCCTACAGAAAGCGTGCACGCCTGTCTATCTCTTTTATGTTTTTTCACCTCCTTAAAATCAATTTCCAAAAAAAGCAAAGTAGAACATGTTTGATTGAGTCGACACAGTTTAAGCCAGAAAAGGATGACAATGGAAAGTCAATCACCAAAGAAGTAGAGCAAAGAAAATACTGGGCTGAACACTTCAAGACTTCTAAATCGACCGATAACTACAACACGCCCAACAATACCAACAACGGAAGCAGAACTAGCAGTGAACATTGACCCCCCGACGAAATCAGAAGTCCTGAATGCAATCAAGATGCTAAAAGCTGGAAAAGCAGCAGGACCAGATGGAATCCCAGCAGAAGCATTGAAAATGGACCCAGAGACAACAGCGGACTTGATGACGCCATTGCTAAAGGTGTGGAAAGAGTGCAAGGTACCTGAGGATTGGAAGAAAGGATACTTATCCAAACTACCAAAGAAGAAAGGAGACTTAAGTCAATGCAAAAACTGGCGTGGAATTATGCTTCTGTCCATTCCAAGCAAGATACTAAGTCGCATCATCCTGGAGAGAATCAAACAAGGCACCCTGGGTGAAAAACTTCGTCCGGAACAAGCCGGATTCAGGAGAAACAAATCATGTATTGATCAAATCGCCACTCTACGGATCATCATTGAACACAGCTTGGAATGGCAGTCACCTCTCTATCTCAACTTCATCGACTTTCAAAAGGTCTTCGACAGCTCAGCGTCGATCGAGTGGTCATTTGGAAACTACTTCGCTACTACCAAGGGGTCCCATCGACAATTATACATCTCATCCAACAGTTATACGACAATGCTGCATGCCAAGTAATACACAACGGGAAACTTACTGAAGCCTTCGAAGTGAGGACGGGAGTGAGGCGAGGCTGTCTACTATCGCCAATGATCTTCCTGATTGCAATTGATTGGATAATGCGACAGACAACGGCAACCAACGAGGGAACAGGCATAAAATGGACTCACACAAAAAGAGATTTGGAGGATCTGAACTTCGCCGATGTGATATATATGTCTGATTTCCCACAAACTGGAAGATATGCAAGTGAAAAGCAACAAGTTGACAGAAGAAGCATCAAAGATAGGACTTCAGGTGAATATAGAGGAAACAGAGATGATGAAGATTCCTGGCCAACACCAACAGTAACAAAAACAAACAGCATAAATGGGGGAACCTGAAAGAAACAACCTCCTTTACCTACTCACTTAGCTAGGAAGTATCGCTTCAACTACAGGCGGGCGGAACTGACGAGGATATCAAAGTCAGAATCGGAAAAGCAAGACAAGCTTTCATTACTCACATCAAGTCTGTGTGGAGGTCAACAGCACTGCTCAGCATCAAAAATAAGATCCGGATTTTCAACTCCAATGTGAAGCCAGTCAGTGCTGCTCACTATACGGATCAGAGACTTGCACTGTGCGTCATAAAGAGCATCTCAAACAACCTACAGACCTTCATTAACAGTTGTCTTCAGTCAATACTACTCAAGATCAGATGGCCAGAAAAGATCAGAAACAGGGAGGGATCTCTGGCAATGAGCGAACCAACACCGCAGGAACCGATTGTGAAACAAATAGGCAGGAAGAAATGGAGATGGATTGGCTGGCCATACTCTGAGGAAACCATCAAGTGACATCACTAGACAAGTCATTAGTCGAGTGGAACCCGAAAGGGAAGCGGCGAGTTGGTGGTCAGTACAAGGGTGACTTGGAGGAGTTCATGTGAAGAGGAGATGAAAGCACGTGGGCAGACTTGGAGCGGGGTGAAAAAGTTCGCAGAAAACCGAAGGCAATGGAGACGCGCGGCTGAAGCCCTATGTTCCTCTAGGGATTAAGGGATATAATAATAATAAAACACTACCAGTGGAGTTCAAGACACATGTTTCATCCTAGTCAGGACTCGTCAAAAGAGTGTGCCTGTGTATCTCCTGGTAAAGAGTGATGGTGTTCTCTCACTTAAACATGAGCCTAGCATAAACCATTTTGAAACTTCCGGTCATTGAAGCAACCGTCTCATCAACACCGACCAGACAAGCATTTCTAATCAATAATATCAATGAGAAACTAAACAACAAGAAATACAATTCTAGCTAATTCTCTTAACTTGTTTGTATTTTACGTAACTCTTCTGAGTCATCCTATTCTTCTCAGTCATCAATGCTATTTCACAAATTTCTTGATTATGTACTAACAAAACAATTTAGTTTATCTAATACCCTTCAATGAATGTGAGGTCAAATACATAGGTCAAACCAGTAGAACAGGGGCAGTCAGACTAGCCGAACATAAAAACCTAGCTAAATCTAGATTGGTTGACCCGAATAAGATAAGAAATCTAGAGAGTAGTTCAGCTATAGCACTACATGCAGTTACACACAACCATACAATAGGATGGGATAGGATGACAATTTTAAAATCTAATGTCACAGGGTATAGGGAGAGATTGATAACAGAAGCTTTGTTTATCGAATCAACTGCAAATACATGTAATAGGAATGATTCAACACCTGTCCCAGATATATGGAAAATTCTACTGCCCATACAACAAATAGAAGACAGAGAAAACTATAAAAATCAAACCTCGAAGTCGTGTGACAAAAATTTGATATGATTATGAACAATAAATTGTGTTCGAAACGTCATCCAGTATACAATACTGTTTCACTGTGTGATACATTTAATAATCAAACTAATATGGAATTACTTAATACCACAGTGCCCAAGTTTTACACATATATTAACATGACTTACGGTCTTCCTGTACGAAGACTTATCAATAAACTCACTCGACTTTCACAAACTGAAGCAAGATATGAAAACCACCGTATTTTTAACATTCGATGCTTAAAAAATGAAATCATTCCTAAATATCTACGTCTACGAGCTCCAGTTCCAACGGACAGAGTTAGAAACAGAATAAAAAGTCTACAAAAATTATGCCTGAAAGAAGAGATTCACAGAATCGTTAGAAAATTACAACATATCAGATGTGAAATTGAGCAATTAAAACAAAAGCTAAAAGGAATAGTTAGCAATGTAGATTATGATCTTATAACACAATCCTCCAACAATGCAAAATCAGCCACTTTCAAAAAGTCAAAAAATAGTCAAATCAAAAAGTTCAACAAATTATTAGAGGAGAAATCTTCATCTCAGAATAATGAAGTCAACAATCCAAAATCAACGGCGATTGATAAATCAAAGTGAGTTATCAATCTCTCATCACATATATTAAGTCCGATGGAAATAAGTGTATTAGAAAAGGGACTAAACTTCAATGTAGCGGTGGACAAGCTAAAACCTGAGGATGTCATCCCTAAAATAGAAATAGCACTAAGTGGGATAGACAAAACAACAACTAACTTGTTGGCAACGCCTAAGAATCAACTTACTAGAATTCCGTAATTAATTTTCACCCCTCTTATATTTAAATATCTTGTTACTAATAGTTATTTGTTTTGATGACCTTTAACCTCTTAATTCCACTCCCGCCTATACCTAAAACTGACTAATTAAAGTAACCACTTGATCGGTAAGCAATTTCATGTGAAAAAATATATATTAGTGTAGAGGATTATTATGAAAAGAATATTCTTCGTTCAGATTGACTTTTAATTCATGATATATGGGAATATTTCACACTATCAAATACAAAATAACTGAACGACGTACTTTGACAAGTGTTAGTTTAAAGGATTATTGATATAAGTATAAAACTTGGGCACTAGGAAGCTTATCAACAAACTCACACGACTTTGTCAAACAGAAGCAAGATTCATGGATAATCCCATTCAGTCATTAATGAAAGCAAAACACGTAGAAGCAAGATTAACAAATCAGCGAATTTTCAACAGTCGATATTTAAAAAGTGATATAATTCTTAAATACTTACATCTACGTATTCCAATTACTTCAAGGGAAATTATCAACAGCAGCGGAATATGTCAGCAAATTGTCTTAAAGGAGAGCAACGTAGAATAATTACAGAGCTAAAGAATACACGTAATGAAATTGAAGAACTTAAACACAAACTTAAGTGTATTGCTAAATGAACAGTTTAAAGGAATTTGTTAAATTCTGCACAGGCTTACACACATCAATTAGAGAATCATAGAATCACAGGTGCCTAGTGCTGAAGAGTCACAAAGAAGGAGGAAAAAAACAGCTATCCAGTACTTCATAGTTTCTAATGGTTCTCTCGAATTGAAATGTTACTACTTAGTGGCCAAGCTAAAATCATAGTTAGAACATGATGACACATAAAAAACAAACTTATTTATTATTACTTCACCTTATTGTCTTTGATCCATTGACCAATTCCTAATAAATTATCACTGCATACAGCTAATAAACGGATCAATTCATTTAATGTATTCATTTTCCCACTGAACGAAGACAACTGTAGAAAAGAAATAGAAACAACAAAAGTAGTAATTATTATTATTATTGTAATATGATGTGGTGTAGTGACTGATGATGTTGAAATATGAAAATCTTGGTTGCAGCAAGGATCCTTCTACCAGTGATGACTGAACAGTACTTGTCAGGAGTTATACTAAAACAAGTTATGAAGAGATCTATTTACTTTGCTAAACAATCGGGCCGCCACTTTTCACTGCAGTCACTGAGCGTAATGCCCTGCCTGTTATGTAAATGAATGAAACTACGAATTTACTGTCGGCTCACAATATTCATCACACTAACTGCCCCACATACGTCTTCCTCCTGTCAATTTTAGCCGCATACTAAATTAGACACAAAAAGAGAATCAGACTGTTCATTTATGATAAGACTGTCTCAGATAGCCCTTGGTTTAGCAGAGTATTACTGACGCAGTCGGTGTTGACGATGAAGATTGTAGGTGAAATTTTAAAAAATTTAGATTGCAGCCGATTATGAATTAGTTCAAAGATTTATCAGCTAAGTTAGGAGACTTAGCTGATAATCACGTTGTGATTTGACTAAAATCCCATTCGCTAGGAATGAATACGCTTACGACAACTATGGGTAGCACGGATGAGGATATCAAAGTTAAACAACAAAAAAAACAGGAAAGCAAGATAGTCATTCATTACTGTGAAATCAGTCTGTAAATCCATAGCATTCAGTTCAAGGAAACCGATCCAGTCAGTGCTTCCACATAGTTCGCAGACTTGAAACACATATCACAGAAATCCCTGAAAGTTTTCAGCAACATCCGTACTATCTGTTTCGATACTGAAGATCACACGGTCAGACATGAAAAATAAGCAAGTAACAAGGATATCTGGCAGGCAGACAAACAGCCAACAATCTACTACCCGATCAATAAATATACAAAAGGAAATGCATATGGCTGTATTTGAAATACATGAATAATTTCCATCCAGACGTTAATGAAAACAAAACGCGTAGTTCAGGGAAGGGTCTCTTTTCGGCGAATTTTTTTTTGAATGACACATAACAAATACTAGGATCCTGTCTAGTAGAACACGAATGGGAAGGGGCGAGTTGAATGTTCGGTGGTGACAATGAGGATCATATATTATTAATGTTCACTTGGGTTCCTAGTGGCTTCAACTGCACGTCTCCACTTGCTCCTGTCTTCTGCTGTACTTTTTACCTGCATCCATGTTAGTCCATACTGTTTCAACTCCGCTTCACACGATCTCATCCATGTCATCCTTGGACGTCCCACTAGTCGCTTCCCTTTCGGGTTCCACTCGAGCAATGACCTGACGCGCGCGCGATGTCACCCAGCGGTCTCCTTGGTGAGCGTCCAATCCATCTCCACTTCCTCCCGCATATTTGTTGTTTGGGCGATTGGTTCTTATTTGTTTATTCCCATAGTTTCTTGGTGATTCTTTCCGGCCCGGCCATCTGATCTTCAGTATAGAGAGAAGACAGTTGTTGATGCAGGTCTGCAACAGGATGTTGGAAATATTCTCTGTGACCCGCCAAGTTTCTGATCCCTATAGAAGAACTGACTTGACGTTTATAGTGAAAATCAGAAGCAATATGGTTGTTGATGCTGAATGACGAAGATTTTCACATTGGTTTCAGGTTGATGAATGTGTTTCCCGTCTTCCCGATTCTCGATTTGACATCCTCGTCTGTTCCTCCTGTAGTTGGGACAATGCCCCCTAGGTATGTGGAGAGAATATAAAATTACCGATAGGAAATGAACGCCTGTAGGCAGTTGTAGAGACACTTGAAAATGCCGGCAGAAAAACAAGTGGTGTGGAGATTTGCTGCTGAAGGCCCTTGTTCCCCTCGAAATCCACACAATCGATACTAACACTACTAGCTACTAGTAATGGTAATCCCAAATTCTTTTCCTATCGGAAATATTGAACTGAAAATTTAAGGTAGTAAACTGGCATATGCGAAACTAGCCTTCTGTATCCGTGATGAGATTTCGTCAGAGATCAACTCGTTGGGGCTGATGCGACTTCCCAAATAAGTGAAGTGGTAAACACACTCTACCACTTTAACTCCTATTTCTAAACTAGGAGTCAGTGCAGTCCAGTCCTGTAACATCATCTTACATTTGACAGCACAAGCGAACCGCATGCCAAACATTCATAGGTTGCGACTCAAGGTGTTCGAAAGACTCTGCATTTTGTCAGAGTCCTCACCCAGAAGGACCATATCATCTGCATATTCCAAGTCAACGAGATTATTGATATAAGAATAAAACTTGTGCACTGTGGTAGAGTGTAATTCCATTATGGGTAAATTTTGTTTTGATAAAGTCTCACAGCGTTATACAGTAATGTTTACTGATGACGTTTCGAGCACAATTTATTGCTCATAATCATATCAAGGTGATATGATTATGAGCAATAAATTGTGCTCGAAACGTCATCAGTAAACATTACTGTATAACGCTGTGAGACTTTATCAAAACAAAATTTACCCATAATGGAATCAACGAGATTATTCCCTGGTGGTAGCAAGTCAATCCCTGAGTCGCTGAAGTGAGTTAGGGTTAAGTCCATTAGTATATCTATGATGAAGTTGAATAGAAATGGGGATAATGGGCATCCCTGACGGACACCACTAGTCATCACCACTTCAGATGACAAATCGCCGAAAGCTGTTACCTGGCGGGTTGCATGAGTTCGAGTAGAGTGAGAGCCTCGATCATTGCGATGCACGTCTTTGGGACTCCACTCACAGCCAAACATTTCCATAGAACCTGTCAGTCGAAAGAATCGAATCCCACCTTTAGGTTATGAAATATAACGATTGTTGGACGCCGATAAGAATTAATATGTTTTGGAAGGGTGAAGATGTGATCAATACACCCTCTTCCTGGTCTGAAGCCTGCCTCGCTTCCTCGTGTTTGTGCCTCCCAAGCACCACTTAGCCTACGCAATATTATTGAGCCTAGGACCTTAGATACAATATTAGTCAAGCTAATCCCTCTGTGATTATCACAGGAAGACTTGTCTCCCTTCTTGTATGTTGGGATAATCAGTGACTTACACCAACCCGACGGGACTTCCTCTGATTCCCAGACGCTGCCTAGTATCTCACTTTATGCAGAGAGTAAACTATCTCCACCGTACTTAAATACCTCTGGAGTCATTCCATCAGGTCCCGCTGCTTTGCCTAGTTTCAGATTGGTGGGATGGAGGACCTGTGTCTATATCCCATCCATGGAGGTGTTGGATGTTCGTCAGGTTGGGCGTGGCTGTGGACCAATTAAACTGCTCCTCATAATGCTCTTTCCAGCGTTCCAGTCGTCTATCCTGGGAGCTAATTATGGTGCCATTTTTCTCCGAGGTTGTTTCACTTATGACTTGACTTCTCCCACCCGTTTCCCTGATGAGTCTGAAGAGTTGCCTATCGCCGATGCTTTTTCCATCTCTTTCGCCTTTGTCATCCACCACTGTTCACGGTCGTTGCGAGGACTTCCTGTTACTTTTCGTTTGAGTAGCTTTCGCTCCTCATCATAATCGGAACTCGCCAGAATCAGTCTTCTTGCGTCAATCATTCGGATGAGGCGGTAGAGATCCAATGACTCTTACTAACATTTGATTTTAGCTTATTAACAGCTTTTACAGCTATGTCTACAGCTAACTGTATGTTGTGCCAGGTTACCTCAGGCGAAGTCCCTCTGTCGACCTCAGATACTCTTTCCGCTGTTTCTTCCTTAAATAGGGACTCAGTGACTTGATCTAGTTGGGGACGTGACTGTTTCGCTGCCGTCAATTTCTTATGTCCATTTAGTCGTAAGCATAAACGTGCGCGAACCAGAGCGTGATCAGAGTTAACGTACGTGTTCCAGAAGGAGCGACAGTCTTCTAGTGACCTTCGCCAACGATACCCTATTCGCTACATGGTCTATCTGAGTCCAGTGTTGATTTGGTGATGTCTCTTTTTGTGCCTAAAGTTAGTTTTGACTAGAAACAGATGATTATCTGAGCAAAACTGTAGAAGACGATCACTGTTGTCGGTTCGTCGGCAGGGGACTCCATACGTATCACCTGCATACTACTCAGTCTGGCACAACTTCCCTACTTGGGCATTGAAGTCGCCTGCTAAAACAACTATATCTAAGTGTTTTGCTTTTTGCAGCAAATTAGACAGTTTCAGGTAGAAGTCATACTTTAGTTCATCCGAACTGCGTAAGTGGAGACTACGAAAAGGCAACGACGGGTAGCGTCGTCTTTCCTTCGTTTAACGGACCCATTCAGGCGGACAGCACACATACGACTATCTATTGGGAACCAGTCAAGAAGTGACTTTACCACCCTAACACTTAGGGCTATCCCTACACCTGCGAGTCCTCGCTAGCTATCTGAGGGGTCTCCTGACAGCCTTAAAGTGAATTAGGAGATTCACCTTGTTAACCGGGTGAGGTCAAGTGAATGACCACACTTGGGTCTTGTATGCGTGTCTCCGAAACACAACATACATTCATGGCTCGAGATGCCAGAGTTCTTGCTAGTGATGCTTGTTGCCCGATTTGGTAGAGGGTTCTGACGATAAATGCTCCTATATGAAGTTGGCAACGTGGCTTTGAAAGCCTACCTGGGGTGTTTCTATGGCTTTCACCGCTGTTTGTGGCCACACAGTGAAGTGAAGATGACTCAATAGCCTGCAGAATAGTACTAAGTGTAGTAGAGAAGCAAGATGAGGAAGGTGATGTGAGTAAAGGAGAATGATGCTCAGGAAGGCTTCGTGTGCTTTTGGGAGTGTGTGGGCGGTAGTTACTTCCCGGCTGCCCACACTATGAAAGTTGATTTATTCTTCAGGTACCTGAAACAGAAAAAAGGTTAGAGTTGCGTGACCGCAGAGCCTAGGGAACAACTGCTTGAGGCCGGTCACACACGGTCTGTATGAACTGGTTTCTGGGATTGGTTCCATGTTAGTAAACCTACCACCGGCTACGAACCACTGAAGGGTGAGATCGACCTTTTCTAACCCCCTCTCTCCAGAGTGGATAGACAGCATAGCTGGTATGCTGTTCATCTGAGGGAAACATCTCATTGCTGTTAAACCCCTGTTCCCTAGCAGTATAACTTCGCCCACAGCATAGTGTGAAAAAATTCTTACACTATCCCGGTAACTGCTTTTAGTCTAATCGCTATTCTAACTACCTTCCTGGCATGGTAAGACCCACAGGAACAATGGTTCCAACCAATGTAGTTTGTTGGGTCATTGTGATGTGCAAGTCCAACAACCACTTTAAGGTAGCAGCTATCTCTGTTTACCATGGTTTGAGACCGGCTAGAAAACTCGTGAGCTAGTTAACTAGGCGAGGTGGTATAACAGGATAGAGGATGCCACTAGATTGCTAATGCAATCTTTAATGACTAAGCGACTGATTCACGCCAGGGTCGAAATCTGCACAGAAACGTTTTATTTCGAATTAAAATAACCTTACACCCAATCCTATCTTTTCCAGGCTCATCACCGGTCTAGTCAACCAGACAAAGTTCAGAGGTGCATTGACTAGGAATCCAACCTGGTGCAATAGCTGGGTTTTCGAGCATTATACCATTGTCATTGTGATGTGCAAGCCCAACAACCACGTCAAGGTAGCGGCTACTAGTCTGAATGAAGCCATGCCCTTGGCTTTCGTCCTTCTTATTATTCGTCAGCTAGGCGCATCTGCCACCTCGAAGCAACTGATGTCCGGTGTGGATACTGAACGTACACCGCAGTCAAAGACCACCAATGAGACCTTAGCCCTCATGATTGACATTCAGCAGATATGTCATCGTTGGGTTTCAAATTCTGTCCGTCAATACGGTATATCCATGGAACTTATGTTAAGAGTCAATTCGAAAATCGATTTGATTAATTGAAAAGCTTTAAGGCATCTTCCGATCATACTATTGGATGATTAAAATTGGAAATGAATTTGTGAGAATTTTAAGTCAAAGTTGAGTATTAATCACGATGAAGAGTGGTCAAAGTACCGGCTCCCAGTGGCTGAATGGTATGCGAGCTTGCCTTGTAACCGGAAGGTCCTGGGTTCGGACCCCAATGGGTGCGTACTGTTGATGATTCCCAAAACTACGTGAAACAGTTGTCCAGTACTTTCTGGTTTTCAACTGTCCTCTAACTGATATCAATCCGTGGTCAAACTCGTAAAAACAAATTTAATCCCTACAAAGCAATTATTGAAAATAAATCAGGCAGGTTAAAATCTTTGGCCTATATGCTTGATGTATGACAGATTTACTCAGTTGCTTTATAACGAAGTTTCCTTATATTTTAATATTATCAAAGCTATTTTTTAATAGTTGAATTAATTGTACCACAATCACTGCTATTGTATATGTTAATGTGCTTTGATGAGTACTATTTATTTATTTTATTTTTGTTTACAGCTTGATTCCACACCGTATTTTTGGTACAAGTATGGAATTTTCAGCATGGATATCTGTAGCCCAAATTTAGCAGGCCGACCGTAGATATCAAGTGTGCGTCGGCAGGGGATCGAAACTCGGACCATGTGCATGGTCGGCGACAGTCCTAACCACATTTGTTGTGTTTGTTTTCTAAATTCACTACAAAGGACAATCCACTAGGAATATGATAGATACAGTGTCAGTACGGAGTAACCAATATCTTGTGCCCAATCCTAAGTGTTGATATTGATTGAATACTATGAGTCGGGCATTAAGTGCTGGGGACTTCGAATCTCTGAAGGGGTATCGCTTTTTCCAAGATTGAGAATTTGTTTTGTTGACGAGTGGCAACAAGAGCGAAAGCTAGATACACAGTGATTTCTGCTAGCTACCACCAAGGCTATCCCCAGATAGGATAATGAAACACACTCGACCGATAGCTACTTCCTTGATGTGATGGTTGGGCTTGCATATCGCAATGATCCCACTAGCTACACTAGCTGGAACCTGACATAAGGTCAGGTTGGAAAAGTGGCGGTCAAACCAAAACATGACTTCATCAGTCAATAAAATCCATAACAGTTAGTTTAAGCCACATTGGGAGATGTAGACTTCCTGCTTGGTTGAGGTCCTCCGGATGGTAAAAACCAATGATGGTTGGAGACAACTGGTGATATGGCGAAAAATCGTCGTCCTCAGTGATGGCGAAGACGCATTCACTTTTTATGATGTGTCATATCCAATAAAACTTTGTTTTCCCATATAACTATTAGTTTTGCCTCACAATTCTGTTTGGTCTTTTTTTAATCTCCCTTTACTCTTGTCTCTTAGTTTGCGTGCCTACAAATAGGGAGTTTGGCACTGCTGCACACCCGTGTAAAGTCTTATGTTGAAACTAGTCAGTCTAATTAAAGCCCAACTTCATTGTCCTTAAAAACTCCTTTCCTTTGTATATACATGACAAATGTTTTTTTTTTAATTTTTACTTATTAGTCAATCAGTTAACTCAATTGCTTGTATCCTGGAAAATAAGTTAGGAAGTGAATTCCCGCCACACACAGATACTGATCGGATGCATACTGTGTATAAGCGCATAAATTTGTACTATGGACCAACTTATATCAATAAACTATTTGACAATTTTTTTAGGTTTTAAGATTCTGTTGTAAACATTTCCACAAAAGAATACATCACTTTACTACAACTTAAAGCATGATTCACTCTCTTCAAGAGATAGTGAATATAGTTACTGTGTTACCAAGATTCCTGGAATTACAAATTCGTGATTCTAAACCAGTTAAATTTTGCTTACTGTTAAACTTTAATTCTACAGATTTGCTAGAATTCGGTTACCCAGTCTTCCTCTTGAAGAAACACTCTTATTTTGCTACACATTGATAAGCTGTGTCAGGTAATTCCTATTTACTGGTCTTCACGAGGCCGAGGTGTTCCTCGGGCGCCTACAGCAGAACTCTTGGACCTGGTTGGTCTACCTAGCAGAACTTGAAAGCCCTGATTCCAAACACCGGCTTCGGAATCCGGAAGAAAGGAATAGCGTATGAACTTATTTCGGTCGCTAGCAACCATGAGAACACAGCTCCTGATGCTGCTCCCTGAGGCCTCAAGTCAAAAGCTCGTGTGAAGGTGATCCCTCAAGACAACCACATGCTTCGGTCTAAGCACGGTTCTCTTAGTGATGTCGGTTGGTTGAGGTAATTTGCAATTTAAATTAGTGAAAACCCGGTAAGTAGTAATAGATAAAGATTTTTCGAAGTGTTCGAATTTGCTTTTAAAAAAATGATAGAGAATAAACATGTATATCTGCATTATCTGATCCCTATTAAAAGTCTCTAAGCATTGGCTAATTCATAACTGTGAAACTCATATCAACCAACGTGATCACCGGTCAGCCATTTTATTGATCTGTGTCATCATTTCGTCTGAGTACTACTCCTAAAAGTCAAGTTTGGTAAATGTGGTGTTGTTTTTCCCATCTTGGCTGGGGTTTCTACCTTGACACTTCCGACTTTCCCTCTTATTGTCGGCAATAAACTTCCTAGTAAGTTGACTGAGAAACGAACTTTGACCTCCTAAATGTGTGGCTGGCAAGCATCCTGCCATTGCCTCCAAAGCCTCAGAATGGTCGGGGGTGGGTGCCTTGCGCTGCGGGTTGGCCACCCCTTCGCACACCTCTTGAAATGCTCCCATATGACCGGGCGTCTTACATAGCCTCTCCTGAGGAAGTCCTACTCACTGCCTTCACGTGGCGGAGGTGTTTCTCACCAAAGTGAGAGGGCGAAAGCGGATGCCCGGCGCTCTCCACCGGGTTGACTGTCCATTGGATGACGGTCTAGGGGAGATGGCTAAACCCTGATTCCAAACCTCCAACGACTGGCGTATGAAGCTCACTGGAGCTCACCGGCAGACGTATGGACAAAGGGCTTGTTGGATGTCCTGGATGTCTGGCCCCATTCAAAAAGGCGTATGAACCGAACTCCGGTCACCGGCTGCCAATGGATAGTGGACTCCTTACTCCACTCCTACTGCCTTGTAGGTCACACTTGGCTGTGTAAAGGCTAGAGCTGCACTCTCAAACAAAAGGCCGAGCGATGCTGGGGACATCACTCGTACCAAATTCCCATGAAACATCATGAACTCTCTTACAAATTGCCGCGCCTGGGCAGCGATGATTCGAGACGTTCATGAAGCCGGCTCATCCTCCCGTAGGAGATAGCCGAAGTAAAGTAAAAAGTAAGTCTAAGCATGTGGGGAGTACCCTTGACCAGTATGCATTCTGACGATCAGGCTGAAATAAGTGGAGCACGACTTGAACCCGGCACTCATATATCAGCTGATAGTTAAGACGAGATGGATCACCTCTACTCGGTGGGTACAGTAATGTCAACATTAACCAGTTAAGTAAGAAAGTAATAAACAATAAGCAAGATGAACAAGATCTGCCTACCTGGAAGAAACGATAGATTAAACCAAAGCATAATATTTCAGCTCGTTCAATATCTTCTTCTTTCGATGATGGCATCCGCTTTAATAAGATATATAAAGTTAATTTCAATCCAGCGATGAAATCATATCTTGCTCCTTTTTTTGATTCTTTCTTTATCTGATCATCAGATATGCGTGGCAAGTAGTTAAGAACTGTATTCTATTTCCACAAATATAACGGATAAGAAAAGGAAATTATGATCTCTAGAATGTAATAACAACAGCAATAAAAAAACCATTTACATGGAGACTATTTTAGGTGTTTTCAATTGTTGATTTGAAGAGATTTGATTCGTTTCAACATAGATCACGAAATAGCACATCAGTCAGAGAATTACTCGAAACCAGGGACTACTGAACAGCCATTTCATCCTAGTCTGCGTCTCTTCTTTGGTATGCACTCACGACGTCAACTAGGCTCGAATCTCAGCACTATAAGGTTATGAGGTTAGGAAATTAATCATCTTGTAAAACGAATTAAGAATTTGTAGCCTTTCAGAGAATTACTAGCACAAGAACAATGATGGACTCGCTAAGAAAGGACTACGAGATTTTCGGTTTTTGCACGCAATCATGCACCCGCAATGCTCAATCCATGTGTTTTATATATATATATATATATATATATATATATATATATAGAGAGAGAGAGAGAGAGAGAGAATAATACTATAGGAAAAAGCATAAGTAGATTCCACCAAACATTGGGAATACCACATGTTTGCGTAGGATGAATAATAAAAATGGGATATTATAAAACATAGAGGTTTCTGGTGAGTATCATTGAAAACTAAAAACCTGATAATGAAATTGTCTAGGAAATAAAAAAACATCTCGACTGTTGTACATATCAACTTATACCCTCACCCCCTCCCCGCATGTGAAAATCACTCTCCTCCACTCGCGGTATACGATATGATCAGTACAATGAGTCTGTAGAATGTGTTGTCTGTCATGTACAAACGTTCAACATTGTGAGTATAAATTGACTGAAAAATTATAATTATCAAAAATAAAAGCATTTACAGGTCAATCTTTGATTAATAATAATAATAATAATAATAAATAATAATAATAATAATAGGGGTAGTAATCAGCCTTAGTGTGGCAAGGTTTATGAATCCGGCATTTCGAGTGAGGCAGATTCAAAGTTTGTATTGTAGTCAAACCTGTAATATCTTCGATATGCCTCGAGAAGATGTAATCAAGAGAACAAGATACCTAGGACTAAAATATCCTGCAAACTGACTACTTCATACATTTAAATCTTGAAATATGTTAAATAATCAGTCAATCAAAGAGTAAGTACATTTCAAACTAATTTCAACTCATAATGGAAAAACTGGCATGAGAAAAAAAAGGGATAGACACTTATCTCTCATGTGCAGTACCAATAAATGTCTACATTTCATTCTTCTGTGATGTTTTTAAAGTGTGGCAATGTAAACGCATGCTATCTCATAAAAATTTAAACGTTGATCCATATCAGTCATTAGACATTGGAAAACCCACAAGATAAATTTAAAACCTATCTGTTAACTACAATAAAGTAAAGAATTAGAAGCACAAACATGACCGAAAATAAAAAATAACTGAAAAAGGGTGTAAAATATGTTTGCATCTTTTTTTTTTTGAGCACAGAGAGGATGTCAAAAGTCGTGAATGATTTAGTATTGTTACGAAGGTGATGGAGTCTTAGAACGATGAGTGATGCTTGAATCTTGAAAAGACGAATGAACCAAGAATTTAGGCTTTATTCATTTTACAATGAAGCCGGAATGGCTTAAACATATAAAGGGAAAAAGTGTTAATAGCGGTAGAGATATGAATATGACTAGATACGTATTATAAGAAAAGTTCACAACAAGTATATTATGTGGAGAACTGGGTGTGTTATGATTCTCATATTCTGCCGTTATATACTTCAAAAAGCTAAGTATTGGATGGTTAAAAAGCTATTCAATGATGCACAACAGGTTAAACTTACAACTATCGGTTGAAAATATTCTTCAATCACTGAATCATTCAGAAAATAACAGCACAATGCAAAGGGCTGGAGATAAGCATATATTAAACTGAGTGATAAATGCTCTGTCCTATCAGTTGACCGTTGCTCTTGCCCCTTTTTGTCTTTCTCTGCGTTTTGCTGTTGTTGTTGCGGTTCTTCGTCGTTATTGTCTAGAGTCAGAAGACGTGATTTCAATCGATCGAAACCGGACAGCTTTCCAAATAAATTGATGAAATCTAACAAAACTGGTGCATCCTTATAATCAACGTATGGAATAGAATATTCTCTTAAATTTAAAGTGGTGGAACTATTATGGTGTGATGAATTCTCATTCATTTCTTCATAGTTCACGTTTTCCTGGCATTCTTTCATGTTCAAATTATTCACTGATAAATGTGGTAATAACTTAATGATATTGTCAAACCGGCAAACGGCGTTCTTGTGCGTTCCATAACGAATTTCTTGTGCCACATTGCTGGAATTAATACTACGTGTATGAAAGCTGCAACATTAAATGAAAGAAAATATAAAGTGAAAGGAAGAGGCTGAAAGTAGTTCCTAAACATTTTAAACAATTCACACTGGTTAAAAGTGGACCAAAGATGATGCAAACTTATATAACCGAAATCTCTTCAAATCTTGCACTTTCAAAGGTCACAACCGTATAACAGGATTATATTATTATTATTCCCTTGCGTTCCAATCGGAACATAGGGTTTCAACAACACATCACTTCGTTCTGTTTTCTACCGTCGTCTTCAGCTGGCTCGTTCCACGACTGGCCAAACTCTTGCTCACACTATCTCTTCCATGTCACCCCAGGACGACCCACTCCTTACTTCCCATCTGGATTCCACTCGAGGGCGTAACGTGAGATGTCATTAGGTTTCCTCAATATATGCCCTATCCATCTCCACTTCCTGCTACATATCTGTTGAGCGATCGGCTCTTGGTCGGTTTGTTCCAACAGTTTTTTGTTGCTAATTCTTTCTGGTTGTTAAATCTTCAGCATGGAGCCAGAGAAGGCAACTGTTGATGAAAGTCTGCAAACTGTTGGAAATCCTTCTCGTGAAACGCCAGGTGTCCCACCTGGATGACTTGAGATTGGTGTTGAAATTCCGAATCTTGTTCTTTATGCTAAGCACTGTGCAGAAGATTTCAAAACTGGTTTCAGGTTGATGAAGGCGTATCTTGCCTTTCCGACGCTGACTGGTCAGCTTTGACTCTTCGGTTTGATTCTTCGAGTACCCAAAACAGAGAGGGTTAGAGTTGCGTGACCGCAGAGCCCAGGGGACAACTGCTTGAGGCCGGTCACACACGGCCTGTATGAACTGCTTTATAAGTTTGGTTTAGTATTAGTAAACTTATCGCCGGTTACGGAACACCGTAGGGTAAGTCGGGATGTACAATTGTTGGGGTTGACCTTTTCTAACCCCCTCTCTCCAGAGTGGAGAGACAGCATAACTGGTATGCTGTTCATCTGAGGGAAACATCTCATTGCTGTTAAACCCCTGTTCCCTAGCAGTATAACTTCGCCCACAGCATAGTGTGAAAAAATTCTTACACTATCCCGGTAACTGCTTTTAGTCTAATCGCTATTCTAACTACCTTCCTGGCATGGTAAGACCCACAGGAACAATGGTTCCAACCAATGTAGTTTGTTGGGTCATTGTGATGTGCAAGTCCAACAACCACTTTAAGGTAGCAGCTATCTCTGTTTACCATGGTTTGAGACCGGCTAGAAAACTCGTGAGCTAGTTAACTAGGCGAGGTGGTATAACAGGATAGAGGATACCACTAGATTGCTAATGTAATCTTTAATGACTAAGCGACTGATTCACGCCAGGGTCGAAATCTGCACAGAAACGTTTTATTTCGAATTAAAATAACCTTACACCCAATCCTATCTTTTCCAGGCTCATCACCGGTCTAGTCAACCAGACAAAGTTCAGAGGTGCATTGACTAGGAATCCAACCTGGTGCAATAGCTGGGTTTTCGAGCATTATACCACTAAAAAACCACGGAATTACTGATGTACACAATTTAAATTCAATAAGTATTCATAGTCACCAAAATTAGAAAGGAAACTACGTTAAAAACACCATAATTAACGACGAAAAACCGTAGCACAAGTCATGTTTCACGGTATATACAGAACCGGTCTTTTCTAACCATTCCTTACAGTGGAGAGACTATAGCTTCAGTGAAAGTTCAAAAGAGAACAAGAGGAGCATAGGGCTTTAGCCGTGCGTCTCCATTGCCTTCGGTTTTCTGCGAACTTTTTCACCCCGCTCCAAGTCTGCCCACATGCTTTCATCTCCTCTTCACATGAACTCCTCCAAGTCACCCTTGCACTGACCACCAACTCGCCGCTTTTTTTCGGATTCCACTCGACTAATGACTTGTCTAGTGATGTCACTTGATGGTTTCCTCAGAGTATGGCCAGCCAATCCATCTCCATTTCTTCCTGCCTATTTGTTTCGCAATCGGTTCCTGCGGTGTTGGTTCGCTCATTGCCAGAGATCCCTCCCTGTTTCTGATCTTTTCTGGCCATCTGATCTTGAGTAGTATTGACTGAAGACAACTGTTAATGAAGGTCTGTAGGTTGTTTGAGATGCTCTTTATGACGCACAGTGCAAGTCTCTGATCCGTATAGTGAGCAGCACTGACTGGCTTCACATTGGAGTTGAAAATCCGGATCTTATTTTTGATGCTGAGCAGTGCTGTTGACCTCCACACAGACTTGATGTGAGTAATGAAAGCTTGTCTTGCTTTTCCGATTCTGGCTTTGATATCCTCGTCAGTTCCGCCCGCCTGTAGTTGAAGCGATACTTCCTAGCTAAGTGAGTAGGTAAAGGAGGTTGTTTCTTTTAGGTTCCCCCCATTTATGCTGTTTGTTTTTGTTGCTGTTGGTGTTGGCCAGGAATCTTCATCATCTCTGTTTCCTCTATGTTCACCTGAAGTCCTATCTTTGATGCTTCTTCTGTCAACTTGTTGCTTTTCACTTGCATATCTTCCAGTTTGTGGGAAAAGCTGACAATACAACCAAAATATTCACATGAGATGGAACAGACTGAGTCTGACCACTTTGGTGCGTTTGTGTTCTCTGAGCTGGATGGATATCTTTTGCCCACACTTTAATTTGAAGATTTTAAACCTCGTCACGAATTTATAAGTTATCTCGCTTGGTAACCTTGAACGTAACCCGTTGTTTTATATATTTTCTCGTAAATATCCATCATTTACCCATGTGAACCAATATTTGAGTGGTGTACCAGTGTAAATCGATAGCAGCTCAGATGCATTAATAATAATAATACATGTCCTAACTCGTGAGTTAAAAGGCAAAATGATTGCCATTTACGCACGGATGCAACCCAGTGGGTAATACGAATTCCAACGATGTGATATAACGTAAATATTAAAGTATTTAAGTTACCCACAATAAAAACAACTCACCGTGAATTAGGATCGAATAGAATGCTTTCTACCTCCAAAATAGGTGTGCAATCAGATTCAGCCTTGAGTGAACATAGCTCAATAGCTAAAAGAGCATTGGCATAAATAAAATGCTTTTAAAAAGGAATTCGTCAATTGGATGAAAACTACTGGAATCATACCAATATATGAGAATCCCAGCGACTGACAGCATCATCCTGGAATATTTTTTGAAAAGAAATTATCAAGCCATTAGAATAAAAACGTAAGCAATCTTCTGAAAAAACATCTTCACCTAGATTTTAAAAAAGAAAATATTCAGAAATATATTATTGCAGAACCATTTTTAGCCATATTAATTGACGCCATCAGAACAATTTCCAATTGTGATTCAGGTAAAACAGGCACTTGCCATTGAGGTCGTGACAACAAAGAATTAAGATTAGTCAACGCATGCACTGGAAATGTGGTTTGCAGTTTTCTTGGGGATAAACTGTTATTTTCGGTAGCCATTGAAGCATTCACAACTGAAATATTTGGTGGACTATCATTGGGAAGTTGACCTTGTCTGTTGGTTCTAGTATTCATGGTAGGTTAACTGAAGTAAAATTAGCAGAAAATTAAAAAAAAACGATGAGCAAATGGAAACACTCAGAAATACCACTCAAATCAGATACATACTACATAATTACCAGGTAATTTAACTTAAAGGGTATCCAGTTACGATTAAAATGGTAGCCTGTCACATATGAGATAATGAAAATATCTCACAATTCAAAACATTCAGGTTGACTATAGCAATTGCTATAATTATAGGACTAAGAAAAACAGTGCGTTTTAAATGCATACTACGTGTTACTGAGATAGTTAGAAAATGATGCCATCCCAGATCTCTTCTTAATTCACTTAAGCAGGAATGGAATTGAACATATAGTTCAGTACAGTTCTTGAAGAAACCTTGTCCTCAATTACGAATAAGTCTAGAGCGAATAGACATATACTCAGATGATGAATTTTCCCAGGTATCATACACATACTTTAGCATGTCGACGTCCCCCAAGTATTTAGGTCATCCATAACAAAGCTTTCGTCGTCCTTAATTAATTTCTACTGTTAAAAGCTGTACGAACTGATAACTCAGCTAGTACATGAATATATGGACTGAACATGCATCGAACAGATGCAGCGTGCTGGTTAACCAGCATGTGCAGGACCAGCATTCTCAAAGTCTGCTCGCATCACATATATTACGGCGGTTTCAGAGACATCTGAGAACCATGAATTGAAAAAAAAAGAATTAATTGTTAGGATGCAGAAGTATGTAGAAGACAATGAAGCAACTAACTGTAGACACTCCGAAAGTTCGAAAATAGATTTAGGCAGATTTTGATTGGCTGTTGGCTAGCTGGCTTCCTATTGGTCTAAAATATAAGTTAAAGCGGTAATCCTTTTATTTAGACACGGAAATTTACAGTCAGTATGATTTAGGGCTTTCCTTACCCTAATATAATGGCGTGTTAATTTTTTTGGTGTGAGTGTAGTGTGATAGTCACAAGCTATTTGGATGCATTGATGGTCTTTAAAGTGTATTAAGATGTCTTAGAATGTCTAGTAAGTGAATATAAATCAACAATAATTTCGACGCATTTATTTTAAGTCCAAAATAGGATCTATGCATTTTGGATTACTAGGCGAATATAATTTAGCTACAATTTCTAAAAATGCGATGTTCTTAATTAGTACATATAGGTAAATGCATGTATTAACTAATCTACTTTTTTAAGTTGTCAGTTCACTGACCTGTGGGATTTGTGCATACTAGGTCAGCATAAATCAAGTAAATTTCCCTTCAAATGGCTGAGAGCTACAGTTTAAAACATAACTTGGTTGATTGTTTCGTGATGAGAACGATTTGGAGTCAGTTATAGATTACACCGATCTGTGTCTTATTTACTACGTTTTTCAGCTGATCATTTCCGCTCCATAGCATATCCTAAATAACGGTGATTAATACGATTTATCACTTAGACCGCAGCACCAGCAAGCTTGCAACAATTCTTAACTTATTCTGACCTATTCTTCGATAATGCCTTTTTATGGTAACTGAAGATCTTATTTACCCACCATGTTCTGAAATGACACAGGTCGTGCTTAAAAAGAAAGCTGCGTGCTGAATCAAAACTTTCCGCTTTGGAGTAACGCTAGTCCATGCTTAATATGTCCTGTGAGGGCTAGAACAACGTTGATAAGCAAACCCAGTAGGTTCGATTCTGTACCACTCATGCTGAAAAACCAGCGCACAGTTTCACTGTCAAACACTGGCAAAACAGTAAGGGAGTTTAGTGTTACTATTATTAGCATAGTATGTTACTATATTAGCATAGTATACGTTAATTAGCTCCATGATTGTAGGTTTACCATAATCCTTGACTACCAACATAATAACTGGGAACTTCATGCTAAGGACAAACAAATTTTATCCGGACATGGGAAATAAGCTAAATAGTAGCATCCAGTGACAAAAACTGACCTACACACTACAAAGTGAGCAAAACATCCAGAAAAACCTTTAAAATTCAACGGAAAACCGATTTACGAAAACATATAACTAGCCGACGCAGGAACTCATCATGACCTAGAAACTGACTGTAGCCCCTATCCGAAAGTTCAGGGAGCTGGAAGTGACGTCTCTTCGGAATGACCGCGCTGCGAACAATATCCAATATCCACTTCGAGAGTTGTCGTTCAATATCTAATATAGTTTTTAGAAGCTAGTGTGCACCTGACTTACTTCTTGTGCTTGCTTTTTGGTTTTAGGGTAAAAGTTACAGGTCTTCGGTGAACTTCTCAGTAGTTCGTCCTATATTTGGTTAACCTTAACGGGAGTGGTGCTGGGATTGGTTATGTTTTGTAGTATTAGGTGTGTTGAAAACATGTTGATGGAGTTGGTCCTTTCACCTGTTAATCATCTAATGTGGTTGAAAAGACCGACAATATTAGCAGTGGGCACAATATATATAAGCAGCGTAGATTATGTAGAGTAAAAAAGGAAGACTCGTAGACAGATAGCTGATAAAATTTGAAATTATTAAGTAAATCAATAATGATATAAGGGGAATGGAGTAATCATAAAAGTGAAACAAGGGAGAATGAAAAGCATCGAAACGACAATTTTACGTGTGAGAATTTTTGTTGCGGAGTGATTGTCCAGCCTTCACCTAAAGCTTTCAATGGACGGTGAAGTAGCCACACCTTCTAGTAGAGGATTCCAAGGGCGGCAGACTACAAGCGAAAGGTTGGAGCAGAATGAATTCTCCTTGTTTTTTCTTATGTTTTATGCTGAATGTCAGTTGCATTTCATGCTACCCTGTCTAGACGGTTTCTAATGTCAGGAGTGAGATTCGAACCCACGCCCACACAGTGGACTGCGACCTGAACGCGGCGCCTTGGACAGCTCGGCCATCCTGACCGTTTCTAATCTGTTGGAATTTTTATAGCAGTGTGGGAGCTAGCCTGGGATAAACCTCAGTACATGCACCACGTACTTCCCTAGGAGACGCAATGGACGAAGTTTAAATGGTAATAATATATCCTCAGTTTTTGTATATGACGGACATCAATTTACAGGTATCACCAATATGATAAAAAGATTCATGAAGTAAGTATATTTACAATTGAAAAAGAGAAGGCGTTCAGCGAAGAGGCTCTTTTCAACGAATTCATTTACACCGCTGTACAATCACATTTATATATACTTATTTTTGTGTGTCTCTGCATGAGGTTTGTCAGATTTAGATAGTTCATCAGGTAATACAAGAATGACTTAATATAGGAACAAGGTTAATCAGACAGAAACTAAAGTAAGATTGAGCTAGTAGGTTTGGTGACGTAATGTAATTGACTAAAATATTTCAACTTAGGTAAGGCTGGTAGCAGTAGTAATTACAAGTAGAGACTAAGTAGAAGTGGGGTAGAGAAAAATGCCATTTAGATTAGAACTGAAACCGAGCAATTTTCTACCTGTACAGCATATATATTTAAGAAAAGATTGTGGGTAAGTTGGATTAACTCGCAAAACGCGTATGAAGTTGAGTGTCACGTTAGGTAATCATAAAAAAGCGCCTAAAAATACATATAGTCACACGGCACCTTATAGAGAGTCTCAAAGTATTTTTAATTCAATTATATATGTCCAAACCAAAATCACTTTTAACGGTTTGAAAACATTTGGTCATTGGGTGTATATATTATATATGTATACATAATAATACTGTCAATGTAGTTGAAGATTGAACAATCAATTCATGGTTGTTTGCTGAAACCCAACTCCTACATATTTTTCGCGGAGGCATCAATACACCAGTCATCGTCTCATCGTTCGCTGTTCAGGGGAAGATAAAAAAACTATCAGAAGTATTACGATGATTTATTGTTGTAACATTAGACCTCGTGTAATAACCTTATTGTTGGTTACATGTTGACGTAAAAATAAAAGATTCTTGGGTCGCCGATCTGTGCTCTGGCTTTCGCGTTGGTTAATAAAAAGTGTTTCTGAAAGTCTTCGAGGGACAGATTGAGGTCCAGCGTAGTAAGAGCTGGACATCAACAGTTTATGAGAGTTGGCTGACAAAAGCTATTAGCATTAAATAGCGAAACGTCTGTAAAAACAATATCGTCTTGTTTTTCATTCATTGGGAAATACAAAAACCTTTATTATAATGAGTCTCAATGTATGACGAAAAGGCATGTTTTCTTTAATTCTCATCAAGGTATGAGTTTGATCCCGAGATTTCCACTGAAAAACAGGGAATATGTTAAAATGTGGTCAACATGACGCTGAAAACTGGGTGCGAAATCGAAAGATTATACATTGATTATAGAAGGAAGCGAGGGTGTCATGAATGCTTGTTCTGCTAATTGAATGGCTGAAATGAAATTCACTTGCACATGTTATCGTATAGTGTTGGCGGAAGTCTCTAAGTCATATGTGGAGACTGTGTGAATTGCTATACATATAGTTATTCTGGTCGTCATAATTTTGATTACAGTTCGTTGCTCTGAGGGTTGTTAATCTCCACACTGATTTCAGAGTAATCAACTCCTGTCGTGCCCACTCCGCGTAGTCCTAGCTGTTGGGCCTTGATGCCTGCATCCACGCCAATTGTAGTTCGAACGGTGGTGTCCAGGAAAATCGAAGGGAAGACTTCTCCGGGTTTTCTTCTGTTGGTACTGATTGCTGCTCGCTAATTCCCCATGAGTATTTTCAAGACCTCTATACTTCTTCAATTGTCTATTGCGGAATTATTGGCTTGCGCTCGTGATGTTCTGGGTTTGTGCAACAGGAAAAATACATCATCTGTGGAGTGCAGATCTTGTAGTGTTCCTGCATCAGTGTAACACATACCCATTACTCCTAAAGGTCTGCCGCATGGTCCAGGTCACCTCAACATCACTGCTGATAGTTGCCAGTCTCGATCTACTCTTGTTTTCAACAATCCTATGGCTTTCCTCAGCTTCCCGCTTCGAATTACTTGGCATATGGCATTATAACATAACTTTTGAATGCGGTTTATATGCTTTGCAGCTATTCTTAGTATTGAAGCAGTTGCAAAATTACTTCACAGTTAACGTTTTTAGAGACCTAGTTCAAAATCGTTAAAACTGATGTAAAGAGTTGACTGCTACGAATGAAGAGATTCGGCCGACACAATTTTCTTTTAGCTCGATCCAGACTCTTTCGATGCATATTCTCGTATCATTATCCGCATTGGCGCTTGGATCAGTTTTCAGTGCTTCTCAAAGATTACTTTTGGTCCTGCAACTCTCCGAGTTCCTGGTAACTTTATGGAATTCAGGACTTCTTCTTTTATCAGAGGACTTTCGCGCATTATTTGTACAGCGTTTGGTCGCAACATTTCCGGACGAGATACTGTTGGCCATCAAACTGCTATATTTTGCCATTGTGTTTCTCGTTTTTCATACTCTGAACGTATATGCAACCTGCCTTATTGGTAGTTTATGGAATTTTTCGGTAGTCAAGTTTCCTGCTACATCAACGAGCATACCTCAACATCTGAAATTCAATTTTTCGTTCACAATAAAGAGTTGTTTATGGTAACGTAGCACCGTTTACCTGCGGTTTTCCTTCCATTTGAGTTAAATCATGGAGATATTATTGGCAATAGATTGATTGCACTGAAGTCTTTGATGCCCTTGGTAACAATTTATATGATGGCTACGCGGCGTCAATGTGCTGATGGTTCCCTGTCATGGCCGCAGTGAAAGTGTCCTTTGTAGCTTCGTGCTTCAGATTCTGGGAACGGCATTCTGTAGTGTCTGCAAATTTCCGTGCTCTAAGCACTGATCTGGAGAACTAGGCAGTTAGATGGTTTCAATGAAT